GGGCCAACCCCGGACCGAGTCTCCTGCTTACCGAAAGAAATATCAATCACACCAGTCAGGAGCCTTCGGCCAGGTTCAACTTCCTGTTCCCACATTGTGCCACCCGCACGTTAGATTTGATAGGTTCCAGGAAGATCCTGTCACCAAAGCCCTTTTGGACGGAGGTACAGTGTCTGAATTATCCGATCTCTCGGGTCAAATGTCGATATTCCAAGCCGGTGACGAGGGTTCACACGTCTCCCTTAGATTAAATAGCCGGCAGGTTTGTTCTTGGACCCTTCTTTAACGGGGAACACTCAGCCGTCTAATCCGTGAAGGGAACCACCGCCAATTCTGCAGGCATTGCTGTGTTTTGGTCTCATGATAGGCTGCTTTATCTCGGGTAGTCGTCAATATATATATATGTGTATACATTTTGGTTTGGCCCTCCCGACGATCAGTTTAAGCCACGCGCTCACAATGAACTCGTAGTCGCAGATGTCGTATTCTCCGCTTGAGATTTGCATCCTCTCTTTTGTGACCCAGTGAGACAGCAGAATGCATTCCGTGTTACCAAGGCGCTTCATAACGACGCGCCACTGGTAGAATGAGAAGCCGAGAAGAGCGATATCTCGGTTGGAAATATCCTGTTCCAGTCTGGCACCCTACCGGTGCGTTCAAACCCGTTGGGGGATAGAAAATGGTGACAATCATGAGCAAAACCTCGAATTCCAGAGCGAACACATCTTTGACGGTGGATCCAAGTTTCGTGCATGGGGAGACCCAAGGACTTCCGACGAACCCCCGCAAGATAAAAGCTGAGGACATCTCCGTGTTGGACGAGGATTAGCATTTCTCAGGGGGGGGGATGTCTAACCCCCCCCCACCTTGGAGATCCGCGACAAGGAATCGAAGTCGGTCGTCGCCTTCCCGTACAGTATCAGGCGTCAGTCAACAGCAGCTGTGACATCAGGTGTCCAAACGGCGGGGCCCAATCCGATCCGTTATGCGCATAATCCTCGAAGCCAAGCCCCCTGCACCTGGGAGAGAATATCGGGGTCATCCTAGTCGTCTTGTCGAATTGTCGACGTTTAGGGACTCCCGATACAGTCGCCTGGTAGACAGAGGATCAAGGTGGGAATCTACCTCGTCCTTTCTCCAATATCTGCGAGACCCACGGGTATTCTGCAGTTTTAGGACCGCGAGCTTGTCGTCGCTTGGGATCACCCAAGCGTGAACACCAGCCACGCAGAATGCCATAAGTGTCCTGAAGTAGCCTAAAGCCGGAAACAAACAAGGAGACCCATCCTCCGAGGGGCACGTTCGACGTTTCCTCAAACAGTGCAGGCGACACGGTAACACGAGCGTGTGTACAACGGCGGCCAGCCGGGATTCGGGTGGATGAACAGAGAACGCCACAAATGATAGAAGCAAAGATGTCTTTCCTTCTGCTGAAGGCACGCACCTCAGAGCTCCAACGGCGCGCAAAGATCAGGTTGGTGTTTGGCGGATTCATAACCGAAGGGTTCCGAAACCTTTCCCACGAGGAGTATTGACACCGCGATGAAAGTTGGCAACACGGGGTACGAGAGAGTGTGTCGGTCAAGTGCCAAAAGAAAATGAGCGAAGGTACCAGGGGAAGGAAAACAAGTAAGAAGGCCCGGGAGTCCCTTTAGCCGTGGTGAGGGCGGTGTTAGCAAACTGCACACGACAGGCGCGCCACTATAATATACTCGGCCACCGAAGATGGTAACTCCCACAGAGATGTAGGCCACGACAGCAGCATCAGTTTAACACAGACCCTTGTCCCGGAATCGTGGCCAGCTCTAGAGTGACACGAAATATGAACAAAGTCGGCGGCGGACAAACGGGGCCTTACTTTCCTATGACGCTGGATGAACAACCCATTGACGCGACCTTCCCGCCAGAACATCATTAGTTGTGTCTCAAAGATGACCCTGACGTCATCCGCAAGCCTGAACACGTCCTGGACGACTTCCTGAGTGAGTGACGCTCACCGCATAGTCATGGTGGCTGTCAAACCCGTAGAAGAGCGTATGGAGAAGTTGCTTCGCATTTACGGGAACCTTGCTTGCGTACTATGGCACAGGTCACGCGCCCGCCGCCGTTGTCCGGGCGCAACAGCTACCTGCTGCCTGGCGCGGTAGAGGCGCTGGGCCTCTACCACAGCGGGCTGCGCGAGATCGCAGCGTCGGCCGGGTACCCAAGCCGTCTCCTCGCGGTGAACCTGATCTTGCAATGCTTTTGGCTCTGACGAACGGATAGAGACAAGGTGGCTGTAGGGCGTGGCGGAGGAGGAGCCGGAAGCGAGACGAAACCTAGGCCTCGCGGATAACCTGGATGTACGGGTTAGAATTTATTGGTCAAGACGTAAGATGTTGATCCTCAGCTTACATTATACGATTATAGCCCAGCATCTGTCCCCATGAGGCTCGAGATGGAAGCGCCGGAGTCTCCATGGCCTCCGTGGCTCACCTGACAGACCACCGTTGATGGGACTTTCAGGGTTGTCGCTATTGCGTTTACCAACCGGACGAGATTGTAGCTAGACCGGCTTGAGGCACCAGATATAGACGTCAAGGGTTTGGCTGCCCCAATAGACAAGAAGAACAGTTACAACTAAGACCACTCCATATCCCAAGCCTCGGAACCACGATGGATTAATACCTTGAAGTGCTGAATCCCGCACTCCAAGTAGAAAATATCCGACGTGGGCTAAATTGGCCCAGTTGCGAATCTGAACTTGGTCCTGCAGGGCCGTCGGCCCGTCGTCCAACAATTGCTGCAGCCTGGGGTTTGTTCTGCCAGCAGAGGGGAACAAAGACCTTCAGCGTCCTTTAGTGTCCCCTCACTCACCGAAACATCCTCCCTAGCTTGGTTCTGGAGATGCCATATATGAAGGTAATAAATCTGAGAAACACCCCACGGCCCGGCCGACGAGGAATGCCGAAGACCGACTAGCGCTTGGTTTGTATTTCCCGGATTACTGGCGACCGTGCTCAGCCAATATTGTGTAGCCCATCGCACCATCAAGCCACCAACTTGCCATGTCATTTGCGTGAAGTAATAGTATGCTCCACCGCTTGAAATAGAAGTATGAACTAGATGATGCATGATTTCCGATGAAAACCAGGGGCCATCCCACCCTTGGTCAAAGCCACAGTGAGGGCGAAGCGACCAATACACTTCGCCAGCGACGAGGACTTGGCTACAGACAAACAATGTCCCTGACCAGACCCTGGAGTGTGCTCCGACTGCTTGTGTTCGTGTGAGTTCAACAGCAGAGATCCGACGGGGCGCAAGAGTAGATGTCGAGATAAATCTCAATGCCGTGGTAGGTGGTGTTGTATGCGGTTTACGGAACGCATCTCAGAGGGGAACACCACGATTGAGCCCCCCAGCGATGGTACGGGGGGGACACCGGATGTAAACTTGAGTCATATATACATCTCCCTATAAACAAATGTCGGGATAAACCAGCAGACCGAGGAGCAGGCCGGGACGAAACGTCGTCGGCAGAACCTGAAGCCACGATGACGACGCTGATCTGCTTCGCAAGCACAGAGTGAGGGCATAGTAAATCTCTGTCCGCGAATTTACCACGTTAGCAAAATTACATTCCATCCCACAGTAAAGAAGACACAGGGCCACACAAACCGTTTCAACTTGATTCCTTATCGTGGCAAAGAAAGTGAGGCTCGCTCCGGTCGGACGACCCCCCCGCGCGTTTGTGAAATAGAAGAAGAGGGCGATGCCGGCTCCGCACCCTGAAAGTATGGTGATTACCGTGATGAAAGACAGCACAGGACTTTCCACTCTACGCTCGGGCCCTCGGCCGACGGGCCAGCGTGAGGCTTATGTAGACACCATTCTTCCTACGATTGCGAGGGGGCAAGCCGGGCGCCTACGAGTCTAAGTAGCGGCGCGAGTTGCGTCACCGCCGCGGTTGCAAGGGATTGCCCAGCCGGGGTTTCCGCGTTCCCGTAGTGCCTAGATTTAATGCAGCATCAGTAACAACATCCTCAACCCATGAGCACCTACGCCCACCCCTAATGGAATGCCGTCTGCAATGACTTACCCCACAGAGAAAAAGAGAACATGAAACTGTGGAATCAATGATCAAGACAGGCATACACCGATATCTCGCTTTTTCCAGCCCTGGAAAAAGTTGACGGCAGCCGCTAGTTTCACACGGCCTCAATCGTCCTCGCATCGGCGTGTCGTTTATATATCCGGGTAGATCACAGCGCACCAAGACGTAGGACAGCCCTCGTCTCCATTTGCGAGGCCCATCTCTGGCCAGTTAGAGATAGACAGGTTTCTTGTTCAGGAAGGGGCGAGCCCGACCCTTTTGCCGACTTGAGGTGAGGCAAGGTATGGTTGAGGAAGCAAAAGAAAAGTGTTCGGCACAGGGATGGAGACCTCTCGAACCGGAACACGATGTGTTTCTGGCTTCCCTGGAGGTGTATGCAGCGGAATTGAGGATCTCGATCCTGCAGGGCATAGGTAATAATAGACGAGTTGCTATTAGATTTTGTAAGGACTTTGATCCTTCATGCGTTGTGACGGTGAAATGTAGACAAAAGTTGAAAGGGTAGAGGGCTTGCGACCAGTGCTTTGAAGGATGTGGGATGGAAGAGGGAAGGGTTTGGAAGAGGGTTTGAGGGGAGGGTGGGATCCTTTTTATAGGCGAGAGATGTGGAGGGATCACATGTGGATGGGTGTGGCTATGATGGGCAGGAAGGGTGATGTGAATCATCTTTTAGATGATGGGATGGATCGGGAAGTGAGCAGAAAAGGTGTTGAAGGCGAAAACGAGCAGTCCCTGCCCGTGGATACAACACTTTGGGCAGCAAACGAAATCAAGCCAGGCATCTCTTTCCTCCTGCAAACATCCACATGTCATGATCATAAGAAAACTGAATCAGAGATATGAATAGTATTGCTAAAATAGATTGAATAGAGCGCTGTTAATCGTCAATCATCCACCCCCAAACCTCCTACCTCAATGTAAACAAGCCCAGGATGAACCCATCATCTCCTGCCCGAAGTGCCGCCCAGTTCTCCTCCTCCCTCATTCCCTCCACATCCTCTCCCGCCTTCCTCACATACCACGCTCCTTTGGCCGTGATTGTCACCATCGAGTCACTCCCCCATTCCTCCTTCCTCTCGAACGCCAGGTTGATCATTTCCCTTCCGTGAAGAATCAAACTCTCCCGCAAGAGCGTCAATTTGTCCTCCCCGGATACGCCCCCCTCTTCTCTATTGTAGTCCGCGTCCTCGGCATAGGTCCTCGTAAAGCCCGTAGCCAGCGCCCTGTAAGCTTTGTACAGCGGAGAGTCCTCTTCCAGATGTATCATAGGTCCATGCAGAGCGGCCAAGAATTGAGCAACGTCACTGCTGACGCCACCACCCCCAAGGTTGGCGAATTCCCAGTCAATAACTGCCAACTTGCGCGTTTCCCCAGAGACGTATGGTTTGTCCTCCCACGACTCTACGAGGACAGACCCGGGATGAAAGTCTCCGAGCGAAAAGCGCGGTAGGACGGTGGGAGTACGGTATGCCTGCGTAACCCTCTCATGAATCCTTTCGGCGTCGGGGATGGAGCATTCTCTGAGGTGGTCTATGACGGGCGCGACGGCGACGTCACTCACTAGTTTTTCCGTGAGGTTTTGAGAAAGGACCTTTGAAATGTTGGGGTTGCTTGAGAGGATTGTGAAAGTCTCCTTCGAGTGGACCTTGGCGAAGAAGCGGCCGATGCGCTCGCCTATTTTTCCGTAGGCATCATCGATCTCCGCCTCTGGTACACGTGCACAGGCAGCAGGCGTTAACAGGTCCCACAGAGTAGCCAAAGGTCCTAAGTCCTCGAGGATGAGAACAGAAGACGCGGGGTCGTGGTCAACCACCGTCGGGATAGTGATGGATCCTTCGGCGGGCAGGTCGGATAATGGGCTCGAGCCGCGGAAAGCGCGGAGTACTGCAGCTTCCACTACCTAGGCGTCCGCGCATTTCACTCGTTAGTTTTTGAAGCTGTCGCGGAATGGCGATGATAAAGAAAGGAGACAAAGAGGAACACACCTGGCGCTCCTGGGAAAATGGAAAATCAGGTCCCGCGGCAGCGACGTAGGGCGGCGCATACTTTAGAATGAGGCTCTCTGGTTCCTCGGTGCCATCGCCGTCGCTGCCAGTCCGTCTCACGCGGACGGTATTGTTGACAAGTCCTCCATCTAGTGAGTGGATGGTGTATGTCGTGTCTGGCGACCTCGTCTTGAGATATGATGGAAAATCAAAGGCCATTATGGCACAAAGAATAGAAGAAGTGGCGAATAGAAAGGTTGATGGTGATGAAGGAACGGAGATTGAGAGATTGAGAGATGAAGCGACGAGTTGTGCAGCCACGTGGGAGATGAGGGGTGCTCGGTATTAAAGAGTCGCATTCGGGGCAGTGTTAGCCTCACACTGGACAATTAACGTCACTGGTGGTCGGCCACAGCTTCTGCTCTGGTCTATTTATCTTGGGAAATGACGGCAGCGCCAGTGAGTCTCCGAATGGATCGAATGCGAGTACTTCCCGTGCTGCTCGGCGCGAAAGAAGAAAAGGTTTGATGGTATCATTGAATAATACAGAAAATAAGAGATAATACAGGTTCTCCCGAAAAGCCCAACGCTCATAAGATGCCAGAAATTCGAGAGAAATCAAGTCCCACAACCCTTGCCGTCCTACCAACGCCGTCGCCGGCCAGAAGAACCGTATCTGGCAGCCGCCCGCTCGAGTCGATCCCAATATCTATCCCAATATCTCGTCGAGGCATAAGTGCTCTCATCTATCCGAAAGGCAGACGGAAGCATTAGAACCGAGTCCTCTCAGTTGTCAACAATTAAAGATGGTGGGGGCACACGTACCTCTTACGCTCGAAATTCCCAACTGATCCGCCACATTCACGTATCCCTCCTCGTTAAGCTGGCCTGTCCTCTTCATAACTGCCACGGGGTCAAGCTCAACACCCCACACGCTCCGACAATACGGACACGTCGCCTCGGATTCATGACCGGGACATTTGGTGGCGGCCCACATGCGGAAGCAGTGCGCGTGCACATTCTGCCCGCAGGCCGCGCGACACCAGGTGATGGCTTCCTTCTCGTTGAGGTCGAATTCGCAGAAGCATATGGGGCAGTCACCTTCGATGGGTTTCCTCTTGCCGGCTTCTTCGGCGTCGGGGCCGGCGGATGAGGGGTCTGCGTCGATAGGAGGGGCGCCGGCGAATATTTCCTTGAGCTCGGAGCTTAGGAGGGCGAGTTGGTAGACGTATTTGAAGTCGGCTCGGAGTACGCGGCTGAGGACCTACGGAGAGATTGGGTCGTTAGTACGCGCTGCTTGGACTAGACAAGAAACAAAAGATGGTGATGGTGCGCATACGTAGAGGATATGTTTGCATTGATTTCCACTCTTATTATGGGGACACGTGCAAGTCGAGATCGGGCCAACATGGACCGTATATATGTTCCCCGTCGAGCCCGTAAGCTCGACATCTTCCTCCGGGCAGTTTGGCGTACCGACTCGTTTGCGCGATAGAACGTAGAACCTAAGGAAAGAGCACGGGTTAATTCGCTGCCCGTCAAGCGCAACCATCTCAGTGTAGGTGGGCTCGTCTCGACTTACCTCTGCGATCGCGCACGTTCAAAGATGGGATGGAACGACTGGGGAGGTTGGGCTCGAAACCTGCATCGCACGGGATTAGCCAGAGCTCCAAGTATTAGTCCGCATCGAAGAGGGGTTGCGATACATTCGTAGCCGCTTCTCGGGCGACGGTGGACCCTTCAACTTCTTGGGTGGTCGCGAGTCAAGAATCTCGAGGGAGGGCGATCTGTTCACGGTCTTGGTCGTCTTCTTAGGCTCGGGCGGTCCATCGAGAATCTCGACCGAACTCGAACGCGAGCTCGAAATCGCCGTCCAGTTTGATTCAGCCTTGCGCTTGATGCCCCGCGTAGTTGGAGATGGTGTCGGGGGTGGATGTACGGCTGGAGCTTGGGCCTTGGAGCGAGGGCTACCGCGACGCGCCTCGGACATGGTGGGAGAGGCGTTTATTTCGTGGTTCGGGGGGGCTGTGCGAGAAATTAGGGGTGGTGCTAGGTCTTGAATAGGGAAATATCGATTGGAAGAATGGCGGCACCGGGGGGTTGTCTGGCTTCCTCGCGATGCAGCGTTGATGGGGGCGGCAAGAATCTAGTGGGAGTCGCAACTGGGTGGGCACTTCAGATCGCGAACGCTTTGAGAGGAGACCAAATTTACGTTCTGATCGGATTTGATGCGACATCATGGGACAGTCTCGCTTGGGGGCACACGGTGTTCATACTGTTCATGAAAAGTACAATTGCAGCGTTCAACTGAAATCTGACTGGTCAATTTGCTTGTCCATTTGAACCTGCCGGCCGTGTGAAGTAACCAGAAACACTGTATTCCCCAGTGTTGCCCTTCGCTGCGTAGATTACAAACGTCACCATTCACGGAAGGGAAAGTTTGGCTTTTTGGCTTTAAGCTTCAAGCTTCTCGTAAACGACGGGACTTTGGAACTCTGGGCCGAAGCTTCAACCTTGAAATAATAAGCATCAATGAGCCACCGGTGAAAGGCCTCGCTGCAGGGGAATAAATAGGCAAGCTCAATCCTGTCGCAAATGATGTTCAAACGAGAACCAATCAAGACCAGCATGCCTCAGATCAATCTGCTCGTCTCTATCAATCTTTCTCTGATATCTGTCCACCACGCCGCTTGGCGAAACGAGGGGGCGGAGGCAACCCGCGCTACGGCTGCCGCTAGTTCAAGCCTTCAAGGGACACAGGCAGCAGGAAAACCGGGCTTTCAGTGGGCTCGGCTCAGGGCTGAACCGCTAAACTTAATCCCCGTTTGAGCCTCTCCATTACTGGCATTGCGCATACATTGCGGGCAGGATGAATGCAGCATGCGGCTTGGTACCTGCCTCCGCTTCAACTTCAACAGGACTTGAATACCCAAACGGACACTCGGTCTTTCCAACTTTGTATTTTGCCGGGCAGGACGACATGTGCTTCCGAGAAATTGAAGCAAACGAGCCTCAAAGCGTCCGCACATGTTTTAAATTGGTAAGCTCCAGTTTGCGCCTGGTTTGCGCCTGCCCTATTTCTGCCCTGCCCAGATTAACCCCGCACTATGATTGGCCTAGAGGGTCTAGGCACCTGCAGAGGTTGCAGAGGCAGCAGCCACGACCAGAACATGACCAGGCATCCATGAACGCACCCGGAAGGCACCAGGAACAGCGGGCAGGAGCTCTTCTCGTTGGTCGATTTCACAAGGCAAGTGTGGCTTGGACGAGAGCTGAAGTCAGATCATCTCCAATTACCCCGGCCCAAGTCGAACTCTGGAGATGGGAATCAAAGTCCTACAACATCAATAGATCGTTCTTACTCCCTCGATTCTGCTCCGCTCAAAGATCAATTGCTCTCCGATAATTCAGGAATTTCTATTTAATGCCCACCACATCCTCCACTTGTCCCGTCTCCTTTGTTCCTTGTTTTCTCCCCAACAACTTCAGCAAACATCTGAACAAACAAACATCTCGCCCCGAGATACCATCTCATACCCATTCGACAGCCCAAACGTAATTGTGATACGACAGATACGGCAACCTTCCCACTCCACCCATCTCCAAAGGACTCTAGAGTGAACGAGACCTTTTGCCTTTGTACAAATCTCACTTCCCAAGCAATCGTGATACCCAAAGCCTAATCCCTCCCCTCCCCAAGTCCTTTTATTGAATCCTCATCACCCCTCGTGTCTGCCTCATAACCAGGTACCTCAACCCAAACATCCACAACCAACACCCTCAAACCTTCGTCACCATGTTCGGTTCACCAGTCCGCGCAGTCCACCATACCCACATTTGTGGTCTCTTCTATACCGTCCACCATGTCCGGAAATATCTTCCCCAGGTCCAGATGTCCGCCCATGTGTCCATCTTATCCTCGGTCTCTAGGACAACCCTGACCCAGATCTTCACTACAGCCTCTCTCACTGAGGCGCTAAAGGAGGTCAAGTATGCCTTCCCCATATACGACGGCGTGAGTGTGGTCGCCTTCACCTGCACCATAGGCGACCGCGTGGTCAGGGGCGTTGTCAAGGAAAAGCAAAAGGCCCGCGAGGTCTACGAGCAAGCTCGCGATCGTGGAGAGGCTGCTGCGCTTCTCGAGCAGACCCCAGAGGCCGCCGACGTCTGGACCACGTCCGTTGGCAACATTCCACCCAACACCGAGGTCAAGGTCGAAATTGTCTATCTCGGAGAGCTCAAGCACGATGCAGAAGTCGACGGCATCCGGTACACCATTCCCACCTCCATCGCTCCGAGGTACGGCGAACTGCCTGCGGCCATGCTCTCCACCAACACCCAGCTTGGCGGCAAGGGAGGACTCCAAATTGTCGTCGACGCCCAAGTTCCAAATGGATCCGTCATCAAGGCCGTTCAGTCGCCTAGTCACCCCATTTCCGTCGCCGTGGGTAATCTTTCCACCACACCAAAGGCCGAGCCTTCGCTGCAAAAGGCCTCGGCCACCCTCGCTCTCGGGTCCGCCGAGTTCGACAAGGACTTTATCCTGCATGTAATCGCCACAAATACCTCCAACCCCGTTGCCATGGTTGAAAGGCATCCAACCTTGCCCAACGAGAGGGCTCTCATGGCCACCCTGGTGCCCAAGTTCAAACTGCCTCCCGAGCGTCCCGAGATTGTCTTCGTCTGTGACAGGAGTGGAAGCATGGGCTGGGGTAAGATTGCCAACTTGAAGACAGCCCTGCAGATCTTCCTCAAGTCGCTACCCGTCGGCGTCAAGTTCAACATTTGCAGCTTTGGGTCTAGTTATTCCTTGCTTTGGGACCGCTCCAAGTCGTATGACAAGGCCAGTCTCGAGGAAGCTACGCGCCACGTCGACACCTTCCAATCCAACATGGGAGGAACCGAGATGTGCCAGCCCATCAAGGCCGTTTTCGAAAAGCGCTACAAGGATATGAACCTCGAAGTCTTCCTGCTCACTGATGGTGATATCTGGGACCAGGCTAATCTCTTCAGCATCATCAACGCCGAGATGGCCCAGAGCAACGGGGCTGTCCGCGTCTTCACTCTCGGCATCGGCACCGGAGCGAGCACTTCGTTGGTTGAGGGAGCCGCTCGCTGCGGCAACGGCTTCTCTCAGCTCGTCGGTGACAACGAGAAGATGAACAACAAGGTCGTCCGCATGCTCAAAGGAGCCTTGACCCCGCACATCAAGGATTATACTCTCGAAATCAAGTACGACGAGCAGCCCGATGACGCCGACGATTTTGAGCTAGTCGAAAAGGTCGTCGACTGCCTGATTGTCGATGACGGCCGAAGCGAGAAGACGGCCGTCGAGGAATCTGCGGCCGCCAGCCAAAAGAAGCCAATCTCATTGTTTGATGCGTCCGCTGATGACGAGGATAGCGAAATGACCGATGCGCCCTCGACAACGGCCGCCGTCGAGACAAAGTACAACCACTTGCCCCCCGTGACGCCTCCTAAGCTTTTGCAAGCACCCTTCCAGATCCCTCCGCTCTTCCCCTTTAACCGCACCAGCGTCTACGTACTCATGTCGGGCGAAACCATCCAGCGACCCGTCAAGTCCGTCGTACTCCGCGGCACTTCGGTCCACGGGCCCCTTGAACTCGAGATCCCAGTCACTACTATCGGCGAACCCAGCGAGACTCTGCACCAACTTGCCGCCCGCAAAGCCGTCAAGGAGCTCGAGGAGGGCAAAGGCTGGCTGTACCACGCCAAGGACGCTGACCAGAAGCTCCTCAAGGATAAATACGATGGGAGGTTCTCCGACATGGTCGAGCGTGAGGCTGTCCGCCTCGGTGTCAAGTACCAGGTTGCCGGCAAGTGGTGCTCCTTTGTCGCCGTCGAGGAGAAGCCGGGCGATGACGGCAAGACTCGGCAGCTGACGCAGCCTGATGCAAATCTCGCCACCCTCGATTCAGACGGCGAACTCGATCATGTTAGCTTCGGCGCTGCACCCTCTGGTCGGCACAGCTCTGCTCCTGGCGTTCAAGCCCGTATCGGGGGTATGCTTCGTCATCGTAAGCTTGTCGGGGGAGGAGGCGCCGAATCTGCACTCCAGCAGCAGCAGCGCACGGCCCGCCTCGCGCAGAGTTATCAGCCGCCGCCACCTCCGCCGCCGGCTCCGGCTCCGGCTTCTAGCTACGTCAGCTCCATCGCCGCTCGTGGATACGATATGCCCGAGCTGCGTGAAAAGTCCGACGCTCTGGCGTCACAGGCGGCTAGCTTCCGTAAGTCTAAGAAGTCTTCTTTTTCGGCCACGGTTTCGGGGTTGTTCGGTTCGAGGTCCAAAGAGAGCCAGGCAGCGCCATCTGACGGTGGCGCTCCTGCATCCGAAGCCTCCTTGTTATCCTTTGCTGCTGATCAGGAGATGTCATTTGCTTATGCGGCCCCGTTGCCCGATGAGGACGACGACACGTTTGAAGGTGCTGCTGCGCCCAAACCCCCTACTTCTACAGGTCTACTTAAAAGCCCTGCTTCTGGCCCCGCTGCTCCTGGATCTGTCTTCGGTGCTAGCCCACAACCTGTCTCTGTGGGAGGATTTGGCGCTTTTGGCCAGGCCGACAATAAGGCGTCTGCTTACCCTTCTACAGGTCTCTTCGGAGCTCGCGCCTCCCCCACCGGCGTTCCGCAGGCCATGCCTACGGGACGACCCATCTTCGGAGGCAGTTTCGCCGCCGCTGCTCCCGCTCCTAGGACATTGTTGCAATCAGCCCCAGCTCCTAAGCCGTTGTTACAATCATACCAAGCCCCCGCTGCCAAGCCCGCTCCCGCTCCCAAGAGAGATCCCCTCGAAGTGATCGTCGACACGCAGACCTTTGAGGGCTTTTGGCCCGCCTCGTCCGCCGCCGGCCTCCTCGCCGCTCTCGGGGTGACCAAGGACAAACTCGACGCCGCGCTGGCCGCCAGCAAGGAAGCGTGGGTCGGGAAGCTCAGGGGCAGCGATGACGCGGTGTTGACGGCTCTTGTGCTTCTGTTCTTGGAGAAGAAGTTGGGCCATGATAAGGATACGTGGGAAATGATGGCGGAGAAGGCTTGGGATTGGCTAAGGGGTGTGGTGGGTGAGGTTGAGGAGGAGGATGTCGAGGGTGTTTTGGGAGGACTTTTTTAATGGGTAGTTTTTGGGGTAGTGAATATGGATGAATTCGGGAGGAAAGAATAACAAAAGAGACAAGGGAGATGGGAAAAGGATTAATGAACATGATGAATGCTATGACCGATTCTAGTTAGCTATCAAACAATTTGAACATTATTATTATCTTGAGTTCCCATGTGACTTGTGTGGATCAGCATCGATGATCACGCTCAACGGAATGGTCCAGATCCGTCACTGAAATGGAAAGTAACACGAGTGATTCGCAACCACAATCCGATAGAAACATGGACGACGGGACCAGAGAGTCTCCCCGTTTCCGTCTGGACTTTGCACAATCTCCTACGGTCGTCGGTATAAAACGAAATGCTCCCTTCCTATCCCGGTTCATACACATCTAATAAGTCCCTATGAATCAAAACAAGGACCGAAAAAGGGGGTGCGGGGAGCCTTAGAAAGGATTTCCTGGGATTAGAAGCTCGGTCGTCAACATCGACGAAACCCCAGAGACGAAGCATCTTTCCACATCGTAGCAAAGCGCCATCTCCGGCCTAAAAAAAAAGGTGCCGTCTGCTCGGTATCCCGAACTTTAGCATCCTTCTCCATGTTACGCTAATCTGTTTGGTTGTACGAATTATCAGACACAATTCCTCGCCTCATCAATCGTATGCAGAAAAGGAGAAAAAAAAAAATCCTAAACATCAATATCCCAAATAACCCAACGCTCACTAGAATAAAAAAAAAAAAAAAGGTCCCATGAATGCTCATATAATAATAATCCAGTTCTTGCACCTCACCCAGAACTTTCCTTGGCGGCTTGAACGACCAACAAATCAGCCTGCAACCCACAATCCAAAACATGACTCGCCAAGACCCCCAAACACTCCCGGCTCTCGATGCTAATAGGTGACAACTTCCCAAGGTTAAGCTTCATGCTGGCGTGCCGTCCCACAACGACAATGTCACGCCGACTAGGCTCACTACTCGACTCCCGCACATCAGCCGTCGCAAGACCCAAAACATCCTCAATGGAGCTTGCCCCAGCAATGGTCTGAGCCTTGATCCGAGGCTCGGCATCCTCAGGGATCTGTGCCATGACGGCGTTGAAATGCTCATCGTCCTGCGCGGGACCGATACCGTCTGCGCGCACGGAGATGCGCACGATGGTGGCGGTGACTTCGGGTCTTTCGCAGAGCTGGAGGACGAGGCTGAGGGCGAGGCGGTCGTCCGCGCCGCCGATGTAGGCGAAGAAGAGGTGGGATGATCTGTGGGCCGGGGGCAAAGGGGGTAGTTTGTGTTGGGCGGAACTGAAGGAGTAAGCTCTCGTCAGGCGCATCCGTTCGTTCGACGGGCCTGCTTCTGCTGTCGCAGCCACCTCGTCGCTCTTGGAGAAGAAAACGGCGACGTTTTGCTCCGCGAGCTCGATGACGGACTTGACGAAGCTGGTGTATTGGGGCGCCAACTTATCCCTCAGCGTCGTCGAAGCCAAGATCTGGGAGTCGCCTATACCACCCGTCTCGCTCCAGGGCACGATGAGCAGATCCGAGGAACAAGCGGAGGACTTTCCTACGAGGGCCTCGGCGAAGCGGGTCTCGGGCATGATGGCGACTTCGCCGGAGACGGAGAGGTGGTTCAGTTGGCCGACGGTGCAGAAGGTGTTGACGACGGGGTCGTGTTGGCTGTATTCGTCGACTTGGGCGACGGTCATGAAGGCGGAGTCACGATCTGTTAGGTGGACGAGGCGCATGCCGTGGGCTCGGACGGGCCTCTTAGGGGCCTCGGAAAGGTCTCCCTCTCCGTCCTCGTCGTTCGTGGTCCCGGCTTTTTGCTTAGAATGGTGGACCACGGAGTCGGTTACGGAAGCATTGCCGAATAGGGACACGAGGCCGAGCACGGCAGGAAGGTTGTCTAGCCTGAGGTAGACGACGAGTCGGTTGAGTCGAGTGTTGGTGACCCGCTTGACTCCTTCAGTGGAGGCTGCGCCGCTGGAGTCTGAGGGCCTCAGGGGCTCGCCGGAGTCCCAGTCGATTTCTCCTCTTCTCCACGCGTCGAGTTTCTTCTGATACGATGGCGGGTAGAGATATGAGGCTAGCGGTGTCGAAAGGAACGTCGTTATTAAAGCCATGACGACGAAGATGGTAAACGTCCTCGTGCTGAGAATCTTGGCTTGAAGACCAATATTCTAGAACGGGAAGTGTTAGTATGATCTAATTTTCGAGTCGGGATGAACGCCAGCAACTTACGAGCACAATCAACTCGACGAGACCCTTACAACTCATGAGCACACCAATGGTAAAGGACTCCCTCCAAACCAAACCATTTAGACGAGCCGCGACGGAAGCGCTGACAAACTTCGAGAAAAAGGCGAGCACGGTGACGGCGACGACGTAAGCCCAGGCGATGCCGCTGTCGAGCAGACCCAAGTTGGTGTTGAGTCCGGACAGCGTAAAGTACAAGGGCAGGAACAGAGCACCGATCAGATCCTCGAGCTTTTCGATGACGAGAATGTTGAAGCGGTTGTCGCGGGGTATGATAAGACCGACCATGAAGCCTCCGAAAATGGTGTGCACGCCGATGATGCCGGTGAAGAAGGCGGACGCCAGAGCGATGAGCAAAATCAAGGCAATTATTAGCTGGGAAGGACCGTTTTCCAGGCTTCCAGAGCGGCGGAGGATCCAGAGGAGAGCTGGCTTGACACCCCATAGAAGGAAGCACATGTAACCTGCGCAGGCGAGGAGGATCCACAGGGCGGTAAGACCCTGGCCGGCGTTGACGAGGGTGACGCACAGGGCAAGGAGAATCCAACCTAGCGGGTACGTCGCATTAGTACGAGGTGTGTGTGACGAAGGACAGAAAATCCCCAAAAGAGACTAAAAAAAGAAAAGGTATCACAACTTACCAACCACGTCGTTGGCAACGCCGGCCGAGAGGGTAATGATACCCACCGAGGTGTCAAGAAGCTTAAGCTCGGTCAAGATACGACACAGAACAGGAAAGGCCGTAATGGCAATAGCCACACCGACGAAGAGCATAAACACGGGGAATCGGATGTGTATAACCCCCTCGTCACCGGAAAATTGGTTATACAGTCCCCAGGCAATACCGCATCCCACGGCAAAAGGGATGGCGAGACCACCGCAAGCTACCGACGTGGCAACTCGCCAATTGCTCACGAGGAAGCGGACGTCCGTTTCCAGGCCGATGACGAAGAGGTACAGCACCAGACCGAGGTGGGCGACAAGGGTCAGGTTGGGGAGGGATTCAGCGGGGAAGATGGCTTGTCGGAAGCCCGGAATGCGCCCCATCACGGAGGGGCCGAGCAGGATGCCGCCGATGACTTCGGCGATGACGCGGGGCTGGCGGATTTTGGAGAGGGGCCAGTGGAGCACATGGCAGATGATCAGGATAAGACTGGCCTAGACGAGAGGGGTCGGCATTTAGCATTGATCCAGTTCTAAGGGAATTATAGAGGGAAAAAAAGGAGAAAATTAAATGAGTAAAGAAATGAACTGAGGAGAAGATGGAAATTGAAAAGGAAATAGACGGCGGAGAAAATTGGCATAGAGTCAAACAAACCTGAATGATGAAGAGAATAATGGGGTCCTTGGGATTGTAGATCGAAGGATTAGCGCCCTCAATCACGCCGCCTTGTGGAGGCGCTCGACTGCCCGTAGCGCTGGCGACCGCGGAGGACGCTGCCGCGGTCAGCGATGCGGTGTCAATCGTAGTTGACATCGCGGCGGCCCTAACGAAAGGGAGAGGAGGAGGATGGAGACGGGAAGGAAGATAGATATGGGAATGCCGTGCAAGAGCAAACAGAAAATAATAAAGACGAGGATGAGGAGAGAGAGGCAAAAGGGGCAACAGGAAAAGCGGAGATAGAGTTATCACCTCAAAGCTTTGCTGGATCCGCCGCCCGAGTTTGAGCTGTCCTCGTGGGCCTCCAAGTCGGGATAGACAAATGGCGAAAAGCCTGTGGGTGGAATTGCTGAGTGAGAGCAAGAACGAATTATAGCTTGGGGAAGGTTGGTTGGAGGTGACTAGGCGGGGGGGCTCTTGCCCACGCGCCGCAACGCCAAGCTCAGCGAAAGTGATCAAGGTGCTCTCGGGGCGGTATGTGCGAAGTACTGTACATTAGCGAATGGCAGTTGGGTACATCGGTGTATCCCAAAGTCATAGCTAACATTGAGATGTTGGATGCTGCTGTAATCGATGCTGGGGGGACTTGCTAGAAGATACCGAGAGGTACAAAATTGTAACTCGAAAATGAGAATTGGCATATCAGAATGTTGGATGCGCGGGTGTGGGAATGCATGTGATTTGGAGACGGTTTGTTGACAGAGGCAGGAAGCATGCAGGCAAGAGGCAGGTGGGGTGGGGTACCTCAGGTACAGCTACATTTAATGTCGGTGCCTTCTTAGCGAGGACAATTGGAAGGAGGAGTGGAGGCGTGGAGATGTGGAGCCTGCTCTAAGCTTGGCGGGTACGTGTGACCGCTTCGTTTTGGGTTTTTGGGGTGGCGGGGAAGGAACATTTCACTTTCAGGGATCAGAATTGAATTGCATTACGAAGTCGGGGAATTGGGAGGTCGGTGTGAGCAGCTTGACGACCGGAGAGATTTAAGAAGCCAAAAATTAAATCAAGCGTCCCGGTAGTACAGGCCAGGTTGCTTCGTGCGTCCTGCGGGGCTCGCTGCATATTTCCCGTTTCCAGCCACAGACTGCCAATATTGATTCCCTTTCAGAAGCCCTGTCGATGGCGTGATCCACCCTGTGCGAAGTAATTCTGCTGCCTAGCACACAAGACATCGATACCGACACCGCCTGTGGGGGACACACAATTGTCGGTGTACTTGTACAGTGAAGTGGAGACTCAAGAAATCAATTCAGAAGGATCGGCAGGGCCGAGGATACGGTCTTGGACAAGTAGTTACATATCGAACCCACGATCCTGGCAAAGCAACCAAATATCCGCTGCCAAGATGTTTGCTTGTAGGAATGTAGATAAGGGAGCTCTCAAGTTGATAACCAAGGACGGACTGCTCCCGCTTCTTCCTGAGCGAGCCGCGTATTAATCGCATCACCTAATAGCAAAGCCGGGCCGAGTTCGGCTCTTGAAGAGCCGTGAGTGAGCTATGCACAGGAGAAGAGAAGAGGAAGACGAAGAAGAAGGGGGGAAAATAAATAAAATAAAATAAAATAAAATAAAACAATAAATAAAAGAAAAGGAGTCACTCTGAAGATGCCGTTCTCTATGGCTACTTGGAGAGCACTACTACGGACACCGACAACAGTTAAAATCAGACGCTTCCCCGCCTTTCCTTCCAAGACACGGGTCACGCACATTAGGGCTGACCGCCGTCTGATTGGGAATTTGGGACCTAGCTTCCCTGCGGGCTCGAAATCCTGCATGCACCAACTAATAAACGTTCTCGGGGGGAAGCTTGGCCGATGCATGCAGGCGAGGGATTGACGTCATGAGGAGGCTCGCGATGGGGGGAAGGAACCACCCTTCACCACATCCTTGGAGCAGCGATGAAGCCTCATAGTTCCAGATAAAAAGTTGGGTCAGTATTCCAGGTGATGCAGCTGAGCTCGGCTAATAGGTTGTATTCTAGAGGAGAGAGACACTTGGGGCGATGAAACTTAAAGACTCGACGCGCCATTTATATATACTTCTGCGATACACGACTGTCCTAGGAGTTAATAGAGACAGTGCTAGGGCGAGAGTGTTGTTGAGATGAGAAAGACGCGCTTCTTGTGGAGTCTGCAGGGGTGATCAGCTGCGCCGAGGCTGCGCATCGGGCCATCTTTAAATTGGGCTTACCTAAAAAATATCTACGGAATCGCGACAGGCAAAATTGAGGCGCGTAAAACTAACCCCAGCAAGCGAATGACATGCGTGGTCGGTTTGCGCATTATGCCCGAATCTCGAACTGGGAAATATAGGTAGTGGAAAAAGGAGAAGGGTAAAGGGGAAAAAAAAAAAAAGAAAGCAAAATCAAGAAATAAGAGAAGAAAAAGAAAAGGACGACAGCTTTTCACGGGGAAGGCGTAGAGTAGTAGAACTCCTGTACCAGACACAGAAACCCGCGTCACTTGACAGACCCCGAAACGCTTAGAAGACCGCACGAAATGGATGCCGGCATCTGGTGTGCAACTATAACTTTCAATCTGATCGGCTACACCTTAACCACCAAATAGGCACTACCGCATTTCAAGCGCAATGGTTCGGGAAGCATCATTAACACCTGCGCCGCCGCTGCTTTCTTCGGTGAGCCCCTGTACCCAGCCTGCGCAGCGTCGAAAGTGGGAGTCCACACTCTCACGCGACATATCACCCGAACCTAGGGGCCCCAGAACATCGGAGTCAACGCCTTAGCTCTTGGCCTAACAAACACCCAGACATTCGCCAAGTCGCTTGCGGAATCTCCCCTCCTTCGGGATGTAATCAACAAGAGTGTCCCACTAAAGCGAGCAGGTGAACCTAGTGAAGTTACATCTCTGGTCTTGTATTTACTCTCGCACGACGCTGCATATGTCACTGGCCAGATATGGTCAGTGAATGGCGGGCTCACGTTGCCCGAATAGTAACTAGATAGCACTATTAGGACTAGGTTTCTTAAGTACTATGATAAGGTCGTCGTTATTTACTGAGAGCAGCTTCCAATTAGTACTTCTAAAGATAAGAACCCTTCTTAAATTAATAAACTCCTAGAAGGCCATTTCTAAGGCGCTTAGGGTTCTCTATACGTCGGCTTATACCAGACCCGTGCCTAAGATCACAGCTGGCGACCTTGGGACAGCGCTTGCTCCTCAGGCTCAGACTTAGACTCTGGTTTTGTAAGGATATACTGGATGGCACTCAAGGAGAGACACCAAGGTCACGAGAAGCTCCGATTCTTAATTCCAAAACTCAACTATTGTCAAAACTTCAATTTGCCCTAGGACTGACTTGTACCCCCTTTTTCTTAGCCCTGGCTCTGAGTGGGTGCCGATTAAGCCCCGACGGTCGAGCCAGCTTGGTCATTCCAAGCTGCCAAGTTTCGTTTCAGTGTCCACAGTATGCTTCCGCCCTGTCCTTACAAAGCTATACTTTGTGAGGTTGAATTGGCTTCGGAAGGCTAACGTAGTCGTAGGTTGCCGCCATATTCAACCAGGACACGGCACATGGATGATCTGGGTTTACCCCACCATATAGAAATGAATGAGGGAAGCCGAGATCAAAGGGTACTGCGCTTTCGATCTCTTCAATATCTGCATCGTCAAGCTGTAGAGTCAAGGCAGCAATATTACGCTTCAGGTGGTCTACCGTTCGGCCGCCAACAATGGGGAAGGTGTAAGGGGCTTTGTGCATGACGTAGGCGAGTGCAACGCTTGTCGGCAAAGTATTCTTCCTCGTTGCTATAATTTCCAGCACCTTGCTCACCTGTAAATCCACTGCAGAGGGGGGCTGTACCTTGTTACGGAGAGAGTCTCCTGCTTTACGTTCCTCCTCCGTCTTGAATTTTCCCTGGCCAAGGGCGCCCCAAGGAGCTAGAGCCATCCCTTCATCACGAGCCATCGGAAGGATTTCCCTCTCAAAATCGCGGCATGCGGCCGACCACAATCCTTGATAGACTGAGAACTGCCGGAGAGCATGATCTCGCGCATACTGGTTCGCTTTGGTGACGACCCAAGCCGGGGCATCACTAATCCCAAGGTACAACACTTTACCGGAGACAACGAGCTGGTTGAGAGACTGCATTAACTCGGGGATGGGGGTAGAGAAATCCCAAAAGTGCACGTAGAACTGTGGACTATCGTAAGTTGTGAAATTAGAAAGAGGAGGCAGAGCCGGGTAGAATCAGGCGTACCACATCAATGTAATCCGTCTTCAACCTCCTCAAGCTGGCGTCGAGCGAGACGCGCATGCTCTTTGTACTATTGCCGGTTGAGTTGGCCGTGATCTCCGCAGCGCTGTGGCCTGCACCGGCCCTCAGCGAATACTTGGTAGCAAGGACTGGTTCCATTTAGCATTACTGGAGGCCGTGAAGTTTGAACCCAGGCTTACCTATCTGATCCCTGTTGCCGCGCTTCTTCATCCAGTCCCCAATCCACTCCTCGGATTGGCCACCTTGATAGCTGTTTGCGGTGTCGATGAAATTTCCTGTAGAATCATTCTTAGTTCCCATACCTAGCAGACACGAGAGACCGTGGATCGGAATCGTACCGCCCTACCTTCCAGTTAGCGACTTGATTTCCTTTCAACGCCCGCCCACTTATACCTACTTGTTCGTGGAAAAAGTCAAGGATAGCCTCCGTCGTCTCTTTATCACAGCTGCCTACCAGCCCTTTCCTGCATACGGGGGGTCAGCTATAATCGCAACGGCATGTAATGGCTTTTTTGGTCGTACCAAGCGTCCCCAAAGCTCATACTGCCCAGGCAAAGAGGGCTGACCCGGACGGAAGCGTTCGGTGACAGCAGCCGGTAACGCGCCAATGGGCTGTGAGGATCCGGCGCCGCAAAAACACTAGCAGACATTGTGCAAATTGATGAAACAGTAAAAACCTTTGGTATGTAAATGATTCCGACTCTGGGATATTTTCAATCCAGATTCGGGGGATCAGCTGGTTAATATATAGGCAAGATTAGGGCATTTGGACTAGCTGTTAAAAAAGGGTGTCGTATAATAGCTAGTATGGTAACTAATACTTCCAATAGACTACGTTTCCATGAGAAATTAACTTCTATGGAGATCGTGAGTGACTGGTAGCCAGAACCTGGCGGCGTTTCGGGTTCTTGAAGTAACCCGCTGGGGAAGAACCTTATCTCCGTTAGTCTGTTTTAGGTCCGATGGCGGGGAATTTGCGTTGGCTATTTCTTTCCGACAGGACGTGGGTTTCCCCGAGCTTTGTAATCATCAATTCCTATGACGCGTGGCATGCGATGATCAGTTGTTTGCATGATAGAGAACTTTTCAACTTGTTTTATAGAGATTGTTTGCAGCTCGCGTTAGACAGAAACAGACGGTCATACCTCATACCTACGGTCCGAAAAATTATCGGCGACTCTTATCCAGATTCCAGCCCTTCTGCCCCTATTAAGCGCCGATCTACGGCTAGTTTCAGCTATCAACTTTTCCCCAGCATTGACGCGCCTGAGACATGGCTACAAGAGCTCTTATCGTTGGGGGAACTGGCGGTATCGGCTTTGCTATAGCCTGCCGTACTGCTGCCGAGTCTGCGTCGTCCATAGTCACCATAAGCGGCCGCAGTAAGCCAAAAGATATCCCTCATGTCAACATCCAGTTTCGGCCCCTCGATGCGTCTTCCATGCATGCAATCAAGCAATATACAGACGCATACAAGTCTTCACAGGAGCAGAAGCTTGACCTCCTTGTCCTTACCCAGGGCATACTTTCAACGGCAGGGAGGACAGAGACGCCAGAAGGAATCGATCGCAAGATGGCGCTTCACTATTACGGGAGACAGCTGTTGATTCGCGAACTTGCTCCCATTTTGAAGCCCGACGCGAAGGTGCTCATCGTGCTTGACGGTACACGCGGCAGCCCAACCAAGCTCAATTGGGAAGACCTGGACCTCAAATCTCACTATAGCATCGCCAACGTAGCCAACCACTGCATTTCAATGACCGATGCTATGATCCAGACATATGCTGCGCAACAAGGCGGGGAAACTGCCGCTAGGCGACACTTCGTGCACGCTCACCCTGGCATCGTTCAAACCAACATCACCGAATCCCTCCCGTGGTATATGCGTGCCGGCTCACGAGCTCTCATGCACCTGTTTGGTGTGTCACCTGATAAGTGTGCCGAAAATCTGCTCAAGGGAACATACGAGTGTGCAGCGGCAGGGGAGAAGGGGGATAGGTTCTGGAGTTGTATTGACAATAACGGTCACATAGTTACCGATAAACCAGTTTGGAGTGAGGAACAGATAAAGCAGGTTGAAAAACACACCTGGAAGGTCATCGACGATGCCATCAAGACGGCTCACATGTAAATTCCCGAATAATGCCTTCTTTTTTTTTAAGGACAGCACTAGTTTGTAGAGCCTAGCAATTCATCACTTATATGTAACAAAACTACACCTGATCAATGTTCCCTCCTTCCGTATATAGAAGACACCGGGCTCCAATATGATAGAGCAATAGTAAGATAACCCTAGAAGTATAAAAGTGAGTGGCTGCTATGTAGGGCCTACTGCTATGGACAGCTAAAGGACCTAGTGATGTCGCTAGAGTCGAGCGGCTAGTACCGAGCTAGGACAGCCGCAAGAACATCTGTGTAAGCTGAAGGAGTATAAAGATTGATCAGGCCTGTCACCAGCGCGCTCCGGTATAACTCTATTTCCGGCAAGTGGCATACGCTTTTGAGAACCCCACGAAGCACCGCTCTCATTTTCCCAGCAGACCATGCTAGGAATGAGCTCGAATCACTGTTCATCTAGCAGAACTCGCTCACAAAGGAGGTAGGAACTTCGTTTAGGCTACTCACATCCTGGATCGACAAAATACCCAAATACCGCTACGGAAATCGGGCAACCCATAAGTCCGTGCCACCCTAGTTGACAGCTCGCGACGGGTGAATTTTCCGACATGCGTGAGCGGGTGAAAGCGAACAAGATCTCATTCGCCAAGAGTTGTTCCAGCTACTATTCCCGTAAGCGCCCCCCAACTTGGATCGACCGAGGATCGGTATAGGTAGCGGTGGTATAGACTGGGCAATTGAGATCGCGACGGATCGACGCCGACTACCAGGAATATTCGACGAAGACGGTAGCAATCTCGTAGCAAACGCGTCGTTCGAACACGGGCTTGGATTTTATTATTCCTCATTTCGCGTCACCTCCACTCCCCATATCCTGACAATACCAGCCCAGCTCAATGCTATCTCCGCATTCCTCTCTGGGATAATGACGGCAATGTCTACTAGTCGGAATGAAACTTGATTATCCCGATCCCGGTAGAAATCCGTCGTACAGGGCTGTGTGGCATGTCCGTCTCAGAATAGGGCCAGGCCGGGGCCGTGACCTGGCTTGACTTGACTCGAGATCCACTACGACGTGCATGCCGTTAAGATTCGGACTAGTCTCCTGGGCCTACTCACCCGAGGGTCGTAGCGAGATTGAACTCCTTCCAGAAGTTCCCTTCTTTTCCTTTTATCTCTTTTATTTTACCATTCACTTCATTACTGCTAGGTCAGTAGGTCTTTGATAGACATTATGGTTTCCTTCACCGAATTTGTTATTGCATCAGCTGTGCTGGTTGGGGCCCCTGGCCACGGAGTCATCCTCGGCGCACAGGGCGAGAAGGGATCACCTGCCAGCGTAGGGTTCAAGGGTGAGTCTTCGAAAGTGCGGAACTTAGCTGCAAAGCAAATGACCCACCCCCTAATCTCTAACGCATTTCTCAGTCAACCCCGATATTGCCCGCAACTGCATGACCATAAACCCCTACCAGCAGGATGCCACCTTTATCCGTGATGCCGAGATCAAAGCCAACCTTGTCAACGAGTGTGGCTGAACAGAACTCTCCGGTAATATTGATATTGGCGAGGAGATGGAGAACGCGCTAGCTGCTGGTGCTGTCACCTAGGTGAAGCGCAGTAGCACCTTGGCGGTTTGTATTTACCATCCCACTTTGCTACACGTATCCCATCTTCTAACATTTTAGGTTTAAAATAATACAGGTTACTATCTACCAGGTTAATGCTGATGGTGCCGGCCCTTATTTGTGTGATCTCGATGTCACTAGTAACACCAGTCGCCTTGTTGGTCAAATCCCTCTAAACGTCATTAATAATGTTCCTGGAGTGAATGGCTTCTCTCAGGCTAAGGCTCGGTAATTTGTTATCAACGTCTAGATGCCTGATGATTTCCAATGTATAGGAGGTATGGAGATGAAAAGTACCCCTTTACAGTTGTCCCCCCAACTATCCACCAGGTTCCATTCCGGCAACAGCTTGATACTAATACAGAACAACGCAGCCTCCACTGGAAACATTTACACCGTTCCCTGCATCGCCAGGAATGAAGCTATCCGGTGCGGAGAGAAGCGCACCTAGTCTTGTCCACATCAACTTCAAAATGGAAATTGGCATATCTCTAGGGTGTGTTGGACTATACCTCGCGAGCAAGCTTGTGCGTCGTGCCTCACCGGCTACCGATCTCTCAAATACTTGCCAACATTGAACTCTTCTGTCCAAGCTGCCCGATCAATTAGTTTTACATTCGGGTTTGAATATACCCGTCTACCCTTTGAATACGTGTGCGAGTGTCTAAAACACAGGTGGATGTGGATATGTAAGTTGTAATCCATGACCTCACGGCTACCAGAATAGCGGTCCGCTATACTTGGGATAGGATTATGGTCACCGACACTCACCTGTTAATCCCAGTCCATGTCAAGGATTTCTGGTACCTTCGTATGGTGGTTTCTTGTGGCCCGGACAATATCTTGATTCTTGATCGAAGCCCTACGATACAATGCGATCGGTAACCACTTACCATATGCGCCAAAATCCAAACCTCGGGAACGTCTTCATAAGAAATTTGGTATGCTGATGTTGAGGATACTCAATACTTTTGGCCTCTTCTCTCCCCCCCAAATCAAGCTGCATCTGCTTTGGGGATGCCCCCTACCTTCAGTAACCAACCCCGGTCTAGCCGCCGCCTCCTTCCCAGGTCGTCGAGCATCCTGTCGGTAGCGCGCAGCCCCCATATATCCAACATGACGTTGTCGGCGCCATCCCGCAGTTTCTGCGGCGGTCGTGGTTTCGAGGAAGGGCTCTATCTCTTCAGGTGCGTCTTCCTACTTCTTAAGCGCAGTCGGGAGATCTCCAATTGCACAAGTGGTGCGCACAGACCCGCGGAAACTCTCGAACTCCGTTCGAAATTTGAGGGCGACAGTATTAGCATCCGACTACTTCATCGAGCTAAGCTCCTGAATGGTGAAAGCTTTCGCTGTCCTAAAGGAGACTGCGGGAAGCTCGGACTGTCTGTAAACCTGGGGGCGGCCGCAAGCTTGATGTACGAACAAGGAAATTTTGAAGCTCACGAGATTGGGTAACTCTAGAGCCATCCTCCGCACATAGACAGGCCAAGAGCTACCTCCGCCAATAACATCAAACGGCGCTTCCAAAAAAACGGAGGCGTTTGCACGATAACTACCACAAGCCTTGAAAAAAAAAAAAAAAACGTTATAGCTGCATATCGGCCACCCAAGCCTTTCGTACTCCCTGCCTTCCCTGTCAAGGTGCATATTCATCGCCTGCCGGATCAGCTCCCTATATTCGCGCCGGATCTCGCGGCTGACATTGCGCGTGAAGATGTTACGCCGTCCAAAAGTGGAATATGTTCTGCGACCAAAAGATCGGTGCTTCGCAGCGTGCGCGTGGCCAGTCACTCACTACTTTGGCTACTCCTCCTTGATTGGCCTATCCTCAAGATTGTCCCGTTGTTTTGCCATTCTGCCATGCCATACCGCCTTCTGTGGTTATCTTGATGAGGATAATAACGCTAGCCTCCCCCCGACATAGGTTGTAGTTAGACGGTATTCTTATTTAATAAATCTATCCATCTCGACTGTAATTCCGATATACTGTTCCACATGCCGCCAAAGCGAACCTATAGAGCGTGTACTGCATGCCGATCCCGTAAGGTTTGGGAAAACTCGTTGACTTTCGGTTTTATGCGAAATATTCGCAGCTTATTAACGGATATTTGGTGGCGTATAGGTCCGGTGTGATGTCGGCAACAGTAACCAGCCCAAATTCCCTTGCCTACGATGTCGCCGTATGGACCTAACATGCATTCCATCCACCACCAACGCATCGGAAAAGAACCGAGAACATGGTAACCACGGGAGCACAAATTCTGCCACACACATAGATTCTCATGGTCCACGGACTCGGACTTCGGCACGGAATCAGGTGGATCATGCTGAAAATGAAGAATCGATTCAAGTACCTACAGATGTGGAGCCGTACTCTCTGATAGGAGAAGCCGTACATAATCCCACTGATGCACTTAATGTCTTGCTTCAAGTCGCCGAATTATCCAGTTCCAAAAGGCGAAAGGTGCCTCCTGCAAATAATGCTCCGGGAGCAAATGAGGTGACATTGACTCCTTCTGAAGCGGATGATGGTAATCGAGAAGAGAGGAGTGACGCGCATGCGCAGTCGCCGACCCCGCATACACTGACCTCGCAGAATGCCTGGAAGAAGTGCTGGCTTGTTCGAAGAGGGTGGCTGCGCCCGGAAGAGGGGGCCTGGTATGTTACGGAGTACGTTCATCAAAGCCAAACTGGAGTATCCTTAGAAAACTACAGAGCTGACGGTGTGCTTAATCTAGATTCTTCAGAATATTAGCGCCAATGACACCGGTAGTGTCGGACTTCTTTGCCGACCCACAAACCCACGATCATCTCGTCGAATCCGAGCCAATCCTCTGCTACACCATCCTCACCATTTCATCCATGTACCACTTTCTTCCGGCGAGTAGCAGTTCACCAAGCAGTGAACTCGTACACGTTAAATCTTGGGACATTGTCAAGGGTCTCTGTCAGCGAGTTTTTTGGGCCGAGGAGAGGGGTTCGAAATCGAAGCTGAGGACATTTGGCACAATACTCGCCCTTCTTTTGCTTGTTGAGTGGCCACCGAGAGCAGCAATCAGCTTACCACCGGATGACATGAGCGATGTCGTCTTCTATGAAGCAGATGCAGCTATAGCTACCCCGATGCATCAGACGAGAATCTTGGAGGATTCGGATAGACACATTAGGCTTGCGAACGGTATGTCTACGGCTTGTAGTCTCTTACTGCTCATAACTTATTGACACTCGTAGCAACTCAATGGATGGCTGATCTCAGCCAGCCGATCATTCGGTCAGACAGAATGTCAGGGTATGTTCCAATCCCATCATCTAAAATCACTCTAACAATCCTGTTTTGCTCCTAATTTCTCCCCAGCATGCTTCTTGGGATGGCATCCTCCCTGGCGAATGAGCTAGATACTCCTGCTCTAGGAAATCGTGCGCTGGAATCCAACGCAAAGATCATGAGTCGCGAAGAAAGATATGTTTATCGAAGGACCCGTGTCCGGGTTCTTATTCACATCTACTCCATGCAGTCGGCCATCACACCGCGCGCGCCCTGGAATCGACATCAGGCACCAGGGGACGTGGAAACTGAGACGTTGGAGCGTCGAGCTGCCGTGTCAAGCCATAAAGAAAGGGAATGGTTGCGTGCTGTTTTGGCTCGAGCATCTTTGTCGCGGCTAGCTCAAGAGTCGACGGCCGGGCTCTTAGAGTCACCGAGGTTCACAGTCGAATTGAGCCGGGACACGTCACATATTCACCTCTTGAACCGCTTTCTCCCACTCCTGGATAAATGGTCCTTGGCTACTCAGGAGTCAGGTTGTAGGTCTAACGTACTTGAAGAGGAAGAAGGACACAAAACATGACTCGAATTCTAACTGCCATATTTAGTCATGTCTCCAATGCGAGAGCTCCTCGAAATCGAACATCAAGCCATTCGAATCCAGCTTGCATCGATATCAGTACATAAAATATCCAAACGATTATTGGAACAAGTTGACTTGCGGCTGGATAGTTCTCCTGCCGATGAGTATTTATTCAAGATTCAGGAGTTTTTAGTATCTAGCACCGATAACCGCGATGACTATCACTTCGTCAGAGAGGCAGTCAATGGCTCGCGGTCTCTACTGGGAATCGTTGTTACATTGGCCGACGAAGGATACCTTTCCATGGCGCCATTTCGCGTCTTTAGCAGAATTCTCTTTGCAGCCACGCTCCTTCTCAAGGTCGGGGAACATTACCCAACCTCATAGCAGTGCACCAACTGACAGTTCCAATAGGCGACTTGCATCTCGCCCATCATGATGGACCTTGAAAATGCACTCAGTATTATCCAGACTACGAAGCAGAAGCTCAGCGAATGTGCGCCCGACAAGGTACACCCCGCTTATAAAACAGCCACTTTGATTTCACTGCACATTAACCAACTACGGTCGCTTCTTGCTGCACACGAGAGAGCATCGGGAAGCGTAAACGAGGGGCAGCCCACGATCACTACCGCGACCGATTCTACCCCAACAATTAGTGAGTATGTCAGAAGTATTGATAACCTCGTTTTAGAAACTTCATCCGGGGTTCAGGGACAGGATAACGGCTTGGCATCATCAACTTTCGATTTCGACTACAGTCATCAGATGCACGGATTTCTTCCAGTACTCTCTCAGGAAGACTGGCTGTTCTCCGACTTTGGCTCGCTTGGACTTGGTTATCTTCTAGGTAGCAATCCGCTTGATGTTGCACTTCTTTCAGATTCTGGTTCTCTTGGTGAGACAGAAGGAAATCACTGGCACTTTGCATAATACATAGGCAAGTTTTTAGTCTTGACTTTCCTACATTCAATCAAGTCTCTGGAGTAGATCCTTTGCCTCATTTTCTCATTGATTTAAACAATCTGACCCGACATTTTGGACGAAAAAAATTGTTGTATTCAGACCACAACTCTTCGTTACGAGTGCACCGGCAGCGCGCGTGCTATTGAAACCGGCTATAGCTGATATCGAAAGTCCTTATTTTCCTTGTCCGTTATATCATCCAAGCCGTGTTCAGTCCCGGCAGGGCCGTTATCCCGATCCCTGTGAACGTTCTTCCTAGCCAGGTGCAATCTCAAAAGCAGGGCCAACCCGAAGCAGACGGCCAGGCAAATCATGGTTCCCATGAAGCCTGGATCGTACCTCGGTGCGTCCTTGCTGTGAAGTTGTCAGCATATCGCTTGAATCAATTTGAAATTGGGGGGATTGCTTACCGATTGAAGATGAGCGGTCCGGCGATGTTTCCGAGGCAGTAGAAAACAAAGATCCCAGCGGAGCTGGTGGCCTTCTTTGTGTATCCTCCGACGTTGGAGGTACCGAAGCCGATTACTTGAACGTAGGCTGATGAGAAGAAGTTCATCATGTAGAAGCCTGCGAGTCGACCTGCATTATTGGCCGTTGGCAATTGCCATCTACCAGTTCGTTAGCTTGCAGTGATAATGTAGGAAGTGCGATCGATCGACTTACGCGAGACAGCAGCCCAATACCACCATAAGACAGGCAGTCATCACCACAAAAAGTCGAATATTTGGAATTTTCCGTCCCAGTGTAGCTGATGTCAGGATGCAGAAAAACGCCATCGCGCCGTTGGGGATATTGAGGAGTAAGGCTTGCTCCTTGTTGAAACCCATGTCGCTAAAGATCAGTGATCCAAAGGAAGAAATTGGGCCACTGACAACGCTGGTAAGCATCGACATGAGATTGACAACCCAGAAAGTCACGCTTCCCAAGCATTCAAGCACATGGGGAAGTTTGAAACGGCGGTTCAGTGTTCCCGCATTGTCGGCCTGCATACGCCTTTGAATCAGGGCTCTCTCCTGGTCCGTGAATCCCTTGGCGGAGAGGGGGGAATCGGGGAACAAGAGAAAGATGATGATAGACCATAGACATGTGATTGCTCCCGCAATTAGATACATCCACTGCCAGGAACGAAGACTGTCGGACTTGATGTGGCCGATACCGTAGCTTATGACTGGAATGATGATGTTTGCGCCGCCGCTGAAACTGTACCAAAGTCCGGATCGAAGGAGTTGTTCCCGCTTGTCGTACCACATCGAAACAACAAGCCTGAAAATGATCAGCATTGCGGGTGGATTCCTATGATACCTAGGGAAGATAATAATCACATGAATGCAGGCGCTACACCACTCTCAATAAAGCCCAAGAAGAATCTGTTGACGAGGAGACCTTCGTACGACTTGCACCCAGCTGTGGACATTACCACGGCAGACCAGATGAGAACCATGATGCCACACACTTTTCCAGTTGGAAACATCTGAGCTAGATAGGAAATCTGTTAAAACGGTTAGCGCAAGTAAGGTCAATCGAGGTATTGGTCGAGAGTCCTCACAGGGAATGCGCCCAGAACGTATCCACAGTAGAAGATCATGGAGGCATTCGAGAATCTTTTGTCTTCATTTTAGCTCGAGTTGATAAAATCTGTCTTCACAGAGGCGGATCTTACCGAGACGGATTCACATCCAGTCCAAGGTCTTGAATGAGCCCGTATACAGCGGCGTGACCCAAAATCACCTTGTCATAGTATTGTAGTCCGTATGTGATGCACATCTACTGGCTGGTTAGTACGAATTCCCCCAATATGTGATTGTTGGGGTGGTTCGAGACATGCAATCGGTAGAAGTCGTAGGTCAATCTTGCTATAAAAAGTCTCATAGTTAGTAATCGTCACAGCTTGGGGGATACACAAGAATTTTAGGGAGGAGGCACGCACCGAACCAACTTCTTTATGGCCACTTTGGTCTCCTCATCAGACAAAGCATGAGTGTCCACCTTCTGGGCCTCACAACAGTCAACATTGGATGCTCTGGGGATTGTTTCCGCGTGGTGAGCTGTAGCCTGTGGAGTCTTGCCCATCATGACGAGATGTCGATGGAGACTTTCAATAGGTCGATCTAGGCGGTCAAAAGCCAAGTGAAGCGTAGCACCGCAGCGTGCCACTGAAGGAGACGGGGCAGATAGTCTGGTAAGAACCTCAATGATACTTACAATGTATCGAGATTGAACAAGAACAACAAGAAATAAAATGGTACGATTGTGGTTCGAGACCCGCTATTTAAGCATTTTAAAGACTATGATGGAAATATCTTCCCCATGGGGAAGATCCATTAACAAGACGCGGCAAGGAGACCTGGGGTTTGCCGGTTTCCCCACAGTCCAGGCTATTGGGATTTGTGGGGGATTTTGTGGGGTAATACTTGACCGCCCTTCTCCGCGCTGAATTAGTGACCGAGACACGGCGAAGTGCGCAGAGGTGCGGAGAGGTGCGGAGAGGTGCGGAGAGGTGCGGAGAGGGTCGGGAAGGCGCGGAGACGGTTAGCCAGAGGAAAGTGTGTCACGGCCTGTTCGTCGGCACTCATTGATCAATTGATCGCAAACCAATTGAATAAATACTGGGAGGGACCGGCTATCGACTGCTGATCATATCAATTCTCATCCACATCTCATGTGCACAGCTAGATTCAAGCTCTCAGGTTGCTTCCCTTGCCAATTCGCACCATGGCCTCGACCGTTCTACCACCAAAATTGTCTGCGACAGAATTCCAGCGGGCCATCGACAAGTTCAAGGAAGTCTTGGGAGGGGAAAATGTTCGCTACCGCAACGAGGAGCTGCTAGGTGAGTCTTTTGATTGCCTATGATCCGCCTTCCCATTTCAATATGCTCGCTGGGCCGCAGCGAACTGACTTATGACCCCTGGTCTTCAGCTTACCGTGACCCATTCCCGATCGCAACAACTGAGGAGCATGCAAACTTGTGTTCCGCTGTCGTCCTGCCATCGACAGTCGAAGAAGTCCAAGAAGTTGTCCGAGTCGCAAACCGGTTCAATGTACCGCTGTGGCCTTTCTCTCGAGGCAAAAACAACGGATACGGTGGACCAAGCTGTCGGGTTCAAGGCTCCATTCTTGTTGACCTCGGTAGAATGAGGAAGATTATCGAGGTGAACGACAAGGCTTGCTATGCTTTGCTAGAACCCGGCGTTACCTTCTTCGATCTGTTTAACTACTGCAAAGAGAAGAAGCTGAAGGTTTACCCATCCGTTCCGTCGCTGGGATGGGGCAGTATCGTCGGCAACACAATAGACAGGGGTTGGGGTTATACGCCACTGGGTGAGCATTGTGCCGCACAATGCGGTTTAGAAGTCAGTTGGTTTTCTCTACCTGTCCTTAAGTTTCCAGAGCTGACACCGTCTGTTAGGCTGTTCTGCCATCGGGCGAAGTGATCCGCACGGGTATGGGTGCCGTAGCAGGTAGCCCTACATGGCAATGTTTCAAGCCCGGTTATGGACCATCAATAGACGGTCTCTTCTTCCAGTCCAACTTTGGTATTGTAACCAAACTGGGAATTTGGCTCTACCCTAAACAGCAAGGCTTTATGAGCTGCAACGTATCGGTAGACAAAGAGTCTGATCTGGTGCCACTCGTTGACCGGCTCGGCCATCTCTACCGTACAGAGGTTCTACAAAACCACCCTGTTATTGGCAACCCTATTCGATCAATGGCCGCTTCTGGTCCACGAAAAACCGTCTACTCCGGAGAGGGGGCAATTCCTAATTGGATCGTCGAAGATTGGAAAAATAAGAGCGGCAAGGGCTTCTGGAACGCAAGGTTTGCTCTTTACGGTGAGCAACGTTTCCACTCAATGACAGATGGCAGTCTAACATAATACGTTATCCACAGGAACGGAAAAGATGATGAATTGTCGTTGGGACGCTATCAAGGCTGCTTTTTCCGACCTAGCGAATTGCAAGCTCGGACAAGAGACATATCTGGCCGACGACCCGTCCGGCCTATTGGACGCGGAGAAGGTTCCAGTAACAGAACAAGGCGGAACACAAATCGGCCTTCCGAACATGTTGCGACTGCAATCCATCAAGTTTAGGGGGGAAGACGGCGGGCACATCAGCTTCTCCCCCGTCCTTCCTCCCGATGGACAAGCCGCGCTCAATTTTTACTTTGTCGGCAAAAAGATCTGTGCAAGACACGGATTCGACTTCCACGCCGGGTTCCATCTGTATCCCCATCACATGATCCACCTCAATCTTCTTTACTTCGATAATACCTCCAACTCCCAGAAGAAGGCAGCGGAGTTATGCTTCTTTGAGCTTCTCGCATCTGCCAGGAAGCATGGTTACTCCGAATACCGGACCCATCTCAACTTTATGGATGCTGTTTCTGATCAGTTCGACTTCAATGACCACATCCACCGGCGGTTCGTTGGGCAACTTAAGGACTGTATAGATCCCAACGGTATTCTAGCACCTGGAAAGTGTGGCGTATGGCCCAAGCAGTACAGGATGGGTAAATGCGTTAAGAAGCAGTCTAAGTTATAAGAAGAGAAGGACCACGCCCAGCCAACTAGAATCTTATAGAATAGAAGTATCCTTGTTTAAAATACTATGATACCGTATCGGCCCACGAAGGCCGCGTCTACTGGAGGCCGTTCGTAAGCATGATCATCTTCGTGGTTCTGAAGCGCTGCAATAGGATTCTCGTCAGAATGTCCCAGCATTCTTTCAAAAAGCTCCCACAATGTCCGGCCAACCATCATCTTTCTCCACAAACATCGAGAAAAGCAGCTTTCAGGCTCAGATTTATCCCGTTTTCGTCCTAATCGATCGGTTACTCAATCCATTGGCTGTATGGAACTCCCTTCAGATGCCGTTGGATTATTTTCTAGCTGATGAAGGGTAACACACGTTCTGGGCACGCCACGTTCGATCAATGGTTGCTAGCATCCACACTTAATAGGCACTACTACTTGACAGCTTGTGTTCCTAGTCAGTTTTGCTAACTGAAGACACGGCCCTTTTAAGACGGGATGTCCTTTGGAGGACTGCACAGATTTCACATAGTGATGGGCTGTATGGCTGCATCCACGGAGGGTTATTTGATATATAAGCGGCTGGAAATGCTAAAGGTCCTAAAACAGGTGGAAGGTTGTCAATTTAGTAGTCCAAAACTGGTCTCCGTAGCCCAGAATTGGTCGATATTTGGCATCATAGAAAGGTTAAGTAATCTGGCAAGAGAGCTGGCAAAACCTAGACTGTTCTTTTCCAGACCTTCACTTTACCTCCGCGAATGCAGGCAGGGGTCCATAATCGAGGCTAGGCAGGAGATAAAGAACCTTCATGTTCAGGCAGCAACGTAACCCCCTGGTCGCTTGTCACATTGGCCATTGAACTCATGGCCGCTTCCCGCAACCCCTTCATTTTTGGCACGCCTTAGTCTGGCTGCCTCGAGGGATTATGTTATGATTCGTCCATAGGATATATTGCTCGCAAATAGTAAACGAGGATGCTCAAGTGTGGGTGGATCGCGTAGCCAACTACATCACCGAACTCACTGTAAAAACACTTTGCCGCATCAAACGTTGCCGCCCGACATCTAATTGGGCAACCACCCTCTACGAAGCTACAAGCCATTGATAATCCGGATGCGTCATTTGGAATTGATGTTATTTATATACTGGGCAAACCTCGCTGTCATAGACATCCTGCTCTAGATTCGTCTTTCTAAATCTAGTTGAGCTGGCAAGTTTCAATTATCCCTTGTGGACCGTATTTAAGCTTAGCTTTAAACACAAGAAAAGCGACCTTCAAACCGGGAAATACGATAGGAATCATGACTGGTCTACTCAGCTGAAGGGGTGAGCAGAGAAGCTGAGCGGGACTGATGAGGGCTGATGGAAGGCTGAGCCGAAGTTGAGCCGGGAGACGAGGGCACCCTGAAAGGGGCCACTCACGCTAACCAAAATCTCACACACTTTTCATCTTCGAATACCAGGTCATTTAAGGGTAAATAAGCAACTTGCAGATCTTGTCAAAATGCAGCCACGAGCATGCATCAGCTAAATAGAGTCTCCAAGGAACGCAAAGGGACAGTAACACCGCCTCCGACCCGCGGTACAGGTCTTATACAACTTGAAATATACCGGCAAATGAGCCCATTTAAACTAGCATTCGAACAACTCACACCCTGCTTAAGGAGCCGAAACTCGCATCCATGACCGTTTCCGCCTTGCCCACCATCTTCCTCTCCCTCTAGCAAGAAGCCTAACTGGGCGAGAGAGCGACGCGGGTGGTTACGGGAAAGTTCTTCCTTTTTGCCCCGTCTTGCCTACTCTCTACCCCTGATCTTGTTCTTCGAAGAGTGCCGATCGGTCAGTGAAACGGCATGCATTCCTTTGGGGATGTTTCCTCATGACATCATGAGTGGCGGTGTTTTCTATAAAAAGCAGTGATGAGGACTTGCCGGCGGGATGAAGCGAATCAACCGTACTCTAGTCTGCAGAGGCAGAACTCCATTCTGCAGAGAATACCTGTTTTCAACAACCAACCGTGTTCTAGCTATATTACTCCCAGCGATGCTAGTCGGTACCGTAGAAGTCCTAGCGAGCATAAATAATCAGGGTCATTCCTCTTATTGACTTCGTTCCCGGAGGTTTTGCCCAAGCCATCAGATCTCACAAGCTCCTCGCCCGCCCTCACACACCAAGATTACCCTTCAACTCAACCAACCAAATCCGAAACAATGAAGTTCCTCAGCACCCTTATCCCCCTTGGCCTTTTCGGCTCCATAATGGCTATGCCTTCCGCCCCAGAAGCCCTCATCGTCAAGCGCACAACCAACTTCAACGACCTCTTCGCCCAAGTCGACGCTCACATTTCTGCAGCAGGTATGCCGGGCACTTTTCTTCCAACACCAAATGCCATATGGGAACTTAATCTAACTCAGGAAAAATCAGTAAGCACCTGTGTTGAAGCGGCAGTTGACAACACCGCCGCCCTTGAAATCCGCGAATCCATCGCCGCCGAAATCGAAGCAGACCTGGCCGCCTGCGCTGACCTTCTCGCCGAGGCAGCCGCCCAGCTCAAGGTCTCCGCCGAAGTCGATGTCGTCGCCGATAATAGCGGGTGCGATAGGAGTTGCGTCGAGACCCTTGTTGTTGATAAGTCGAGGAACTTTTGTGAAGATGCTCGTGACGTTGTTGATCGGTTGGGTGAGGGTGAGTTTCTCACAGGACCCGCTTTTTCATTGTCATCCGTTAACGTGAATAATAGAAGCCGTCAAAGTGTATGTCAAGCCCGCACTGAAGGCCTTTGGAGAGTTCACCGTCAGTCTAAACAGCGTTTTCGCTGGAATTGGGGCCTCCATAAATACCGTGGTCAAGAGCGCTCTTGGCGCCGCTCTTAGTATCTCACTTGGGTTAGATCTCGATGTCCTTCTTGACATTGGCTTGGGGCTTGGCGGCGGAATTGGTATCGGCGGAGGCAAGATGTAAGTGTAAGTCTGCCTCCATGCTTGCAGTCGTGGCCCTATGTTAGGTCGGTTCAGGGCAGAGATCCCTATATGGGATATGGGAAGACTCTCTTATCCGCACTATGGCTTGGGCTACGTCCGCCTTCAGTTTAGTTTTTCCTCGTCTTCTTTCTCTTCCAACCCTACAACAGGCCAAACTGCCTCTATGGCTCACCGATTGACATCATCACAACATTGGGACTCGGCCTATATATTAAACTCCTCATTCTAACTGAGGTTACTAAACCTGTAACTATCTAACTTTCTTAGTTGAGGGCCTTGCAAAATATCAATCTACGCGTGATGTTAAGAAATAGACTTGTGGAGGTACACAGCGCCGGACGAGTTCATGGAGCGGTACACAAGTGATGAGTCTGTCCAGGCAAGCTCTTACTCACCCAACCCTTGATATCACGCCTGTCTAGAGCGCTGCCTCCAGTGTTCTACTTTTATTCAGTAGGAGCTTTGAGTGCTGGTAGATTGCGGTAGAACCACCAGCACCATGTTCCAGCTAGCTAATCACTCTCCTCGGCGCGTGCTCGTGGGAGTGTAGGGAAGAACAACTATCTCCATTAATACATCCTTTCCCAACTTCTCTTAGCGCTATGGGAGCTTGAGGCCAGTGGTTGCCAAAAGCAAGGTGTGAAACCTGATAAGGTGTGCCTGAAGGGTACATTTATGCCCTTTACCGATGCCGTAACACTTTACCGGTTCGGCAGGCGGTGAGGCAAGGGGCTTCGAGCCGGCTCGACCTGACTTACGAGGCTTCGAGGCAAGCGGGCTTGAAGCAGGGGGGACAAATATGGATGGGCTCGGGCTGGCGGGCTGCGACACGAGAGGCGCCGAGCCGAACGAGCCGAACGAGCCGAACGGACTTGATTTGGGAGGCTCGGGTTCGGCCTGGAACTGGTGAGCCACGTCCATCTGACTGAACCACGTCGGGTCTTTGAATTGGCATATACTCCTCACCAAGGATTCCATGGCGAAACCCTGATCTGGTATGGCCTCGCCGGGCCGCGGCAGGCCAATGTCGCGCATCTGCTTTATCAACATGCCGTAAAGAATAGCATCGCATTCGTAGCTACACCTCGGCTTAACCCCGCAGAGCGTGTCGGCGACTCCGTGGAGGGAGCGAATCGTGTCTCTGAGCATACGTTTTCGGCCCCCTTCCATCCGTTCTGCGGTGTGTCAGCGCATCGCAGGGACTCAGAGAGAACCGGCTTGGCCTACCGACGATATCTAGGCGGATTGGAAGTCCAAGACTGCGAATCTCTTGTGCACTACTCAACATGGCCGTTCGAGTGGTTATCAGAAATATATCCGGTTCGCGCAACACTGATGCCACAAAGATCCGGAGAATCAAGTCTCTACAGTAAGTAGAAGGTGTCTTCCCACCAAATGCCATTAGCCACACCCGTGAAAACAATTCGGTGGCTTCATGGCATTCTAAATCATCGATGATGACGCATATCTTGGCTAGCATCTCGAGATCTACTTTTTGCGGTACACTGCGGTTACGGCCATGGATAATGTTCATGACAATAACAAAGGCATCCGGGTCTAAATTGTCGCCGAGATCCCAATGCTGCAGTCCATCCGAATGTATCTTCGTGACTTCTTCCCACTGTCCCGTGAACATGGCCTTGAGACGCGGACATGCTAGCATGAGGTGTTTCGAGGAAAGGCGGAGCGTACGCTTATCGTGTGCAGTACTTTCCTGGGATTCGCCATCTGCATGGTCAGTATCACAGCAGGCGAGTAACGTGGGTGGCAGGCAGAGTGTGCGCAATCGCACTCACTATTACTAGCCTCATCGTTAGCAACGGGTGCACTGGATTCATCCTCGGCGTCCGAAGGCCAGGGTGCGAATGGCTCTACCGGCCGGAGAAGAATTGCTAAGACGTCTCCATCGGGGTCAATGTCAACATGGGAGGCGGGAGCCATCTTCTGCAAGGCGTTTGCTCAGTTGGTAAAGGCGAGATTGACGACGCTAGGTTGCCGAGTCGATCGTAGAGGGTTGTGCTCCGCAAGCGACCTGACGAGAAGGAAGTCCCCTAATCTGCCCTCAGCAAATACAAGCCCTTTTGAATACAAGGGAGACCCTATGGTCGGAGGCACTGTAATATCTCGTTTCCGATTGAGATGCTTTTGTGATGGGTTTCCCTATCTTTTCAACGTCTTTGGGGATTTTCTGCAACCCCGCTTTCCTTTACTTGGTCTGCATGGCTTAGTTATCAGATATGGAATTACGTACGCTGGCGTTCATCTCCAGGCAAAGTGACATCTCGAGAGGTGGCTTTTTGGAATCTGCGGTATGAAGTAATTTCTTAGTATTCCCTAATACTAAATGCCGTGATATACCCCATATTGCGTTTCGACTGCTAGGGGTATAGTTAGGATGGTGCTAAAGGTTTGGTATGTAGCTCGACTCTCTCATTACTACATAGGACATTTTGCGCCGGTTTAAGGCTCGAGTTGACAGGGTCTTTAGCTGGGCGGTGGCAGAGTGGGTCTTCCATTGGGGTGGTACTGTGGTCTTGGGACCAGGGCCAGTACGGTTCACAGACACGGTCGTCGCTCTGAATCGGGCAAACGTTGTCTTTGAGTCATGATTACATGTATTCTAAGTCCGCCAGATAAATATTAACTCTGACCTGTTTACTAGGCATATGAAGGGGGGTTGCAGGTAGAGTAATCGAGCCCACTCTCTCACTGCAGCCTTCGGAATGGCATGGTAGACTAACCGATACGTGTCATACAGGTTCCTCAGTCAGTAGTATCTCGCTTGGGTTAGATCTTGATGTCCTTGACGTTGGATTGGTGTTGGCAGCGGAATTGGTATCGGTGGAGGCAAGATATAAGTGTAAGTCTGCCTCCATGATTGTAGTAGTGGCCCCACCCCATCTTAGGTCGGTTCAAATCGTCGCGCTGTGAAAGTTGGATATATATCTTCCAGAAACTAGGCATTTGAGATCGATATGACTTGAGTGGTGTTAGACGATGGAGCCTCGAACGGTTACGGCATGTATCCCAGCTGAACATTGACCTTCTCTTCAAGTACCAGAACGTAAAAGAATTTTCAAACTGGGTATCTAGCATCTTAGACAATCAGAAATCTCCAGCGCCCATCATCTGTCTCATTATGGAAACATGAATTTGACTTCTCCAGTCCAGATAGAATACGAGAAGTTCCCCCAGGATCTAGCCACATATAATCTATATGTAGAAGTGCTTCGTCAATCTGAGACGGCTTACTGTCATCAAATTATTCATTTCCTCATCTCCCTCCACTAAGAATTTCTATTGCTCTTAGGGGAACTTTCACCATCTGCTACCATTACCTTCCACCCAACCCTTTTCAAAAGTGAGTGGCCCCGTTACATGCGGATATTTGGCTCGTATTTGAGGCCTTCTAGAGTCCCACGAAATCGATTAGTGAACATTAGATTTGGAGTGGCACGAACCAACACTTCCGTTTTCAGATTATATCAATACACCTCAGACGTCTAGTCCGTATCTGGTAATTCGAATCATGATACTCAGAGTGCCTTCTCATAGAATTCATACGTCATCTCGTCAAGGGTATCATGTTGTAAGCTTTTCCTTCTAATGTTAGAGCATCAGATCATTGAAATGAGCTTCCTATTATTCCCATCCTCTTCTCTCCAACGGCCGCTAGGTTCGGCATTCCTCCTGTTCTTTTTTGCCCTAGTCAAACCGCTGGATTCCTGATCTTAAATACTCAATTCATCTACATCCTCATCGACGTTTGCTTGTCCGAGTTACGAGAAAATGGTGACCTTCATTCGAGACAAGCCTCCGATTCCATTCATCCCTAAGGAATCACTCGCTCCAGCAGATTCGATCCGATTTCACCACCCCGCCTACCCTCCACGGATGAGTGCATTTCTTCTTCTCAGTCGCGTTGATGCTGCGGGGATTGATGGCCCGCTAGGCGTCCACCATGGGACCGCGCTCCTGGCGTGCCAGTTGATTGCAGACAACAATTTTGATGGGCGCCTCTATACTGACCCGCGCGGACAACATCCCGTTCTCGTCGGCTTGGATGATATCTTAACTTCTGATAACTATTATTTTATTATCGATAAGGATTGTAAGGCTTTCCGCTTAACCGTCCCCCTTCGCATTATTTTTTGTGCTACTAACGTAGGTCGGTCCAGACAAGCTTCGATATCCCATCGTCCCTTCGTTTCGCGACTGGACTTTCCCCCATGACCGAATACCCGATTCTTGGCCATCTCTCGCCGCCACATCCCCACAGGACTACCTTGGCTATGGGAATCGATGCGCGCTCACGAATTACGCTTCGGGTCTTGAGACAGCGCATATTGTACCCGAGGAGGAGCTTGAGTGGTTTCAACGGGAGGCCATGGGACGATACTCGCCCTACCCCACCGGTTTCCCCGACTCTGAGAACAGGATGAAGTTACGGGCCGATATCCACCGATTATACGAGGGGTCTGAATTTGTCATTGTGCCAAAGCAAGAGATTCACGACACCGGCAAGGAGGAGGATCCCAAGAGGCCATGTTACGTGGCGCATTGTCTGGGACCCGGGAACGAGGAGATCTGGGGACTCCATCATAACCTCCCTCTACAATATATCGAGCATACTCGCAGGGAGATGCATCTGGCTCGATTCGCCTGGGCCATCTTCTCGCAGGCCAACTTCTTCCTTCTGCAGGGCTCTACCCGCGCCGTGGTCACGGACGATGGTAATGGGGAGCGGAAAGTGCAAGAGGTTTCGGGGTCTACCTTGCGAGAGCTCTATGGAGGGGAGGAAAATTGGGACTCTGGCCTTCTATCTAGTAGGAAGAAGCGTAAGCTCGACCACTTAGGCGAATACAGTGTTGGAGAGCCTGAAGATGAAGATAATGAGGACAATGGGTTTGGTGATGATGACGGTAGTGACCAAGAAGAGGAGGGAGGCGGGGAAGGGACAGGCCCGGAAGATTTGAAGGAGTTTGGCGGCAGATCCTAAGCGTAGTTTGAGCTGAAGCTGGACTCAGCAACGGAGTTTGGAGAAATCTATAGAGCCATTCACATGTCTGAGAAAGTCAATTAATAATCTTGAATATGACTCTTCGACCCCCACGGAATGACATCATGGATCCGGGCTGAGAGGGTCTAGACGTACCACGTGACAGTGCACATGACTTAGCGTCAAACGCGAACCCGAATTAGCCTCGACAAGTCAAAGCGGTGACCGCGATTTCTTGGAGGGGTAAAAAAGAAAAAAAATTGTTTTCTCTTTTTCACTACTGCAGCTCTCGCAGCGCGTAGTCAGGAAAAAAAAATCATCGTCAATCTTTTTTTTTTTTTCCTTAGCCAAAACCTCGACTCTTGGATCACGACCGCAATCCATTATTTTTGTTATTCTTTCCCCTTGTCGATTGATTATATACGATCGGTTTCAGAGATCCAGCGGTCGAGGTTTCTACATCCTACACGTTTTCCCTTCGATTCTTCAAGCCGCCACGATGAAGTACATCCTTGTGACTGGAGGTACCGATAAGCCCCGCCTTCCCCAAAATCTTCGATCCTCGTCTCGATGTGACTGATTTGCTGATATCTTTTTGCTGTCTGGAAATAAGGCGTCATTAGCGGCGTTGGAAAGGGCATCATCGGTATGCAGAGTGCTTGTATCCTTTCCGCGCGAAACCATAATGTGCCGGGCTAATGTTGTGCGCGACGTAAAGCCTCTTCCACCGGCTTGCTTCTCAAGTCACTTGGCCTCAAGGTCACGGTAGGTTCCAATTCGATCTACGCGTTGTGATTTTCTTGTTCTGTTTTTTGCTGGCTGTATGTGACTCTGAGAGACTGATTTGTATTCTTTTCCTGTGGGATTAGGCGATTAAAATTGATCCTTACATTAATCTGGATGCCGGAACCATGAAGCCTACAGAGTACTGTAGTCCCCGACCCTCTCTCTCTCCCGCCGGAACCGGAACCAAGGCGCCTTTTTCTTCTTTGCTAACATGATCTGGTGATGATTTCGTGTAGACATGGAGAATGCTTCGTACTCTCGTTGGTTTTGCCCCGTCTTCCTCGAACCTAGAGCCGATGGACGCCCTGCACCGTAACGCCTGCCACTGACACGTCTCCTTTTGTTATTCCGTAGTGATGGTGGCGAAGTCGATCTCGATATGGGAAATTACGAGCGATACCTCGCCGGAATCTCGCTGACGCGCGAGCACAACATCACGACCGGACAGGTCTATAAGGAGGTCATTGACAGGGAGCGCCGCGGCGACTACCTCGGCAAGACGGTGCAGATTGTTCCCCACGTCACGAATGCGATCCGTGAAAGGATTCAGCGCGTGGCGAAGATTCCTGTGGACGCTTCCGGGGAGGAGCCGGATGTCTGTATAGGTAAGCCAGATCAAAGAGAGAGATCGTAACGAGACAGAGAGAGCCGGAGATTGGAAATAATTTGGTAGGATTTGGCTAACGGTAATCAGTCGAACTCGGCGGAACCGTCGGCGACATCGAGTCCATGCCCTTCGTCGAAGCTCTCACCCAACTCCGATACGTAACCCCCAAGTCCGACTTCTTCAGCATCCACGTCTCCTTCGTGCCCGCCATCCACGGCGAGCAAAAGACCAAGCCGACCCAGCACTCCGTCAAGACGGTCCGCAGCGCGGGCATCATCCCCGACCTCCTCGCCTGCCGCTGCGACAAGCCCCTCGAGGCCTCCACCATCGCCAAGATCGCCCTGCACTGCCAGGTCGAGGAGAGGCAGGTCATGGTCGTCTACGACATGCCCAGCATCTACCAGGTGCCCGTCCTCCTCGATACTCAGAACCTCGTCTCCGTGTTGACGCCTGCCCTTAACCTCGATAAGATCCCCCGCAATGAGACGCGCATAAAGAAGGGTGTTGAGATGTGGGGTCTGTGGAAGGACACCGTCGTCAGCCGCGACGATCCTCCCGTCACCATCGCTCTCGTTGGCAAGTATACCGAGCTCCACGACTCGTACCTGTCCGTGGTCAAGTCCCTCGAGCACTCCGCCATGAAGTGCCGCCGCACGCTAGACCTCCAATGGATCGACTCCGAGCTCCTCGAAGAGACAGCCGATAAAGCGGCCTACGACTCGGCCTGGGCCAAAGTCAAGAGCGCCAACGGCATCCTCGTGCCTGGCGGTTTCGGCCACCGCGGCACCGAGGGCATGATCGCCGCAGCCAAGTGGGCCCGCGAGAACAACACACCCTTCCTAGGTATCTGCCTCGGCATGCAGGTAGCCGTTATCGAATTCGCCCGCAACGTCGTGCATCTCTCGAAGGCCACGTCGGAGGAATTCGATGGCGACGCCGAGCACCAAGTCATCATCTTCATGCCCGAGATCGACAAGACCAAGATGGGCGGCACCATGCGTCTGGGTCTCCACGATACTCACTTCCAGCCCGGTAGCGAGTGGAGCAAGCTCCGCGCGCTGTACGGAAACGTCGACGTCGTTAGCGAGCGCCACAGGCACCGGTACGAGGTTAACCCCGCGTACGTGGATAAGCTGCACGATGCCGGGCTTAATTTCCTTGGCAAGGACGATAAGGGTGAGAGGATGGAGATTATGGAACTCAAGGATCACCCTTATTACGTCGGTGTGCAGTATCACCCGGAGTATACGAGCCGCGTGCTTGATGCGAGCAAGCCGTACCTCGGATTCGTGGCAGCGAGCGCTGGGTGCTTGGGCCCGATTATGAAGGAGATGGTGCAGAGGAACACGAACGGAGTTTGTGGAAAGCCACACGCTTAAACGACTAGGGAATAGCGGAGAGGGGAACGGCGCGGGGGGTATCTGAGGGTCAGGGAAGGAAAAAGCAATTATATTGAGAAATGGGTAACCGGTGCATAGAGGAGGGTTGGGTTTCTACGGGACGGGAGAGAACTGACGCATATGGGGGGTCGTTTTGTTAGAGAATTCTAGATGAATTGATGCGATGGTTTATTGGATCTGGCTTTAGGTTTTGGGGGTTTTGGTCTGGTTCGGCTTCGTTTTGCATAAAGGCTTTTTTTCTATAAATAAAACTAGACATTCACATGCTAGATGTAGTCGTCCTGCTCTCATTTTATGGTGTTATACGCTCAGTCGAATATTTTCTAATGGCATGAGTAAAGAAACTCGTTTAGTCCCATCCTGCTCGAGAGAGTGGGATTGAATGTGTTGTTGGAAGGATAATATAAACATGGAGGGAGAGCTGCATATATCTCAAACCGGACTGCCTCAAACCGCTCTCAATCTATCAAGGACGGCCCCTCCAAAGAGCCTTCTCACGGCCGCTAGCCCCTATACCTTTTTTCACGGTTGCATCCCGACGACGAAAAATGGAGCTGGGTCTTTTTGATCTCCCCGCTGAGCTTGTCGAGGAAATATTCCTCCACGCCGTCAACGTCCGTACCTGTCGCAGGGCGGTGAGACTGAGACTTGTGCATCGTAAGTTGCTCCCTCTTCTGATTTCTGACCCAGCTAAATGTATTTGTGTACGGGGTTTCTAACATCAACTCAAGGCCAATTCAACCACTACACCACGGAAGCTATCCTACGCACCGACATACTCGACCACGCCATCAGTCCTGCTCTCTTGGCAGAGCAGTCGATGCGTAGCCGCATTTCGATCACCTCCTCACCTTTCGGCCGACCACCATGGCTACCTCTTGTTACGCAGTGTTTCGCGCGGTGCATATATAACGATAGGTGGCGCTCGACGGACGAGTGCGCGTGGCGATATGCCCACCTTTTGCGACTAGCCCAGCGTCTTTGTGAACTGAGGGCAGGGGAAGAGACGGGTGCCAGCGTCGGGGACGATGTGCTCCTCAACTGCCTGGAGCAGATGGCTGGACTTGACATTTTCAAAGCGGACTGGAGTTGGAGAAGGCATTTGCTTGATCCCGTGAATGACGCTGCATGGGATACCGATAACTTTTCTAGTGATCTCCTCGGCGCTGCGATATGGATCGGGGAGGTCGAACTCGTCCAGAGGCTCTTCCACGAAGAGACGGAGGACGAGATAGTTTCCGGACAAGAAACTGACCGCCCGGCTCCTCGTAGCAGCGCAAACCGGAAACATGGACATGTTACGCATCATCCAATCGAGAATCCTAGCGCGAACCGGCGCCGCCGGATTGTCCAGGAGGAACACGACAGCACTCCTCGCCCGAGCCTGCAAATCGCAAAACGCAAGCCTGCTCCAACACGCCCTCGACGCACACGACCCTGGCGATCCCTGGACGTCGGAGTCCACTGTTGGCCTGGACATGATCGCTCGGTACGCCCCATCGGCAGACGCTTACCGCCGGCTCGAGAAGATCCTCACAGAAGCCTATGGAGGGGAGCAGGATCCCTTCTTCACGCATAAGAACTGCGTGTTGAGACATAGCCACGCAGCTGCGTACGGACATCTTGATCTGCTGCGGTACTTTATCGAGGGTAAAGCGGGGCGGCGTTTCGTGGAGGAGTTGAAGATGGATCGCGAGCGACTTGTGGGGGACCCACTCGCCCCGGCTGTTTGTGGCGGCTCTCTCGCGGTTGTGCGGTACCTGCTAGACGGCGGCGCCGACCCCAATACGGATTCGTCTCTCGGCAGGGCTATCCGGCATGGTTACAAAGAAATCGCCCGGCTCTTGATTGATCGTGGAGCTGACGTGAATATGGGATACCCGCCTCCGATTACAATGGCGGTCCTGCAAGAGGACATGCAGATGTTCCGATACCTCCTCCGCAAGGGCGCCGTCTTAAGGGAGGCCGGTGTCTCCTCCATCCACGCCGGCGGTTACGCCATGAACGTCGTCAGAGTCTTTGGACTTGACTCGATGGCCGCTGAGCTGATCAGGGCAGGGGTCGCCGAGGACTTGCGCCTGCACTGGGTGCCGGACTACGACGAGTGGGCGCTTCACCCAGTTAGGCAGATAGAATACGGTCACTATTTGAAGGAGTCGCGTATATCGACAAGTCTTGATTATGTCTATTTGCCATTCGACCAGGCTCATTGCCTGCCGATTGGTGAGGTTACTCGGAGAGGGGCAGACATGAGATTTGATACATCGACACCATGAACGGGAGGACTCAGGTTGATGTGCACTATTCAACAGCCAGAATCAAATTGCCAGTCACTTCCGATCGCCTCGTCGGCTAGCCTTAAATCTTACTTGATCTCCTCATCAAAACGCCATTCCAACGACTTTCCAACTCTTATATATGGAGCACTAAGATCTCCGCTGTTTAAACTTGCCGTCAGAACCTTTCTAGTTAGTTGGGGTTATTCTTAGTAAGAACCCAAATATATTCCAATTCTAGTGTAGAGAGTCATATTATATTGACGTGAGGTGAGTCCACAATGCACACTCGATGAGATGCATCAGCTAGATCTACTCATCATCTTCAACCCCGACAAATTTGCAAGAATCTCTCCAAAGCCTTTTCGCCTTCTCCTCATCGAATGCCCACGCCGCATATCCCTCATCAGCCAACGTCAGGGCCGGCTGCCCCGGCGTACAAGGCCCCTGTTCCAGGCAATTGCTCAAAAACCTCCCACCACGACCTTCCCACTCCTTGCTCACGGCAGCATACACCGACGTCGAAGCACCCTGCGCCGGGCTCTTCATACCCTTGTTCGTGTCGTCATCGTCTTTCCAGCTAGACATGAGGGCCGGATCGACGTGCTGCTGCAGATTACTCCAGATACCGCCGGGATGGAGGGAGAGCGCGTGAAGACCCCGGGCACCGTAGCGACGCTCGATCTCGTTGGCGAGGTAGATGTTTGACGTCTTGGCCTGGCCGTACGCCTGCCAGGGGTCGTAAGGGGACTTTTCGAAGTTGTAGTCGTCGAAGCGGACTTCGCTGCCGCGGTGGCCGATGGACGAGACGGATACCACGCGGGAGTTGAGCTCGGGCGTGCTTCCCGCCAAAAGAAGATCCTTCAGAAGCTGGAAAAGCAGGAAATGGCCCAGATGATTCGTACCAAACTGCGTCTCGAATCCATCCTTGGTCCTACCCTCGGGCGTCGCCATGACACCGGCATTGAGAACGAGAAGATTCAACGACTTCTCCTTTCCTCTAAACTCCTTCGCCGCCTTGCGGACGGACTCGAACGAATCGAGCTGGATCTCCAAAACGTGAACGGGCGCCGTGTTGGACGGATCCGAGTCGAGGATGTCCTTTCGCGCCGCTTCGCCCTTGGCGACAGAACGGGAGCCGATGTAAACTGTTGCGCCCGTGGCGTGCAGGGCGCGGGCGGTCTCGAGACCAATGCTCACGTTGGCTCCCGTGACGAGGGCGATCTTGCCGGTGAGTTTGTTGACGAGGCCTTCGTCTTGGATGATTTGGAGGGCGGTGGGACGGGCGTCGCCGGGGCCTTGGGGATTGGCGTGGGCGGCAGCGTAGCGAGACATGTTGGTTGGGTGTGGAAAGGTTTTAGGCTGATGAGTAGAATTCCCTTGTAAGCGAGTTGGGTATGGGTCTTAATGTGACTGCTGGGGCAGAGATGTTTGTAGGTATGTATAAGTGATTGGGCTGGTTGAGAGGAGTTGAGAAATGGGGATACTTCTGGCCTTTATATACACGAATTGGGCTTCTCTGGAGACGAAGGCGTTCGCATTATACGCAGGTCCCTTCCTCCTTTCTCCGGGAACAATGGCGTATGTTTAAGCCTATCATCGTCGGAGTGAGACATGTAGGCCATGGGTCGGAACATGCCGTGGACTTAACGATGCAGCTAAAGTAACCTCCGGCAACGAAGTATTTCGGGACATTTGGCAGCTTGTCAGTATGGTCGAATCAAGGTTCTGACGGAGAGGTAACTGGGGTTCCTTCGAGGTTGCAGTGAACTGTATCGGACTTAACAAAGTCCGAAAGGGATTTTAAGTTTCCTTGAAAATCTGCAAGTGGCTGACAGAGTGGCCGCACTATTTTCAATCAATTGACTATGTCTTGATGCAACTGGATGGCACCAGGCGTAGTGGATAGGACGTACGCGTCATGATCAACCTTGTTTCATCCGAGGCTTGAGACATACTCGAAGCTTCCACTCCGGCCCAAGTGCCTCCTTTGCGGAACACGCGGAGATGGAGAATGGAAGAGGGGGAATTAAGCAGGGAGTTAAGGGAGAAGTCTATCGCCGTTCTTGAGAATTTCGAATGCCGACGAAGAGAGATTGATCGCCCTCTGACTGCCAGAGCACCTGGTGACATTGGTGGCGCCAAATCGGGCGCTCGTTGTTATGCGTGGCGTGGAAGGGACCCGGGAAAATGGCTGGCGGTCAATCGGGGACTTGAAGATTCCGTTCCGCCCGCGATGTGACGAGGGGGACTTCCAATTCGTAGATTTCACACGCTAGCCTCAACAACGGAGAAGTATAATAGCCCGGTTCTTTTCGTGCGGATGTAGAACCCGTAAAAAAGAGGAGAAGCAATGCAGCAAATAGAGCATCAATTTGTATCCGTAGATCTGCCATCTTCCGTCACCAGCCTGGGGAGACGAGATAGCCTGTGTTCTGCTCCCCGTCGTATCATCCGATTCAAGAACAGCATTATAGATTCCCGACCCAAACTGGGAGTTCCAAACTCTCGATGGCCTGAGGCGGACCTGCACTTGAATGCTTGACTATTACCTAGATAAAGCTATCAAGCCCTCTAAAGAAATTATCCTCCCAGCCAGCCGTCATTGTATGAGCGTTCACTCGGATACTGACCTGAAAGTCGTCGCTCGGAGGAGAAGATATCATGCCCAGCGAGGACGGCCCGGTGTCCATTCTCCATAGTCCCTCACTTGAGGCCATGGACAGAACGGTTCCACTATCGTCTCGATTTTCTTATAATAAAAAAAAAAGAAGGGTGTATTATGACGGTTTTGCGGATTCGAGCCTTGGGCTCTGCTGTGGATCAAGATGGGTTTGTGCTGGGGTAGGAGAGGAGGAAAAGGGATATGCGACAAGTCCTTGCATTACGTACGAGTTGCCTTCATCAATTTCCACTTCTGTCTTGGGAGGGAACTAAGCCACCTGGGCTGGGGCCTGAGCTACGCCTGAGCCGGTCTGAGCAAAGGGGAGGTCATTCTTTCAGGCCACCCCAGCTATACTTGCCCCTTCCACAAAAGTGTAAAAAGTATGGCGGAGTTATGAGGATGAGTTCCCGAGCCCAATTTTGGGACACTATTGTCCTTCGTACTGCCGAATACCTCCCAGAAACGTGTGTCGCTTTCGACCCTTCCTCCAATCAGGCCCCTGGCCTGATGGTGCGCGGTTGCCCCTCACCCCCCGAGTCCATCGCGTAGTAAAATCTATTACTGAGTCGGCATGGCACGCACCTCAAGCTCGAGAGCCAGGTTATCCCTAGGAAGCCTTCACAATGTACAAGATGCCACAGAGAGCATGCTATTGGACCTGGGACCTGGTGGCTACGTGTCCGTGAGAATATGTCACGCCAAGACCTACCACATCACCAATATAGGCCAAAGCTGGCCAACCACAGAAAGATAACAAGCTTGGGCATCTAGATTGTGATGAATATTCAACTGCTGCGCAACTAATTTCAGCACCCCAACCCATCGACACAAAGCAATCAGAGTATGCCCAACCCCTACCTCCCACCTGCATGTATTCCAGAATGGGAAACAGCACTGCGGAAAGCAATTTCTTTCCCCGTTCCCTTCTTCTCTCTTTTTATGTGCCAGGATATGGCCTGCGACCATAGCACAGCAACGCTACCGCCTAGACTTCAGTTCATACCAGCATCAACTCTGTAGGCAATTCGAAATTGTTGGAGGTTCGAAGAGCAGCATGGTATGTATGTATTGTTTTGTTTTATATGTACCTGTCTCCTCGCCTGCAGCTTTTCTATTGTTGTGGTCTGTGTATTCTACTTGTCGTCGCAAAAAGTGCGCTGACTGAGGACCAACAGACTCGCCACCAAAGCAGAACCGAATATCGAGTTTCTAAGTGGGTTTCGGCTCACAAGGTTAAAACGGCGCTGAAGCAACCGTCGCATATTTTGAGAGGGAAGCTCCAAGAAATCCCTGGGAAAACTACCTCTGAGCAGCACAACCAGAATCAATCCATCTCCGATGCCTCCAAAGACCAACCTGGGAGCTCGGATTCCAGGGAGGGTTTCCAAAGCATGGTCCGCAGGTTGGAAACAATTGCGTCGGGTATTTTGAAATCGTACCGTCACCTCAAATATGAAGCCACCGGTGCTCTCCAAACGGGTCACAGGATATACGGCAAGCGTTTAAGCCTCATTCTGCGGGAGATCCGGACCGTCATTCTCCTCCCGAGCGCAGACCCGGACGCGCAAATCCAGTGCACGTTCAGCCGCCGAATATTAGGGCTCGCTAACACGGTGTCGTCGTCGTCGTACTCGGCCCTCTCCTATGTTTGGGGGGAGAGAAGCCACCCACGGACAATCTTAGTGGACGGTGCCCCCGTGCCAATCACAGCAAATCTCTTCGCCGCTCTCAGGCGACTCCGCCGGGATAGGGAACCGCTTGAACTGTGGGTTGACGCTTTGTGCATCAACCAGGATGATGTCCAAGAACGGAACCACCAGGTACGCCTGATGGGCGACGTTTATAAGCGTGCTGATGAGGTATTGATGTGGCTGGGTGAAGCTGAGGATGATTCTCACCTGGCGGCTGAGCTGGTGGATACTCTGCACGGGATCATAAGGGGAAAGGATCCCCGGGAGACAGGGAATGAAGACAGAAAAGCACAATCTATACTCGACCTTTGCTTAGGCGAAGGCATTGCCCCGGGCTTACAGGCGCTCAACAGCTTACTGGACAGACAATACTGGGACCGGGTGTGGATCGTGCAGGAAGTGCTCTTGAGCAAGCGTCTTTACGTGTGTTATGGGTCCTTTCGACAGCCGTGGGAGCATTGGCTCGCCGCCCTCAGCCTCATAGGAAGCCTCCCGGTCGAAGTGCTCCCCGACAAATTCAAGTCAACGCCAGCAGAGCGCGAGGTGAAACCGGTTTATTCCCTGGTAACTGCTTACATGAAGGGACTTAGGTTCAAAAAGAGAATGTCCTTGTTAGACGGCCTGATTCTCTACCGAAATCGCGAGGCGACCGACCCACGAGATCACGTTTACGCCATTCTGAATCTCGTTGACGGCAAGAAGAGCGGGATTCAGGCCGACTACAGCTTATCCGTATTCTCTTTATATCGATCGGTGGTCGTCCAGACAATTGAACGAAGCCGAGACTTGGATATCCTCAGTGCTTGCAAGCGCTCGTTCTCGGAAAGTAGTAGCACCGACGGCTCCGAACTGTACGGGAGGGATTTCGATAAACATATGCAAATTAATGTGCTGGCTTGGATTAAGGTCCTTCCGGAAGCGGACGCAAGTGGAGGGGCCCAGATCGAGGCTTGGGTCCCAGCAGCTGAAGCATTGCTGAAAGACGTCAGAGAGACTGTTTTGCCATCATGGATACCGGACTGGCGCATCCGGTCTCTTGATTCGGCGCAAATAAACACCATCGGCAACTGTCCCTTCAAGGCTTCCGGCAACTTCCCCCCTGTCGTCGAATTCATAAATGAAACTCTGATGGCGGCCGCTGGGATACATGTGGGCGTTATCAGCGCTGTCGCGCCAGCAACGGTGGGCGGGCTCCGCATTGACAGTGATTGGGCGATGTGGCGCGATGAGACCCATCCAAAGCATGTCTACGGCGATTTGAGAAAGCAAAAAGAAGCGTTTATCCATACCGCTCTCACGGGCCGAAACGCTGACGGAACACGACGGACCGCCCCAGTCTTGGTCGAAGCTATGCATAGCGTGTTCAAACTAGACGACGCGGCGGAAGACCATCAAGATACTACCAAAGACCAATGTCTGGAAGAAGGATTAAAGCAACCTGAGGCTGATGGAAAGGACGACGGGATGAGTCCCGAAGACGATAACGCACTCATCCTTCGAAGTTTTCACTTCACATTCTGTGCCACGGAAAACGGGTTTATGGGCCGCGTGCCCATTGGGACCAGGGTCGGCGATGTAGTGGTTATACTTCTGGGTGCAAAAGTCCCCTTCATCGTTCGCAAGTATGAGGACTTCGACATGTACTATCTTGTTGGCGAATGTTGTGAGTCAAGCCCTTTTATCAATGTTAACATCAGCAGTTCTGACTCGAGATCCACGTATTACAGATGTTCATGGCGTTATGGATGGGGAAATGCTGGAAGATCTGGAGGAAGCAAAGACAAAGATGCGGGTGTTCTGTTTAGTATGATAGTTGTTCCGTTGAGGTCTCGGGGTAGTGTCTTCCCTCAATTGACTTTCAGGTTGTGGTTGTTTCCGAGCTATGGGTTCATTACCTATATAAGCTATTTCTCAGCGAAGGACCCTCCGCCGATACCGCGCGGTGCGCCTTCCACCCCATTTTCATGCGCGGCAGCGCTTGGTGGTCTCGTATCTGGACCATGCAAGAGGCCATCCTCTCTCCGTCTTCTACAATGCTCTGGGGCCCCTTGCACATGCTACAGCGCTGGCGCTACCGGGGTTCCGAGGCAAGCCGCATTGTGCGCCTGGCATGCCGAGCTGGGCGCCTCTTCTAGAGCAGTTTATGGTGTCCAAGCAGTCCGGCATTAAAGCGCTATATGCAGGACAGGGCTTAATTGACGATGTGTTCTGGAGGGTGATGCTTGGTAACCTGATTATAGCGGATGGCTTCGGAGGCTGACCGGGTCGCGTGTGATGCGTTCGTCCAGCACGGCAAGAGAAACCGCGCATACGAGTCTCTACGAGATGTGGTGATAAATGAAGCCTTTTTTATCACTATGGGCGGGTTATATTGGGATTGGTCCCTGAAATGTCGAGAAAGGAGACGTTATTACAGAGGCAATGTTCCCTTTGTGCTTCAGCAGAAGATATGTGTCTACGATAACCAGCTTGTCTGTCGACTCTGTTCAGCTCTTTTTTTTAAGCCGGCGCCTTTGCCTAAGAAGCCGATGCCTAATAGCCGTTTGTGTTTTGGTGTTTGTCTTAAAGGAGTGTCAGTAACCTAGGGACTGGACTTCCTTATAAGCCTCTAAAGCTGCCACGCCCTTCTCTCAGAAATCTGTAAAAGGCAAGATATCATCTATGGCACCGAATTAAATGCTAGGACTCCACAGTTGTCAATACGTAATCTCCTCAAGAGATTGCCTTGTGTGATGGGGGCGCTATCCTGTCATAGGACTTGGTTAGGGGTTGTTCGAGAGGCAGGCCTTCCTTCAGCATTGAAAATACTTGCGCGGAAGCGCCCAGGATTTCTCTGAGTGGCCTTGGGTATGCCACAGACATGGTCTGGGCGGGCATCGTAGTCTATACATGGCTGGCTGTCATAGAGGCTTACATCCAACTATCCTAGTTTATCCATGCCACCCTGGCACCCATATATATATATATATATATTCGTTCCACAGGCCACGAATTCAGCGGGTTTCGTGAAGCAAGGGAGATTCTCCTTGCAGCTTGGCAGGGCGTGTGTGGCGTCAACGCCCACTTAAGTTGCTTAAAAGGGAGGCTTTCCTTAGTCTAGGGTAAAGACGTGACGCAGCTAATTTCGCAGGGAAGTATGCAGTTGTCGTTTAACTTACGCGCAATGTACCGTCGCATTTTCTTTCTTGATTCAATTGAAGCCGGGGCCTTAGCCACTCTCTAAACATCCTGCCCATCGAATCCCATGAATCATAAACGGGCTGCTAGAAGTGTTGACTTCGCAAGCGAGAATTTTGCAATGGAAGCAATCCCTTGGTATATTCTTCCTTCTTCCTCCGAGATAGCGGCCGAAGTCACACGACATTTGTGACGAAGTGACTTGATGAAACGTGGATGGAGAGAGGCCTGTGAACCCGGAAGACCATGTCGCTATCCCGAACGTAAATGACACCATCCGGCCGTCTACCTACCATCACTTATCAGATCGCATTTCAACCCCAATTACTCCCCCAACTTGCCGAGACCACGAGAGTGAAGCTGCTCAATGCCTCTGCCCAATTAAGAAATATGGCACCGGAAAAGTTCAAGGCAATCATTATCGGAGGCGGGCCCGCAGGGCTAACTGCCGCCCACATCCTCTACAAGGCAGGAATCGACTTTGTGGTCCTCGAAGCGAGAGACAAAGTGGTCGTCGACCACGGCGCGGCTATGGTCCTTGGCCCGCAGAATCTCAGAGTCATACGTCAGCTAGGGCTTTATGATAAGCTGCTCGAAATTGGTGCCGAGTTGCTCTCCGTCAAGGGGTTCCTCCAAGACGGGCGTGTGTTCAAGGATGTGCCGGAATTGGAAACTTTCAAAGAAAAGTGAGCGTGTGCTGGTCGTCTCCCTACTCTGTAAACTTGGCATGCGAAATCGTGTCATGTCTGCTAACCGAATTTCCCGGAAGCCATGGCATTGGTTTGGTCGCATTCCATCGTGCACAGCTTGTTCAATTTTTCTACGACAATTTCCCCGACGAGACCAAGGCACGCTACCTGACAAATAAGAGAGTCACCAGCATCGAATCCGGCGAGGAAGGAGTCAAGGTAACTGCAGCCGACGGATCTGTCTTCGAGGGCTCCATCGTCATCGGAGCGGACGGCGTGCACAGCGTGGCCCGCAAGATCGTGAGGGAACTGGCTCTCGCAGAAGACCCCAAGAGGGACTGGGACCCGGAGAACCCGTTCCCCGCCGAGTACAGGTGCCTTTGGTTCAGCTTTCCGCCCCCGACCGAACCGGGTCAGGCCTTCGAGACGCCGGGCAAGGATCTATCCGCCATGTATCTAACAGGCCGAGACCGCGGCTGGATCATGCTCTATGACAGGTTTCCGAAGCCGACGACTGAGACACCGTCTACGACGACAAGGACGTGGAGGATTTCGTGGCGAAAGTGGCCGAGTATCCTGTCACGGAAACCCTCAAGGTCAAGGATCTATTCGAGAAGCGGCAGACAGCTGGTTTGTCTGATCTGGGAGAAGGCATCGCGATGCATTGGAGTTGGGGCCGCATTGTCCTCGTCGGTGATGCCATCCACAAGTTTACGCCGAATGCGGGTCTAGGGCTGAATAACGCCATACAGGACATCGTTGCACTCACTAACGGCCTGCATACCGCGATAAAAGCAGCGCCTGGCGGACAAGCCGATAATCAGACTCTCTCGGGGGTCTTTAGGACGTACCGAGAGCAAAGGGTGGAGGGATTACAGCAAGACTACGACCGATCGGCGCTCGTTACGAGACTCCAGGCTTGGAGGAGTCGTCTACATTTCTTCCTTTCCCGTTTCGTTTTCTCATGGCCTTTTATTTCTAGATTTGTTGTCAATCGTGTTGTATCGCCTGTTGTCAGGAGGGGTCTCGTGCTTTCTTATGTTCCTAGTACGGACTTGCCAAAGGGCAGGATAAGTTGGGAGCACCAGATTCCGGCTGCCAAGGTTGTGTAAGGGGTGCCTGGTTATAAGCCCGCAATGGTAGCGAGGGATCCTATGTGGCTCTGGGCACAAGGTTATTAGTGGTTGGGAGGATGTCTGGACATGAGAATGAATATATTCCCGATGGAGAATGCCTACATCACTATTTTCTCTAAGTATACAATTTCGGCCGCCACATTTTACGTCTAGATAATCAAGGCTATTATTACAAAAGTCATCTGAGTAGACAAATCGATGAGCCGTGTTTGGCTGACTCGTTTAGTCTACTCTCGCGAAGAGGTGATTGGGTGGGAGTAAACTATCTGATTCCTATAGAACCCTATGCCAACATATTATTGAGAAGCGCGGTCCCGGAGAACAGTGAATGATGGGCGGCCTAGACTGGGTGGTAAAGCTCGCAGGCAGTCGTCCTTACTAGCCAACCACCTTGACCTCCGGCACCAGTTGACCCGCCCAGGTTTGAACCGCAGGATAGCCTAGTAGCACTACTGACACCCCGGGCACTCCTTGTGCTTCCCAGCGATCTTGATCCAACATCAGAGGTGATGGCTTGCGCATGAAAGACAACGTGTTAAAGTAGAGTGTAGACGACTCCTGGGCTACTACACTAGATTCAGGGGGATAAATCGGCCGTCGCGAGCCCGCCCCTTGAGCATATCTTTGAGTCCAGTCATTTGCCGTCTCCTCCAAACTTTGAACCGACCCTATTCTCTTGTCAAACCTGTCCTCGAGGCTGGTCCATCCGCAGTACCTCAAGGTGCGAGTAATAAAGTATGCCACTTTCCGACAGAGGGGATATGTATCCACTCCGTGTTCGGATATGAGAAGCACGGCGCTACTAGGTACGAAAAAACGAGCATGGACATACCCGTTTGTGCATACCAATGGGTGGCAGACTCGCGTCATGAATCGTAAAGTAACCTGGCTAACAGAAACCCGAGTTTCATCACTTTCGATAATTTTAGCGTGCCTAATCCAGAATTGGATGCGGAACTGGCCGTCCTTATAAGCCGTGTCATCCGGGGCATCGATTATCATTTCAACTCGCATAACTGGTCCATCAATGCCATGTATTCTGACACCCGAAGCAAACTTCCATGAAACTGTATCCACCCCAGGCACCGAGTTCGGGCCTTGTGGCTCTGCCTCGGTCTGTTCGTCGGTGTCTGAAGTGGAACCGATGTCCCGGTCTGTTTGGTTGGTCCTCTGGTTGCTACCAGACTCCTGCCTAAATCTAGCCGATAGCGAGAAGGGATTGGTGTTTCCTGGAGCGCTGCCATACAAGTCGACGGGAACGGAGATTTCACTCAGCCGCGATCTCGCGGAGTAAAAGGCAGTGGAGGCGCTGGGCATCAGGCTTTGAATACGTGCACCAATTGATACCGAAAGAGGAGACGATTCGGTCGAAGCTTCTTGGACATCCCGCAGATCCTGGATGTCGTCGATATCAGAAATGGTTTCATTCGCAATTTGCTTCTCGCGTTCAGAATCGACAAAATCCGAGCTTAGACTGCGCAACCCCGTGACAAGCTCCGTCAGGTCTCGCACTAGCCTGTCCAGCTTATCTTCGTCTCGAATGGCCCATTTCGCTTTTGTCCATAGGGATGAGCTTTGTTGGCGTTGCTTGATCTTGGCCCGCGCTTGCTGAACCGCTGCCTGCAGAGGTGTGCTGTCGTGACCACCGCGACTCCGCCCTCCGTCTTGGGTGAATCTTTTCTAAAGTGACGGCGGAAAACCCGCCGAAATTCTTCATATCTGGGCCGAAAAACACTTGCCGAAATTCTCGAGGAAAGCAGCCGGTTCGGAATGGCTTGTGGTCGTCGCGCCTCGTCGTCATCGAGCAATCTCACCCCATATTCTAGGGCGAGTCGATCCGTCTCCGAAAGAATGAGATAAATTTCTGTCAAGACCTGCAGCACAATTTCTTTCGTGTCGGGCTCATCTAGCTTCTCGTGGTATCCCTTCTCCGTACCAAAACCCACACTCTTTCCCCAGTTCACGAAGAGAGTTCGCTGGAGATCGAGCTTCGTGCGAAGACGCCTGAAGGACTGGGCGTAACCCTGGCCAGCGTCGACAAAGGCCCAGACGTCGAGTGTTGCGCTGAAGAGTCCAGAAACGCCGAGTACGCCAAGCGCAAGCTCGGCCATGGTCAATCTTTAGTGTCAGAAGCGAATTTTTCCCGAAAACGCAATCTACAGGCTTATGAAAGAAGGTGAGGCTACAAGAGCGGGGAAACAACCCAATCAGCCCGGAACCCATTGAATATTCATGCCGAACAAATCAGAGCACAGAACCACTCTTAGCTCCTTCATTTTTTAGGGCGAAGGAAGGTGGACCAGGGAGTTCTGAAAACAGAAGTGGAAAAACTCATAGAAGGCTGTTATATTATTATTAATAAGTGTAGTCCGAGTATAGCTACGAGAGTTCGTAAATAGTCATCATATAACTTTTTAATTCAATTTTTATTTACATTTTCGATCAATATTTTTGTATATAATAATATATAATAAGTAAAACCAATCGCCTTCTGTTTCCCTCTACACCTGGACCCATAACGACAAGGTCAAACTTTCATATGGAGAACCCGAACTTGAGCGACGCGGATAAGAGATGGAGGGACGACGCCTTGGCCTACAACGGCCCTGAATCGTGCCGACGACTGGCAAGCGTGCGGCGTACGGCGTTTATGGTATGGTCGAGTTTACTCTAGATGGTGCCGGGCAGAGAGGGTGGCTGGGGGCGGTTTGGCGTTGGGCCGTAGACAAGGGGAATGTGAGAGTTTGGCAGGGGCGTGTGCTTATTTCCGTTTTTTTTTAAAAAACGGAAATAAGCACACGCCCCTAAGGCCCCCCCGGTGTCTCAAGGTTGCGTTCCTTCAACATTGCCCGCAGTATATCAATATAGTGGGCTGCTAATCGGAGTAGCCTTAGTGCCGTCTCTCCAGTAGCGATCTAGCCTACAATAAATTCTATTAGAAGAGGTTGGTATTTTACACTATTTTCACTTTTTGCTAAGATTGGGAGCTCTCCCGTTTTAGAATAGTAGGTGGTGAAACAGAGGAGGGGTGGCTCCAATTCTACGACTTTCAAAATGGTAGAATAAGGGACAGCCCCCTCCCCACTTGTTCTTGCGTGCTCCAACCCATCTCTCTACAAAGCCGAATGTTCAGAGTGAAAGCATCAGTTTGGTTGCTTGCACCCCAAGCTAACTGGGAACATAACAGTCACCGAAGCAAAGCCCCTAATGATCCCACCTTGTCGCACCCCACTTTTCCCCGTTTCGTTTGCGGTGAACCTGTCTGTCCAGCAAGACCGCTAACCAGAACTATGCCATCGCCGTTCTCATCAGGCTCATCGAGGTTAGAATTTTAGGTGTCTATATTGGTACTAGTATGCAACGTAGAGGAGGACATCGTCTTCATGGGGATCACGCTATCCTTTCCGCCCCACGATTCTCCTCACCAAGTTTCCGTCCAGCGATAATGCAGTCCCTCCAAACACTGGAAATTACATACTAATTTGGTAGATTCTTCAGCATCTCTTAATAGTTCGGTAGAAGCTTGGATGAAACAGAGACGCACAGTGTAACGGTGCGATGCACATGATCTTGGACGTTTTCCAACTTAGGCCAGCCATGTTCATCTAGCACCCTTGTCAGTTATTTATAGTTATCAGTCCCAATTTCCTAAGTCAAGGTGATAGAGACACTGGTCGTGTATTTGTCCTTGAACCTGGTGCTGAACTCTCTACACATCACATTCTCCCATGATCCCCTTCTCCATCATCTTAGACTTCCATATAAAACTGAGACACCATCCTCGTGCATTCCGTGCCTTAAGCTGTACGCGACTCCTGACATTCCATCGAAGCAACGGAAAGGTCAAGAATAATATCATCAACCTCTACATAGTGTAGGCTATAGCCAAGCGCTTCCTCAAGGTTAAATGAGTGATAAGCGAACTCCACTATAGAGCTACCTGATAGACCATGAAAGGGTTCTTCTTTGGGAGTCTGGAGGAGCCAGCGCTCCATTGGGATGTTATCATTTAGCTAAGTAGTAAAGCAAGTCAGAGTCCGTCCACATTTAGAAGTATGGGTCTTTTTAGGTGTTATATAGGGAAAGCAGAAATGGTCTCACGCTCTGATGGGGGTCAGACATCGTGGGCGCAACGTTGACGGGACTGCTGTGATCCTGATAGGTATCGAAGCAAGGGGCTAGATGGATGGGAGAAACGGCTTCAAGAGACTTAGATACAGAACCGGGAACCGAAGGCGTGAGCATGTAAGAACTGCCGGATTGATATGAAGTTCAAGCATGTAGTTTGACAAGAAAGAGTTTAATAAGGAAGAAAGAAACAGCAAAAGAGTTCCGGCTCAACGGGGTGGGAAGTACCCTGGTTTATATCCTCGTTGGGAACGAGAAAATAGGATGAAATACTAATTGCATGTACTTGAACCTAAAGGTTTTACTTTTGTATATTTCAAGTTGGTAAAGAAATATCCCACGACAGATGGCGGAGGAAGACAAACCCGCCTTGGGTCACACCAAGCAAGAAACCGTCTTCCACGACATTCAGCCATCGCGATCCGTCGACACCCCATTTCGCACCTAGCTCTCTCCTTCCGTTAGGGTTGATCCACTGAGCTCATCATCATTACAGGTCTCTCGGGGCCTTTTCGGTTATCCCTCACGCGATCTGGGCAAAGACACGAAACCTAGAAAGAATTAAATCGACAGGGTTTTCGGCTGATATGAAGGGCGTCCATTATCCAAGAAGGACACGGCTGGAACACTTTTGAGCTAGCCAGGAACTGCAGATAATGTATAGAACTCATTCAGAATCGGATATTGAGATTTCCTGGCTCGTCACGACAGATAGCTCTGTGTAACATGTGGTTCTCCTTGCATGGGGCCGCACGACGGCGAGGGAGAGGGTCGCGGTTGACGGTTCGGGGAAAAGAACTTGGAAAGAGTACTGAGGACGTATATTCTCCAGTATATCGTGTACATTAGAATATAATCCGCAGTCTGTTCCTTCCAAACCAGATTTTAGGATTGTTAAGAAAGTGCAGTGTAATGCCCCGAGTCCTCCTTCGAGTTCCTACAGTCCCCGCGTAGAAAATACCTATAATCCAAGGTTCAAGTATCCAGACTGTTCACCTCTCCAGTGAGCTTCCAGCAACTCAGCGACTTCAACATGACCACACCCCCGAGCCAGATCTATAGCTTTCTTAAAACCCGTATTGTCTAATACATCCCCGACGGCTCCGGCATTGAGCAAAACCTGCACCATGTCGAGTCGTCCGTGCTCCGCCGCTCCTTCTATGGCAGTTCGCCCCTCAAAGAGGGCTGGAGGTTGATTTACATCTGCACCCAATTCGCTTATAAACATTAGGGCAATGTTGACGTGTCCTTGGATCGCTGCCCCTTGAAGTGCAGTGACGCCCCCTCTTCTTGCGGGAGGAGCATGGACATCTGCTCCTTGGCTTAGGAGGAACCGAATCATTTCCATGGCCACCTTCTGTGAAGCTGCCGCGGCTTGTAGTGCAGTCCTTCCATAGTCGGGATGTGCAGGGGAATTGATATCTCCGCCGGCGCCGATGAGCAATTTAACCGCTTCCAAGTCACCGCGTTCTGCCGCCAGCTGAATTGGCGTCCTATTTTTCCTGGAGTAATAGCCAGTGCTCCACCATTGGTCGGGGCGTGCCCCCGCATCGAGTGCTTCCTTTAGCAGGCTGGTGAGACGACGTTCTATGATGTCGTGTAGGAGAGGGCCGTCGGATGAACCCGGACGGTTAACGGATGCTCCCTTTTTGAGAAGGAATCGAAAAATCTCGACCGCCGCATGGTCGCTTTTGTAGTAGAACTTGTCCTCATCTTCATCTATGTGTTCGAAAACGGATCGTGCCGGATGAACTGCGGCTTCCAAGGCCGTAGTGCCTCCCGTCTTAGCGGGCGGGGCATGCAAATCCGCGCCGAGACCTACTAAGAATTTGACCTTCTCTACAGACTTGCCTAACGACGCAGCCTGTAAAGCGGTGAATCCTTTGTTAGGATAGGCTTTCTGGTTGATCTTGGCACCCTGGGCCGCGAGATATCCCAGCAGCACCGGCTTTCCCTTCAAAGCGACCGCTTGAAATGGGGTCAAGTGATCGCCGTAACTATTGATGCAAGTACCGCGGTCAATCAAGAGGGATGCCGCGTCGTGGCAACCACAAGCCAGGGCACATTCAACCAAACGTGGTCCGTTTAGCTGAAGGTCGAAACCAGTATCAATTAAAATGTTAGCAAGTCCATCGTCCCATTTGTAATTGTCAAGCATCTCTTGCAGGAGTTCGAAGACATCAGGGTGCGCTCCTTCTTGAATCAAGAGCTTCACAAACAGTTTCACTTTCTCATTGGGTAAATGTTGTAGCCCGTGTTCGATCACTTGTCTTAGTGCTTCATCACATCCCCGTAGTGGTCCGTGTTGTATCAAACAGAGAACTTCTCCTGACATATTTCGGGTTATCGCCAAGCGCAAGGCTAACAGAGCCATCTCTTCAGACACATTGTGCGTTGAGAGAAAGACTGAGAAAATATTGGAGTCAGAAGCAGCAGACAGAATATCATAAAAGGTCGTTTCCCCTGGAGCCCTAGCGCCTTCTAGCATGCTGATTATCTCAGGTGTGGGTCTCCTAGCAATGGAGGCGATGTCGCTGGAAACCGCAGCGCTAACAATGGCCCCATGATCCAAGAGGTACCTTACAAGTGGTGCATGCAATAATTGAATAGCTTGACCGAGAGGAGATTTTTCGCTGTTAGGCCTGAAGTTGGGGTCGGCACCGCTTTTGATCAATACTTTGACCATCTCTAGATTGCCAGACTCAACAGCGGTGATAAGTGGGGTGTCAAAGCCATTGGAATAGTTGATTTCCGCGCAGGCACAGATGATTGTTTTCGCGTTAAGTACGTCGTTACTTTCGACCACTCGAAGAAGCAAACGTCCTCCCGGTCTTCCTGATATCGACTCGGGCCTTAATTTGGATAGGACGAAAGAGCGGAATTCGGTGTCGTTGATCGCCAGTAGCTCCTCTGCAGCATGGTTAAACGGTATTCCAATAGCTGAAAGCTCCTTCAGGAATGTCTTTCGGCTCAGACGAGCACCCGCTTTCACGAGTTTCCGTGCGAATGCCCTCGTGGTGGACGTGTTAAGCTTAAGAAATCGCATAAGTGCGGTTTCTTGACGATTGTCGTTCACCCACCTGAGGAAGGTGAAGACACTGAAATCCGTGCTGTTATTGGAGGCCATGAAAGCGGCAAGCTCAAAAACTTGGACGATTTCGGGTTTCTGTGAATTGTCCAGGAATATCTGGGCGGGAGTTCCGTTGTCCGGTGAGGACCGAGCAGGAATCAACTCTTGTAGTTTCTCGGAAACGATCGTCGCCCCATCACTCCTATAGATCTGCCAAAATCCCATCGCACTGCCTAGCACGGGAAGTATATCGCCGACTCGAATTCCGCCCAGACTTGCGGGATAGCTACATGCGCCAAAACCTAGGCTTTTTTGCCTCGGGAAGTAGCCAACAGCTTCATGTCTAATTAGTGACAAGCCAGGCGTGTCACCATGAGTGGAAACACCCACCAGTCATAACCGCAGATTGCAGTTGAAAGTATGGCAGATCACGCAGCAACTCGATTCTGATTATATCGGGGACTGATACTGTAGTGCAGTTTTGAGATCCATTAATGTTGAGGGTCACATCGAAGTCGATAGTAGAGTTGTCAGACTCGCCAAAATCTTGTAGGCCTGTCAGTATATCTCTCGATTTCGAAATCAGGGGGTTTGAGCCGACTAGCGAAACAGACCTTGTCCAAGTATGGTGCCCGTTGTGAGACCCGGAAAAGGGAGAGTTGATGCAGAATGTGAAACTTGGGGGACAGTTACAGGCAGTTCTGGAGCCTCCATCCCAAGATTGGAAGGAGATGGTGAAGAGGGGATCGCTGCCGGTGTGCAGACATATATTCTGTCGTCGATGGTTGATCCGATCACTATTAACAAGATGCAAGTCGGAGTGAGTGAGTTACATGGAGAAGGGAGTATCTGGATCGTACACACCTTCGGATGTATCAATCTCTGAAGGGTTGTCGGGCAGGACAGCTCGATATCGATCCTGTTCCCTCCGAACGCGCTTCGGAGAGAGTTTCTCTCCACGAAAATAGACGTCGCTTTCCTTCCCTTCCAGACGCCGCTTCATTACGGCAGGAAGAACTGTTCCCTTCCAGTCGTCAGCCGACAGCTTCTTGTAGCCATCAAACTGGTACTTGAATTGACGCAACCTGGATGATTCGCATGAGCATTTCATAACTGATAGGTAAGAGTGGATCTTCTAAAGCACATACGTAACGCGAAGCCCATGTCGTTCCTCCAGATACTTGACAGTAGCTTCAGCAGTTTGATTTTGTTTCACGTAACGAGAGATGATTTCCTCCCGGTAAGGCTCCCAATCGACGCCATACGCACGCTTAGGGGCCATGTTGGATGGTATAGAACTTAAGAGAATGAAGAGAAAGTGAAAGTAAGATAAGCGTGTCAAGTCTAGAGAGTTTTGAATTTGTGTGCTCTTCGGATCGTGTTTGCGGGTGATTCTGCCCCTTTTAAGCTCATGTGTAGTTGAGCCTGTTTGAGGCGAACTGGATCCCTGTCAAGCAAAAGCACAATTCCACCTTGTACTTCACAAAAGGACAATCAGTCTTATTGGCTGATGGATGCTAAACTTGTTCCAAGAGGATTCGACTGATCAAAGGGGGAAGGGGGGTGCGACTTTGACATTTTACCCCTCCCCTCTCCTCCCACCGCAGCCTGGTCAGCTGTGCGAGTACACGCTGCTACTTGATATGGGTCCCCCTCTTTGTTTCGTACCCTATTTTGTTGGCCTGCATACGGCAGGGCGGTTGGAATGATTGGAGCACAAAAGAACAATGCATTGATGTCGAACGCCACATGCACCCACACCGACATACAACCCACGCATCCATCCATCCTGGTCTTGCCGACCTTTCTTGACCGCTCAGCGTTCAGTGGAATCTGGCGGGGCATCACCCACGCTTACCGGGAGGAGCGGAAGGCTTCCTTCCATCCGTGGTGTCGCCTACCTTGGAGGAATGGCACTAGTGGCTCAAAGTTGCAGATCGACACTCGAAAACGACACCGTTCAGCGGCCCGGCCTTGCCTCTCCTTAGCGTACCATTGATGCATATGAAGCATAAGCTACGGGAAGGCGGACAATTTTGGTGCTCGTAACAATGAAGTCTAGATATTGCAGCCCTGTACCTCAGTAGACGCCCTATGCGTACCACGGTCTGGACTTTGCATTAGGTGATGTTCTGTCGATTAGTGCTATCGGGGCGGTGATATTTATTGAGATTATTATCTGCTGTATGCGACAAGAGGGGGCATCTCAACCTTCTCACTTCGCTGCTCGATGGGGTAATTATCTCCTAGCCCACAAGTACAAGGTACATTGGAAAGTTGGTATTGCTCATTGCTCTACTTCGAACACTCCCATCCAGGAACCTTTGCACGAAGAAGGCATGCTAGAGACTAACACTCTAGTCTTCTGTCCTAGTGGCTCGGGAGTCGGGAGATGACGACTTTGACACGGTGGGGCCGGCGACTGCTTGGAACAAGCGCTCCGTGCGACTGATACAATGCAAAAGGACAATCGTGCAGCCCCTGCGGAATTGCCCGTCGATGGTCCGAATGGCCAATATGGCACTCCGCGCTAGCCCAAGCTGGCTCTGGCCCTGACGCAAAAGAACAATCTTGTGCGAGGTGGTCGCGGCAGGTCCTGATACTAGGCCACCCACGGCAAAAGTACAATGTCTTCTGTGGAATATGCGCGAGCCTAATTCTTCCACGTTTCCATATCAGAGAAGAACGTCAATGAAATTAGGGACGTACTCGATCACTCAAAAGTACAATTCGACATTGCCATGATACTCCATGCCAATGGTTGCCAACGTGTATAAATATTCTGCCCTTTGGCCGTAGTTGTAAAGCCATGCCTGGTGCCAAAGCTCAAACCTCTCAGCTCCTGACTAGATAGAGTCTGGAACTATCCAGTACAAACCGAAGCATCAGATTCATACCCCGACCTTATGAAGAGGATCCCTATTACCCATTACGCTATGCCAGCAAGCAACCGTACCGACACTCACTCAGCCGTGGATGCCCAGTCGACCTCTCCCGCTCCACCCAGTTCACTGCGCACTGCCCAGAGTGGATCTCAACCCGTTGTTGTGCACTCAAGGTATATCCAAAGTCTCTCTTCATTACGCATAGTAGTCTAACTAGCGTCTGCTAACGAGGGTGCCCGCTAGCCATCTGACCTTGAATCTACCTTCGGGGTCGTGCTCCATGTTGGCCAGATACCTTAACGAAACTCGAGTCAGTCAAGTTCCGGTAACCGAGATACTTGTGCAGGAACACTACAATGGGGGCAATGGTTGGACATGAAGTTGTAACTAGTTTGATAAATTCATTCGCGTTGACTAGTGCAGCTCCTTCGAGTAGTTGGGCGGAGGGTGGAGGATAGAGAAGAGCAAAGGTTGTGAGGCGGAGAGTGTAACCTAGGTATCCCAACACTTTGACCTTACGAACACATCTTATACAAGTACGACGGGGCTTCTTCTTGACCATACTCTGTCCCTCTTTCCCAGGTAGGTGATGTGACTCGGTCGATGATATTGTCAATTGACTATACCTACAAGCGTATTGCGATTGATGCCATAGATATAAAAGCGAACTGTAGCTTCTCGAAGTCGGCCTATTTGGAGGCCAACCTATGGCGTGGACGACCGCACGGGGAAGGCTCCATTATGTGAAGAAAATCAAAGCCATGAGAAGTAACTCTGAGAAAGGGAACAGGTGAGATTAAGACGCCCAAACTCCCAAATTCAACACTAATCAAGGTCCATATGATATCGAAAAGTCAAGAGAAAGCAAGAAGGAATGAGCTGAATGTTGAGATTATTATCGCCCTAGTACTATAAATAGTAAATCGATCATCGATTGGTCATCTGCTCTCCTAAACCGCCGGCAGTATCACAAGTCCGCAAAGACTCTCGCCAATGCACACTTAAGCACTTCGAGCTTTTCTTCACTGGGAGGAACGGAGACTTCAGGCCTATATTTTTCCGCCCACAGGTCGACATTCTTTTCTTCGATTTGCCTTGTTTCGACCTATTCAGGCTATTCATACAGCAGCATCCCGAAGTCAAGAAGATTCATACGATTGCCATTCCCGAATTCGCTATGGAGCACTACTGGAATGCATTTCCTGCCGTGAGATTTGTGCTAGTGGCCGGGGGTCTGTCCGACAGGCGGCACGAACGACACTATCACCCTATAGACTTCGTACGGGATCGTTCGAGGAGGATGGAGGAAGAGAAATCGAAGAGTTGTATTACCAAGAAACGGGGTCCGAGCAGTCGATCTCTCTGTTTGACGTGGCACCACCTGGCTATGACTTGAGCGATGACTTGAAGTGGTTGTGGAAGGATTTTCGGCGGCATTTGCAGTGGGCAGCCCATTGTCACCTGGAGTATATAGATTGGAAGGGAGGTTGGGAGTGCTAACAAAGGCAATGAGAGGATGGATTTGGAGAATAGGGCTTCTAAAATGATTTGGATGCGAGGCTGTTGGTTCCTACGCTTGGCTCCTGATCGCTCCGGCGCCGTCTCTTGATAGTCGAACTCGTGGCCGCTGAAAATAGGCACGAAGGGATAGCTACTACTCAGGCAAAGTCGACACCTTGAAGGATAGGCAGGAATATAGGTCTGAATTTTAGTCACTCACTACTCTTTATCTTTTTTCTTTTAATTTTTAAGTATGAGACAGTGCTTATCTACACCCTTAACTAAACCATTTAAACTTTAAGGCCTCTAGGCATCTTGACGAAGCCTGCCTTTTCGGATGTGTCGGCCGACTAGTGTTACTTCTAGCGTGGCTTTAGTACTACAACTACTCGAGCTGTAGGGAGGTGCCCAGGGATGTAGCTTGTGGAGGTGGCGACTAAGTCTCAAAGTATAAAGCCGTCGCCGCTTACAGAGTATCTAACTAAGACTTTAGCGGTATAAACTGAACCCTCTGATCTATTGCAGATCTCATTACGGCTAGCTTCTTTTTTAATTTTAAGGAGAATCTGGAGACATACTACGAGCTTCTATGTCATTTCCAGCATCCTGGACCATTTAGAGTTTGCCAAGAGAATAACGGGGAGAGGAGGAATGTCACCGGCAAGCTATCCAGTGATGCTTCTCAGCGGTATAACATCTTCCGCGTAACTGGGTAATGGTCCTCCGGTTCCCTGTCTCCTTTTATGCCGACACCTAGCCTCCTTCCGATGAATGAAACCTGCGCTTGCTGTATGCCTGCCGTGATGGTTTCAGCTACAAGCTCGACTCCAACAGTGTTTGAAGCACGCATGCCGAGGGATATTCCGCGTTCCCAGTTAGGTGAAGGCTCTTTCAAAACCATCAGTACGTTAGAGCGAGCGGGTTCAGTGCTCTCCATCTTGGGCTGTCTTTTCATTTTAGTCACGTTCAGCACGTCCGGCGCCTTCCGAAAACCGATCAACCGGCTTGTTTTCTATGCATCCTTTGGAAATTTAATGACAACTATTGCCACATTGATATCTCGGTCTTTTGTCGATAATCCAAATTCTGCTGGCTGCCAGTTGCAAGCCTTCCTAATCCAAATGTAATTAGATCTATTCGTTCTCTAGCGACAAGCACAGAGTTTATGCTGACGAAAATTCAGGTTCATGCCAGCCGACTCTCTCTGGACGTTGTCGATGGCAATCAATGTTTATCTTACATTTTACCGCAGGTTTGACGCTCCGAAGCTTCGCAAGCTAGAGCTTCCCTATCTCCTCTTTAATTACGGCGTACCTTTTGTTCCGGCGTTTGTATTTATCTGGGTGAAGGACCGCGAGGGAAATCGAGTTTACGGCAACGCCACGCTTTGGTGTTGGATTACCTGGGAGTGGAAGATATGGAGAATCATTGCCTTCTACGGGCCCGTCTGGTGCGTTGAATGTCGGGTATTTTGCCCTCTAGGGCACAAGCTAATCTCAACGTCGTACACTAGGGTTGTCATCATTACAACAATGTTCATATATTTTAAGGCCAGTGGGACTCTATACAAAAATAGGAAGCGGCTCCACGCCTTTCGCGTCTCCGAGATTGAAACGGACTCTCTCTCTCGCAGGATCACGGAAGTTTCCACCACGACGGAAGTGAATGAGGGTTCTTATGGCGTCAGACCGGCCGCCCGTGCTCTCGTGCGTTACCGCAGTGATGGGGTTGGCGATGCAGGTGGTAGGGCCGCTTACCCGGCCACAATTTCAGCGGGTGAAGAGGAGTGGAGACACACGAACCGCGCCGAGGCCGGCAACTCCGCATCCATCCGCCCAAGCCCGGCAATCAGGAGAATAGAGCGACGGATAATAGGCTACGAAATCAACAAGGCAGCTTGGTCTTACGCCAAGTATGCTATTCTCTTCTACGCCGCCATGTTCGTTACGTGGATTCCCTCGACCACCAACAGGTTATACTCGCTACTCAATGAGAACCGGGTGCTTTTACCACTAGAGTATCTGGCAGGATTTGTGCTCACGCTCCAGGGATTCTGGAACTGCATCATCTATATGAAAACGTCATGGCTTGGATGCAAGACTTTGTTTCGAGAACTTTGCATTGCAGTACAGTCCCGAATTGCCGGGATTCTAGCACCGTTGAAGCGCGATATCACCTAGGCAACATCTTAGAATGTTTAGAATTGTCCTTACATTTAAAGATTTTATAATTACCAGTACCTACTATACTTACTAAGTTTGAGAAACTCGTACATCCTCAACAAGCACATTTCAGACGTTCGATCAAAGCGCCGCCGCAGCATTTTTCGGACCAATAAGGGAGAAATAAGAATGGAGAGGACACCCGCTGACGGTGCTACTTCAAGTAATATTGAGCAGCCGCACTTTGCATTTCTATTCCAGGCTTCCCTACCGAAACTATCGATCTTTCCTTCGAGAAAGGGAAAGCATGCATGATGGAAGCAGTTACTAGCTCAACGCCATGTTGACCCTTCCTTGTACATATCTTGGCTCCGCACTTAGTGGTAGTTGGATCGATTCTGGTCTCCATATCCCGAAGCGGCCTGGTGGCAAGCTAAAATCTGACGGCTTTCTCCTTATGGGTCGAAGCGCTAAGACGTGGGCCTAGAAATCCCCGAAAACGGTTGCCCCAGCTCGCCACCCATGGTCCACTTCTTTATTGTTGCTTCTAATATTGTCTTGTTTGGGGACCTGAGAGCACATCCCGCCAATTAGACCCTTCAATGAGTCTACAAGCGAGGTGCCTTTTGACAGTCATGAAGAAGAAGAGTAAATACACTGTCAAGGGTGTTGGGACCTGAATCGCAAGTTGGGCTAGACAATATTGAATACAATGCCTTAGCTTGACAACCCTTGTGTGTGTCTAGGGAGGAAACCAGCTATTGCCAGGCTTCCAGAGTGATCAAAATGTTGGTATAAATGGCTAGAATTCTGCGTCTGCCGACATTCGACGTTGCTCATCACCAGCCAAATTTCTCTCTTCTTTTTTGCACATGGTTACGATGGCCAGCGATTTACTCCGTTCTTTTGTCGAAACCTACACACGCGAAACAGCCTTCTATGCCAAGGTCGCATCTCTCGCCGAAGAAAGATGCCGGAAGACGCTCAGCGAAAACGGCATCCCCGCCATCGTCACCTCACGAGCGAAGCGCCCCGACCGGCTACTAGAGAAACTCAAGCAGCGTCATGCTGAAAAGACCTACGCCACCACACAAGAGATATATGATGATCTTTTCGACCTCGCGGGTGTGCGCGTTGCCTTGTACTTTCCTGGCCAGGAGTACCAGGTCGTGCGACTCATCCAGAAGGCTTTCGAGATTGTGAAGATCAAGCCCATGGGTGATAGCCCGATTCAGCCTGTCGATAATGGCAAGGCGAGGATTTCATCAGTGGGGAAGCCTGTCGGTGACCTTGCGCCTGGGAACACCCTCAGTGTCGTCAATAGCCTTGTTGCCCAGGGCGGCGATGACGAGGAAGAAGTTATGCCTTACCGGGACCAGTTTCCTGGCTACCGAGCAGTTCATGCCCGAGTCAAGCTGGGTACAGCAAGTCTTCCAGAAGATCAGACGCCATACGGAACCCCCCTGATCGAGATCCAAATCGCGTCGCTGCTTATGCACGCCTGGTCCGAGGTCAATCACGATCTGGCCTACAAGACTCTCAACGGCGAGCTCTCAGTCGACGAACTGCGCATGCTCGACGGAATAAACGGCCTCGTGCGCACGGGAGAGGTTCTCTTGAACCAGCTCAAGGCATCAGTGGACGCGAGGATCGCTACGCAGAACCGCCCGTTCGCAAATATGTTCGAGCTCGGCGCCTTTGTGCAAAGCTACGCGCCGTACGATCCGAGTGACAATAAGTATCGCCTTGGCTCTCTCTCGAGTTTACTTCAAGTTCTCAGGCATTTGGGAATCGACAAGCCCACCGTGCTGGGGACCCATTTGCAAGAGTGGGCTAAGGATGCCTCAAATCTCAAGAGGTACCCCTTGACCAATTCAATCCTCGATCATCTCCTCGCCAAGTTGAAGGACGGAAGCCCGACGGACCTAACCAGGCCATTCCTTTTAAAACGCCTCAACGAGAAGCTATCAGAGAGGTCTGACTCGGAAAAGCAGAACGTTGTTCTTCGCATTTTGCAGAGTACTTGCAGCTCAAAAGTTCTCACAGAGGCCAAGGACGTAGCGCTTCAGCTCCCTGCATCTTATGAAGTTCTGAGGAGCATGGGTGTTTTGGGCAACGACGGAGGTTCACCCACCACAACTCGGGACCTGGAGGAGGCCAGCAAAGCAGTAGGGGAGTTATGGGATTGGTTCGCAATGAACGAAGTTACGGCGGCCAGAATTGCCTTGGGGATGGGGCAGGCTAGAGTGGGCAGAGAGTATGCCAATGCGGCGGAATAACTGTTGTCTCCTTTGGGCAGAGTATTCGTGTTGCAGAACTCTTTTATCAATACCTCGCGTGAGGAAAAGCATCACCAGCGCTCCGAATATAAAGATGTCTGTTCTTGCCTGATGCCCACAAGTACCTGTCAGCTCCTAAATCTCCCTCGAACGTCTGGATAGCGCAAAGGTAGCATGACAAAAATTCATTGCCCTTCCATCTTACACCTTGGGACTTAGGCGGGACTTATACGCTTCATACTCATATCCACCGTGGATGGAAACCCCGCCCACTGATCGCTCAGTGGGTTGGAATGGATTTGAGTGGCCGTACGTAGTATGCTGGCTTTTTTAATCCGCGAAGGATATTAGGTGATGATGTTTCTTGCGAGTCCCTGCAGAAGTCACTCGCCAGCCAAGTTGAATCCTAGTAGACCAGAAACAGGAGTTGAAGGGCGGCATCCCGGAGAAAGAACAGCACTTAGCCAGATGTAGATAGGTGTCATCTAATTCCAATTCTCTGATAATCTATGAAAGGACCAGTTGGCATATACTGATGGATTTGGCCAATGTCTAGTCTAGTCTCCGCCTCGATTTACTAGGATCCACGTCAGTGGAACCAATTGGGTTGGTCTTTGTGAATCCGCAACGATTTCGCGAATCAGGGTGACCACGGAAACCGAGAGTTTAAAAGCCATAGTTGATTCATTTATATAGACACCATAGACTCTGTAAACAAATGCCGCTATGCTATTTATCAACATTCCCGGAAGGTGAAGTCTGCATGTCCTAAGGTTATTGCCAACCAATGGACACTGCATCTCTCTACTCTTCTTTCCTCAACTATCCCACTCAAAAGAGGAGAGAAGACAAAAGGCTAAATTAGACAGTATTAGACAGACATCCACAAATTATATGAGGAAAGACACAGCTTACAAGACATGTGTTTTTATTCCATCCTACCCACAATCAAAGCCAGGCCGCCCCAATTCAGCAGCTCCCTTCCTCTCTAGCCATATTCATACTGGTGTGACATACAGCGGGTCGAACTGGCCGTTATAGACGACCACCGTAGGTGTAGGGGACGAGTCGACTCTTACTGGTATAGGGTCCGAACTCAAATTGTCGACAGTGACCCTCACAGGCGTGGATCCGTATGGCCGGATGGCTACCAGGAGTGGGTTTTCGGCGTCCCTGTTGCGATATTGCTTGACTTCGGCTACCAGGACGGCGAGGGAGATGAGAATGCCGATTTGGAGTAGGACGGACACGAAGCGGAGGATGTTTGTGAAGGCGGAGCCGCGTGATTCGGTCATTGTGGTGGTGAAAGTTGGGATCGGGAGAGGGCTTTTTAGAATCGTGTGGGTTGGGCGTTGGTTTTCTGTTGTGACGGCCTGGTCTGGGAGGCTCGTGCTTGCGTGGCGCTGGAGGATGAAGGTTGAGGGAGAGAGATGGGCGTAGTAGTGAGATTGGGGAGAAAAAGCTTGCTGGGAGCAGAGAGGACGAAGTCGAAGCGCAAAGGGCAAAGGGCAGGAATAAAGAGAGACGCTCACAGCCTTGGCATTTTCACGATGTGGTTAGACTAGGTTCCATCGTGTCTGAGTGTTAATCACGGCCTGCCTCTTATAGTAATAAGATACAGACGAATATCTAGCCGCTCACATTCCAAAGAGATGACGGATGATCGCGTGCGCGTCCGATCGCATGTGGCTTTGTAGGTATTTTAGGAGGGGACAGCTGCTCCTCTTCGAAAAAGGAACGCATTGGTCATACCAGGCTCAACAGCTATACTACATCTACTTCATAAAACGCTTCGTGCCGACTTCGAGAGCCGGTGATGACGAGGAAACGATCGGGGTAACCCCGCGCACACCATTGCCCAATCTGTCGAACCGAACGACAACGGCAGATCTGGACTAGACCCAACACAGAAAAAAGAGGTACGATCCGCTCCCGTAGATCCACCTGATTGATAACTTGACCCAAAGATGATAAACTGCGAAATGACCGCCAAGCTCGACCAGCACAACACTGTGGGCACAGTACCCCAACGAGCAATAGGGCCCCTGTGTTCCTCCGCTGGCGAGCGACAATTGAACGCCCCAGGCCCTAAAAATCACTGACCCCATGTGCTCCTGATAGATCGATGATATTGACACTCTTCCCCAGGAAGGTCACAAACAACGCCGAGGTTGCTGCTGATGACCTCTGACATTTGTCCGAAACACTCAGTCCTGCTCCTTTATAGTCCATGTTTCCCGAAATATTGTTCATTTCCGCATTTACCGGTAATTTCCCGGTCTCTGCCTACATTCTAATAGTGCAGGCCCTATCTTGGGACTGTTTCATCTGATGATGCAGCCTTAAAGGAACGGGAGAGCAGCTACATACATTACATACATAGTACGAGAGTGAATTTCGGACTTAGGTTGATGCCATGAAGGTGAAATCCAGTCATGAAGTATAACAATGTTCGACAAAGAGGATCCGACTCATAAACTATGGAGCAATACTTGGCAGGTTATGCCATCTTTACTTGTTTGGTTTACACGGGTTCCCGAGTCCCGAGTCAAGTCATCCCCCTATCTTATTCTTCGCACATATAAGCTTGCGTATCCATAGAGAAAGAGAGACGTTAGTCAATAGATGATTACATTAGTCGATGAATTCCAAAATCCTGGATGTCAAGGTGCCTTCTATTCGCAAACAAGCAGAAATAGCCTCCCTTCCAAGCCACAGCTAATCTCTTCTTGCTCAGCATTCTAGAACCCAGCAGTGTTCCATCTTTCCTGCTTCATCTTCCCAAATCTGCTCTTTCCCACATTGAGATACTCAGCTAAGCGTATGTGCCCAGAAACTTGGCCGGATTCTCAATGGCACGCCTCGTGCTCTCATCCAAATCCTCCTGGGGCAGCCCCAACTCCTCGTTGGCAAGCTTGTGATTCTCCTGCCACGCCATGGCCGCGGCGTCTGGCTTCTCAGGATAGAACCAACGCGTGTACAGCGCCCTTGTAAACGCCGTGTTGTCACCAGCCTTGACCTTCTCCAAAGCGCTGGCGAACCGCTCAACAGAGGGTTCGTAGGTAATCTTCCAATCGGACTCCTTGGTGTCGGTGACGCGGAGTGCCGACTCGAGCATGTCCCTCTGGCTGACGTAAAAGGACGAAATGTAGACGTTCCTATTCTTGTACCTCTCCTCGATGACTTTCTCGTCAAGATCGAACAGAGCCGCAACAGCACGGCCAGTCTGCTCCCAAGTCGTGGTGTTTATCTTCGCCTTCCCGTCATCGAAGAGGACGACAGATCGCTCCTTGAAATCGAAGCCATATCGGTCTGCGGTGCCGATGAGACTGAACTCGTACCAAAATCCCGAGACGAACTCGATCCACTTCAACCCCAGGGTCTCGACGAGCTGCTCGGCAGCGCGTTGCTCAATGCCCAGGAATATGTCGGCCCAGGCGGCGTGGGAGGCGTCACCGCCCCAGCCGTTGGGAACCACGTAACGGACACCGGCCTCAGCAGCTGCCTGGATGAGTTTGGCTTGCGTGTCGCGGGGTGCCCGGGCCGATAAGGTGATGATGAGGACGTCTTGGCCGCGGAGGGCGGAGACGAGGGACGCGTGTGAGTAGTCGGTTTGGGCGGCCTTTACTCCCTCCGGGGTTGGAGCGGCACCGGGTGCGCCGCGGGTGATGGCGGTTAGGGTGTGGTGGCCGGATTTGAGGAGTTCGGAAGTGATGAATCTGCCGACGTTGCCAGTGGCCTGGGTCTTCGTCAGTATGTTGCATGGATACATTATCGACAGGGATGTTGGGTTTGAATTATGTCGGGACTTACACCGACAATGGCGATGTTCTTGAGGATAGCCATAGAGTCAAAGGTAGACGATAATGTCAGGACGTGTGGAAAGGAGTGGTCGAGGGGTGCTTGAAAGGATTGTTTCTTTTTTTGCTTGGGAAAGCTAGGGGAAAAGGCAAGACTCGACCTCCCAAGGTAGGCAAGCCCTTGAATTTATATCCGCTCTCGTCTTTCGAACCATGCCGGGCACTTCGGACAAGAGTTAGCGATGTGGTTTTGAACCCCCCCCTTTCCTCACATTAATCGTGGGTTGCAGGGGCTGCAGGAACCCCTCCCTCACCTCACCTCAATCTGCCTATGTAGAGAGCTTGCACGCTAACCTCGCCTGTTTCTCGCTCATGGAGACCCCACCGATTTTCCCTGCGTCACCGTCTCGGGGCCAAGGACGCTTTAAATCCGAGGAGGTGTACCCTCCCTCGCCGCAACCGAAAATAGCAGCACATAAAAGCTTGATTTTTCGCGTCCGGACTTAAAAAGGTTCCACCCCAAACTTCAGCGATTAAAATCCGTGCTACAAACAATACAACCTAACTTCTGGTCACGATGCTACGCGGGTGGATCGACCGAATCCTCCTCGGTAAATTGGGGCTGGCCCACTCACAAACCATCAATACGCCGACTCCAACGGGGATAAGCTTCAGTTGTGATAGGGTCCCCCAAGGATCCACAGATGCCGGAGGAACAAACGATTGAACCCACTCTAGGCAGGGCTGTCGAAGGAAAGGGAGGGTATACGTCATCGGCTTGTCGGGGCACGTTTTGAGCGTTGATAATGAGAAGTCGGAATACCGCCCTAAGAAACTGATGTGCTTGGATTCGCTGAAGATAGTGTGATGGTGTTAAGACGTGCCGCGATGAAGGATAGATGAATAATTAATTCTACATGGAACAGGGACATGTAATTCCAGGTCTTCGAGGTGGGAAGCTGCTTTTCGTCTGTCTTTTCCTTCCTTCCACTTAATACCACTTCAACAAGTCTTATATCGAGTTCAGCCAGCACCTTAGGATTCGACTTCCATTTTCAGCCGTTTCAGCCACTACAATGCAGTTCCTTCATTTCCAGTTCGTTTCATAACGAATTGAGAGTCGATTTCCCGTTTATTTCGTGGGAAGCCGCTGTCTTACGTGGCCCCATAATGACACCTTCTTTTCAGCTCCCGCTTCTATTGGGACTTTTATTCCGTCTTTCCAGGATTTTTTTTTTCCATTAATCAACGGAATTGACATCTTCTAGTTTGAGCAGGAGCTTTGCAGCTGCCATTGGGCGTCCATTGCTTCCTTCTTTATGTGTGTTGTTATGGTGAGAGCTGTCCTGATCCATTTCAATTCGGAGCAAGCTAATTATTCACCTTGAATACACACCTCAGTGCTCTTCCTTCTTCGGCTTCTTTCTGAGAGCTAAAGGACGACGGGATGCTCGTACCCCTGGCGCCCAGGATGGCAATTCGGCCCACGAGACAGGTGCCCGCACTTAAGCCTTGTCATTTCCACTGCCGGATCCAGCTCGGACAGCGGTGATATCTCGTTTCCGCACACCTGGCCTGCGTCCGCGGGCCCCGCGAGCCTTGGACTGTGCCCATTTTGTTCCTACATCAGTTCATTTCCGCCCAGGGAACCCTACGAACAGGTACAGCTCTGTATGCCATCGGTAGATTCAGCAATAAGGTTCTCATGAGAAACGGATAACGTAGTTTAGAAATTCGACCCAAGGGCTTGCCGAAAACTAGTAAGAGGAGATAGACACTCCCCTTGGAAGGGCTCCCGGCCAGTGTGAGCCGAATCACACCATCAGGTCTCAAGGAATAGACGAATATCACATCCGTTAAACTAGTGCAGCCCTGTCTCCCTATACCCGTCAAGGCTAAATTCTCTTGGCACCGCATGGTGGAAATTCAGGTTCCATAAAATTGCAAGCCCAAGCGGCCCAGACCGCGTTTTATTGCTCAGCTCGCTGAAGCTGGCCTCCTTTTCACCCCATTTTCGCCGTCACCTTGCATTTCCATAGCGCCCTGCAGGGGCCGTTTCCTCACTTGGTCTCGGCGAATAAGACGCGGATGGGGTTCTTCATCGGGCTTGGCGGTGATCGGGACCATAACCATAAATAACATGAAGAATTCGCTTTTCTTTTGGCCAACCGCATAAGGCCCTATCCCTCCCAGGGCCTGGCTCATTCTTTCCTCCTACCTTATTCGTTCGTTATCTTTTGTCCATCATTGCTCTCGCCATGTGGCCCCGTGGACTCGTCGTCGGGGCGTTTTCGGCCCTCGCCCTCACAGGCAGTCATGCTCTCAACCTTCGTCGATGCGACACACCATCATCTTCTGCCATCGAAGATCCGGTAACCACTACTTCGGCCGAGCCCACTCCTACAGCTCCGGTCTGCTCCAACCTGGTCGGCAATCCTAGCTTCGAAGATGGAAACAACGATTGGGAGTTTTACACCGCTATCGTCACGGCGAATGATCCATCTGTTGCCGTTACCGCCCAGGATGGAGACCACTACGTGTCCGTCGTCGACCTTGCCATCTTTCCGTTAATTTATAGATCACTAATACGTATGGTCTCCCTACCAGGCTAATGAAGATTTTCCGGTGGGCTACATGGGGCTATGTCGCTCAAACCGTTTCCTCCATGGAAGTCGGCAAGTCCTACAAGATGAAATTCCACTACGGCCTAGGTCTCGTCCAGCAGGTCAACGTGGCCGGCTGCAAGCTCTCCGTCAAGCTGAACTGGGCCATAGTCGGCTCCGAAATAACCCTCGCATACCAAACGCCCGGCGAGTACCACGAGGTGGTGCGCACGCTTGTTCCGACGGTCGCAAACCCCTTGGTGCATATCTATCTTGCGTGCAACGCTGCGAGCCCGGCGGACGTCGACGTCCTCTTGGACAACATTTCCATCGTCGAGGATCCTTGCGTCGAGGAGCCTGCTCCCACCGAAACGCCGACTGCGCCTGCTGAGCCCGTTTGCACGAACCGCATCGCCAATCCCAGTTTCGAGAATGGGGCGGACGATTGGACTGTTCCTTATGGCATTATCCAGGGTACTTCTGGCTCCATGACCGCTCAGGACCAAAGCAAATACTTGTACGTTTGAACCAGGGGTGGTTGTATCCTGGGTTATCTCTCGCCCCGATATTGTCCTACAACTTGGAAAACAGGTACTAACCACGTCTTTCTTCCATGCAGATACCTCACCCTGCCAAGCGGCTTTACCACGACTTTTAGCCAAGGTCTGCCCGACGTAGAAGTTGGCCAGACATACACTCTAGGTCTTCATTATGCTCTCGGTTCTTTCCAGGCCTTCGTCGCCGAACAATGCTATTTCTCCATCTCCCTCGACGGCGTGCAGCTGGGAGATACGGTTTATCCTACTCCAGGGCCTGTTTCCCAGTGGGAGCTGGTGGAGAGAACCTTTACAGTCGCGAATTCTTCGCCCGTACTACGGGTCACGTCCTCGTGCAACCAAGGCCAGGCCGGGTTTATGATGGATGGATTCTCTCTCGTCGACTCCGCTTGTCTTTAACTGTATAATACTATTGGGTGGGTCTTCGCTTAGTCTGAAAGGGCCTGCACCGAAAGGTCACCCCTGATGTCGAGACTCTGGATCAACCAGCAAATATTGTATTACATCGTTTAATATAATCCGGTATCTAGATTTGGAACTATTTCCCAAGAACCTCCAAAGTGGAGAGTGGTAACTTGTGACTGTCGCTCCCTTCACACTTCGCCAGTGCCAACACATTACCAGTCTGCTACCTCCCGTAACCTCAAAACGCCCGAGCAGTCCTCCTAATCACACACATGCCACACCCAAAAGCCTACTCTCCCCCCTAATCAGAAATTGCTCGTCACGCCAAGCTGGATGGCCTCGAGTCTCTCCGTCAACTCCTTCCACACCCTGCCCTGAAGTTCCTTGCTCCCGGCACCAGCCGCCCAACCCTCTGTAGCGTGGACCTTGCAGTGGGACAGGTATTTCCCATGCGTATCGGCGCCTTGAGATCCAGCATGGACGAGGGTACGGCTGCCCTGTTCCGTGGTTCGTGCGACGAGCTTCTTCAGGAGGTCCAAGGACCAGCTGTCGGACTCGCGAGCTAGCTCACTATTATTTTAATCCTTGTCGTTAGCCATGGACGCAGAAAGGTTACAAGAAAACAAGGGGCTGAAACTTGCGAGTGGCATAGACCGGGGTTTACGCAGTTAATCGTCACAGGATATTTGTCGGCCGGACATAGCTCTCCGATGGCCTGCACCGCGAGGACCTCGAGCAGCTTCGAGACGAGATACCTATCTTCCTTCGCCTTGTCCCACTTCGACTCATCGTTGAGCGCGTCAAAGATCTTGCCGTCGGGGGCTTTCCTCTCAGGGAACTTGGCCCACGCATGAACTTCCGACGCGACAATGGTCAAAGTCGGCCGCACGCCAAACTTCTCCGCCGTCGAACTTGAGCTTCGGCAACACCAGCGCCGCGAGCAGAAAAGTCGAAAAGACGTTCACCGTAATCGTCGACTCGCCGCCGTCGAACTTGGTATACTTCCCCGTCGCAATGCCGGCATTTTCGATCAGGATGTCCACGCGGGGGAGTTCATTCACGCGAGCCGCAAACGCCTTGACACTGTCATACTTGCCCAGATCCAGTTCCCATACCTGGATGACGTCGGGTCCGACCTTCGTGGAGGCTTCGATGTCCGCCTTGGCGGCGTTTCCCTTCTCGACGGAACGCACTGCGAGGATGAGGGTGGAGGCGCCGAGACGGGCGAAGTGGCGGGCGGCTTCTTTGCCGAGGCCAGTGTTGCTGCCGGTGATGATGACGGTTTTGCCGGCGTAGGAGGCCGAGGGGACGGGGAGATTTATGGTGAGTTGTTGGTAGATGAATTTTGGGAAGGAGGGCATTTTGGATGATTTTTGGTGGTCTTTCGTCGCGTTTGGGTATCAAAAAGAGCAGTATAGGGAACGAACTCGTCGATTTGCTGGCGGGCGGGAGCACCGGAAACGATTGGGGGGCCAACTTTATATACTTGTCTTTGCGATTAATGACCCTGCTTCACCTCTGAAAACCCCTCCCCCCTCCTTTCCGCCTCAAATATCCCATGGAGCCAAGCATTTTACCATTGTGTGTTGCCCTACCTCAGTAAAGTCCTTGACCCGGGAGCAACCTAGCGAGCATACACCGGACTTTAGCCCCAATCTCCGCCTCAGCCCCCCACTTTGGGTCAAAGAGGACTTGCTTCTCGGGGATAGCGCTAGCGAATCTGCCCGACGTTTCGCTGGCTGTCCTATCGCCGACATAAAGAAATGTCACGTCAGTTTGGGTCGCCGGGCGATGTGATGGAAATAAGAGTCTGACGGCGGAGGGAAAGCCGGGCACGTAATCTACTGCAGCGACATTCCTGCCTTGCGCGGATGCCCACTGATGTAAGACACTAGAGTCCGCGGGAGCTTTATCGGCCCGGAGCTCGTGGGAAATGTTTCTATCTTACGTATGTGCTGCACCGGTTGAGGTATATGGAGCAGGACAACGTACAAAAGCGAGAAATATAAAAGGAAGAATGTAATGATGGTAACTAGTTCCATCCGCCTACCTTCCAATTTTAAAGTGTGGAAGCACACGCGTCCATCTAGTTCCTCGGAATGCTCGCTAACTGGATCAAATAGCAGTAGATAATGTTAGCCTGGCTTGGCTCTCAATAGTCTGTCTTTAGTCGAAGTAGAGCGCTGCTCATCCACTAAAATTGCCCCGCAAGATTCGATCCTACCCGCCGACAAAAAGAAAGAGACTAGGTCCAACCAGGATTCGAACCTGGGCTTACGGAACTCTCAACATGAGCGTCAGAATCCGACGTCCTAACCAACTAGACCATTGGACCTTAAAGAAAATCGACAAGAGTGAGATTCGAACTCACGCCCCCGAAGGGATTGGCTCACTACTGGTAGCAGGCCAACGCGTTAACCACTCCGCCATCTTGCCTTTTTCTGTGATGGTTCGAATGCCCAGTTCCCAATAATAGCTAGCAGAGTTTCGGGGCTGCTGTGCGTCGTGTCTCGGGGCCCCCGCCTCCAAATGTTATCCCACAGCCACCGTTTCGCCTCTTGTGCGTCGCCAGGAAGACAAACTATTTCGCGAAGCAATGGTATTCTCAAGCTTGAAAATGTGATCAATCACCTTGTTTGTTTTACCACAAGCCGCGAATGACAATGACAACCAGGTACAAGCCCGAAAAAGAGAGGAAGAAAAAAATAAAAATAAAATAAAATAAAATAAACTTAATTAATTCTGGGATATTCGTAGTCGAAATGGCCCAGCGAAGATAGAGTGGAATCATTCGTCAAACAACTTGAGGGGAGGCTCATTCTGCCGTCCTCTACCGATTAGATGATGGGTGGGATTCCGCTACAAATATTACACACCTGTAACAAGATCCCCAACGAGAAGGGTCTAATGTAAGTTGTTGTTATATTCGGCGGAAATCTGGTATTAAAGAGATTGAAGACTCTTGGCTTCCATCATTGAGCGGATCCTGCGAGACAGTAGCTTTTGAAAGGTCTCTGCCACCGCCTGTTTGTAGGGAACGCTTAAGGCCGTAGGCTGCGGGGACGAGTAGATCCATTGCGATTCTGTGGTACGGGCGGTGAGGAGTGCCATTATTTTTAGGCATTTGCTCGGGTGGTTCGTTGGCATTGATGGCTTGTTGGTTCGAGTGCTCAAACCCCGCCCGTGATCCAGAACCACTTTCTCTCCTCCTCCTTTCCATTTCTCGAGGGCGATTTTTCCCTTTGCTGAACTCTAGTAACCAGAGACGTCTTTGTTTCCCCCCAAACCCTAATCATGGACACTTTGTCCCCCGAGAAAAAGGCGCAGCTCCACGAGGTTCGCGACCTCATGCTAGAAATCTACCAAACACTCGTCCGCATGCGCTATCTCAAGCCGGAATGGATTCACGAGGGCCCGCATAACCTTGACGCCCTCCAATCCCTCTATGAATCTCTGAATCTGGACCCCTCCGTCATCTACCTTTATAGTATCCTCCCTTACGTCGATAACGACGGTGATGAGAGGGGCGCCTTTTTCCAGGGCAGCTATTTCGCGGACTTTCGCAAGGAAGATGACGTGCGATACGGTCGCGACCCTCTGCATTACGGCGACGAAGACGGGGAACCGCACCTAAAACCCTGGATGACTCCCCTTTCTCGATTGGGAAATCATAAAAGCGTCATCATTTACAGCGCTGCATCCCACTATATCTGGATCTTTGATCAAGAGTCGATGGGCAGCACTGACCACAACCTTCATTCCGGGGCAATAATAATCCACGATGGCGGGGATACGGGTCGGGGAGAAGGAAGCAGGGAAGGGACACCGACTGACTCCCGCGTCGAGGCGGACCCGGTAGCTGTGGAACATGACGAAGAAGGAAACTCTAGCCAGAGTGAAGGAGATCACAGCGACCGGAGCGATCAAGAAATGGAAGATACCGAAGTCGAGTCCGTTGGTGGCGACGACGACGACGAGATGGATGACGACGAAGAAGACGAAGAGGATTGGGATGAGGAAGATGATGATGATTCCCAGGATGATGGTCCAAATTACGATGAGGGAGATGGCCGCCCCGCCCCCGAGGTCCTTCGCGACATTGTCAAGTGGTACAAGGAACTAAGAGAGACCCCCGCCGGCAGCGGAGTGACAGAGCCTGAGTGGGATCGGGATCTTGTCGTCCCGCTGTATCGAAAACACGGATGGCCCGGCGATGACTTCGACGGCGACGCCTTCGAAATCGACCGCATCCGGGGGATTTCCACGCGGGAGATCGAGAAACGCGCGAGACAACCGCTCGAACGGATAGAGAATCTCAAACTCCGCATTCCCTGGGAGGAAGAGAGAACCGAGAAGCTGCGCAGGTCGGTGGAGGCGGAGACGACTGTTGATGATGAGTGGGCCGTGCGCGGTGAACTTTGGAACCAAGAGAAGGCTTTGGAAGGCATGAAAGAGGAGCTGAAACGGACAGAGGACGATGTTGAAAGGCTAGGCCTCCGGGAGCAGCTTTTGCCACCGGACGAAGTCCCATTACTGGAGATGGTTACACTGCACGGTCACCGCCAATACTTGGAAGAACATTCCATCCCAAGACTTCAAGATGCACTGGCTGGGCGATCCAAGACGTACCGCAGCAAGGCATACCTCGAGGCCAAGATCCCATATCATCGAAATAGAATGGCCCTTTTGCAGAAAGCGTGGGACGCAGCTGCGGCCGACGCGGAACGTCTAGGTTCTGGAAAGGTTACGTCCGAGAACGGCCTTAGGGTCCTGGGCCAATGTGGCCCCGACAGCTTGCAGTTGGCAATCGAACACGATCTCAAGAAAGCGCAACGGAAATTAAGTGCTTTTAACGAGTGGTTGGCAGGCGTACCAGAGGAAGCGGCGTCGGCGAGGACGACAGTGGAGAAGCGAATAAAGAACACCGAGGACCAGATCGATGATTACCAGCGCCGGTTAGGACTAATAGCCAAGTCAAAGGAGAGCCGGGAACAAGAGAAATAGGTTCATTTCTTAGATGTAGAGCTAGACATTGCTTATATGTAGTGAAAGAGAAGGATAGTCTACTCTAGAGTTGATATTTTGAAATTTCTGGCTTTCCCCGGATTCGGTTTTCCAACAACGGCCATCAAGTCAGGCGACTCTTCTAAGTCCTAGTTCATAATGGAAGCACTCGCACAAGTGACAATCGCAGAAAAGAAAATCGGCGAAATGAAACAGAAATACAAATGTCGGGAAAAAAAAATTGAAAATCGAGAAAAAAAAATACTACCGGGATCTACGTTGAGCCAGCTTACGGTGAAAACCCCTGAATTAATTACATCCACGGTCCAACCTGGGGTCGAACAAGGAACACCTCTCGCGCTTTCACCAGCTGCCTGGAGAAGGCTTTAACCAGCCAGCTAAGCTCACAGACCCCTTGATGACGCCGCATTTTGTTCATTTCTATATAGTCTACTTGGTTGTGGTGTGTGGGCGAGGTGTAGGTGGTTCCTTCCTCCAGAGATCGGCCTTGCTCGCTCCTTCCCTAACTGCGTGGCGCTCTCATCACCGGAAAGGTTTGTCTCTGGTGCCGACTTCGCTCATTTTAGTTAAGTTAATGTGTGTCAGGACATAGAATAGCTCACGCTCGCATCAGGCCGAATAAATAGTCTCCTTAACGGCTACCCTCATCGTCAATGATAGTAACAGTTGCTGCCGTGTCGCTGGCTAGCAGGCTTGAAGGGCTTGAAGTTACAAATTCAAATGAGGAGTTCTGCTCGGTTGGAAGCATCTAGGATGGACCAGTTAAGAAACATGGGATGGATTTTCAGCCCTAGCCTGCTCCTGCATCCTTTATACGTCCAAGCCTTGTTTTCCCTCGTTTATTTCGTCAGGGGTGTCACACCTCGATCCTGATTTGATCCTGCCGACATTGCTTACGGCTCCGTCCAAGATTTTCCCATGCAGATGATTGCCCAAGATTACAAATAGAACAAAAGGACAGGGGGGGATGAGACGGCTCAAGTTACCCCGGGTTTAATAGGCAGTTTCCGTCACATCCCGCATAGACGCCGCCAGATCCACAAATTTCCTTTCAGGATATCTCACGCGTGGAGAAAAAAAAAGAAAAAAAAAAGAAATCGGACGCGTGCCGCCAACAATGTCTCTGGACTCGTCGACCAGATATCCCGTGCGGATACGCTGGGGGGAAGAGGACCTGCTCTACCCTTGGACATTATTCGACCTGCCGCACCGCAGCCTGCCATTTCCCCCTTTGCAGCAGACGATATCGGAATGGGCTGCCCTCGTGAACAAATCGACGTCGGGGCAACCCGTGAATTTGGAGTTTGGCCCCGGCGTTTGCGAGACGGGCATGGGCCAGAGGAATTGCACCGAAGCATGCTCCAACCCGGCGTACTTTTTCAGACCGATGAATTTCCAGTCGTGTCTACTTTTAACCGGTACGGCACGTCTCATCCAACAGGAAAATTACGCGCTGGACACGGAGGATGAAGCCACCGCGAGGACGATCGAGGCGTGGGGCGATTTTGACTTGTCCACATTCAACGTTACCCAAGCGCTGTCCAACATCGCTGGGTGTGTCTCGGAAGAGTGCAATGAATCGGATCGGCAAGACTGTGTTGGATTTGCGGGGGCGCTAAAGGCCATGAGCGACCCGGCGAACAGCAACAGTTTTTCGGAGATTTCGAGCTCCTTTAACCAGCAGATAGCCCAGTATTGCTCAATCACCAACATCCGTACGGATCCTGATATCGCGGGGCCTGGGGTACGTTGTTTTCCGAGACGGCCTGAAACATGTTAATACTGACCCGCGTGTCGACAGGTCATCCTATCGTACACCTTCCAGACCGGTCTCGCCGTTCTATTCTGCCTCTTTCTGAAGTTATCTCTGACCTGGGTGCGGAAAACGATACATCTCCTTAGCTGGTTCGGCTCACCCAACCTCCGTAAACGTGGAGCCTCGCTCCAGCAGCAACTAGCCGATTCCACATTCGCCGCCGCCGCCATATCCTCCATCGCCGAGTTCCACAAGATCCAGTGCTACTTCATCGTCTCGATCCAGATCGCCACCCTCCTCAATTTCAACGCCGAAGACCCCTCCGCGGGCGGGAACCAGAGCGGATCCTTCGCTGAAGCGATTTTTAATTCCGAAACCTCCATCGTGCTGAGCATCGCGAGCATCGCTCCCGTGATATTCACGCAGTTCGGACTCCATCGCGCGGGTATCCATTGGTGGTACACATTCGCCACCATGTCTGTCACCGTCGTATTGGCCATAACCATTTACGCCCGGCAGGACCTCGTGATGGTGTCTCCGGACGGTCTGTGGGAGACTCTTGTCAGTGAGAGGGCGGTGACTTCGTGCGGGATGAACCCGGCGCCCATTGTCTACTGCGGCATCTCTGACGACCCCGGCTTCACTACCATGGACGCTTATCCGGTTTATATCGGTTCCTTGGTCGGTCTGGTGGGGTGGGTCGTCCTCCTTGTGGATCAAATTGCCTGCACGATTCGCACCTGCTCCCCCTCCGCCGCAGAAAAAAAGCGCGGAATCTTGGCCTGGACTGCCCGGTTGCTGCAGAGATATCAACGCAGCAGAGCTGCACGTCGGCTTGTGGCGCCATTCGTTACTGTCGCCGAATTGATCTTATTCGGCAACGTCGCCATGTACGCCATCCTGCTCGCCTTGACCATCCGCGAAACGGATTTCATCAGCCTTTCTAGCTGGGGGTTCGGCCAGGTTATTGCTGTGATGGTGTGGACTCCTACAATGGCCAAGTATCTCTACTACATTATTTGTCAGCCGCCCTCCTTTCTCTATCCGTTTTGTGAAGGTTATTCCGGTATCTATTTTACTAACATATCGTTTCCTGACAGTTGGAATTGAGAGAGGGTTTAAGGAGCGGATACCGGAGAATTACACCATTTCAAGGCAATCATCTTTGGCGGAGCAGTTACAGTCTAGCTCCAAACATGATCATAAGCCGGAATCGGCGGATTCTCGAAAGTCGGGAGAAGCGGGAGAAGTAGTCTCTTTCCTTGGCAGGGGCCAGCAAGATGAAAGATAATCCTGATTGAAACCGGACAATTGGGTGACAACACGATGGGAATCGATAGCCGAGCTAGAACACCGCAAGAGAACATAGGGTAGTAATGAGACTATTCCTACGCTAGGGTCATGGTAACCATAAACAGTCCGAAAAACTGGAGAAAGCGTGGCGTTTCAAGGTTGATAATATTCAGAAGGTTTTGATTTAATTTTTATTAGTTAACCATATCCTCAATGGTGATGAAACGTCCTATTGACCTAAAGTCATACGCGTCCAACACTTCATCCGGCGGAACTACGTCGCGCAAGCATGACGCTCGACCACTGGTTGTGAGAAGGACCTTTAAACCGCTTTCCCTGAGAACGTTGATAAGGTCTCTAATGTACCATTCGGTTGTGCCATCATCAAGCCAGTGAAGACCATCAATGACGCAAACAGCACCGGGTGGCATCAGCTGGGCCAAGTCTCTGAATAAACAAATCGAGCCTGCCCAGGACTCTGTTGTCCCCTGGAGGGTTCGAAAACGAATCTTGGACAAGTCGGTCTCCGTTGTGAAGGAGTGTGGGAGCAAGCCTACCATCTGACGGAGTAGCGCCAAGACGAGAGAGATGAGAACCTGTGAAGGTGCGGTGTTGCCGGGCCTGATGACTTCGTAGCGCCGAAGCTCGCAGAAGTAAGAGATGGTTGGGCGACTGGACTGCGCGGTTGCGTCGATAATCCAGGCCGCTATCATGGTAATGTCGTTGTCATAATCATCAGCTTGAATAGGGGGCCCGTCAATCCAGAGGAAATGGGATGGACCTGTCCCGGAAATCCATTGAGGCAATAGATAAGCTCGCTCACTTGGTACTTGGATTGGAGCTCGGGAATCGCATAGTAGGCGGACGCGGTCGCGATAGAAGAAGTGGTCGAGGTGACGAGAGTTCAAAGCTACTTCTTCAGCTGACCATTTCATCATGGGTAGATGCGGTCCTGGAAGGGAGCTGGTGTCCAGGAAGGCCTTGGGTGTTCTGGGCTGGGGATAATATGCAAGAGCTAGGTTAACTTCAAGGTTAGCGCTGGCAAGTTGAAGATTTGGAGGAAGCAAAAAACACTTGCCTGCTCTTGGGAGCTCGTTTTTAAGTTCTTCGGCCATGTATTCACGGAGTCTTTCAAAAAGATTCTCGTGAATCATTTCTGCGTCTTGTCTCAATCGAATCTGCCTTTCACCCGCTTCTCGCTGCATCCTCAATAACAATTCACCCTTTTGCTCCATTTCAGCTTGATGTCTCGCCATGCCTTCCAGCCCGACTCTAATATCCCTCGCCATCCCATCAACGCACAGTTGCGTTCCCTCTGCTGTGAGTCGGATTTCCCGCACCTCTGCCCGGGAGCTTTGCTCGACATGGTGGCGGATGGCTGCCGCCTTGTCATTTATCGCCTTGATGTCCGATTCGAACCTGGTAACGGCTTTTTCGTTGAACGAGTCAAGTAGCCGTTTTCGACGCTTGCGCATGATCCAGTCCATGAAACCAGACAGGAAGAGGAAAATGTGTGCGTAGAGATCGGCGACTTTCTCCAACATCGCCTTTGTTTGGAAGATTTCCATTTCCACTTGGCAGGACGAGACATGTTCACCAATGGAACTAAGTGCGTCGGCCAAGTCCTCCGCAATGCGTTCGTGATTCATACTCGCCTGTCGAAGAAAATAGTCAGCTTTCTATAAAGAATTGCGAGGAAACACAATCGATAAAATTAAAATTGAAAAGAAAATAGAGAAAAGAAAGAAACAAAAGAAATCACATAAAATGAATATACAATGGAAGTGAAACAATATTTCTTGTCAGTAACGGGTACCGCATACCTGAATCATAGCGTTCAGTGATCCGGAGAAAAGAGATACGTACTCGCTGCCTTCCGGCAGGACCTTCAATAATGAGCTGTGTGCATCGAGAGTGCCACAGAACTTGTGGAATCGAGAGGACATTTTTCCTCGACTGCCCGCCTTCCGCTGTGCTTGCCAAGCACTTTCCGCCTTCTTAACCATTTCGCAAACACTCTCCATCGTGGGTTCGCACGAATCTAGGTCAAGTCTGTCTATTTTGTCACAAGTCTTCTGAAACTGGAGCCACTTTTCTCGAAGCTTGGCAGCCTCAGTTGAAATCACCTTGGTGACGGGATCACTATCTAGAATGTTAGAAGTTGGGAAGTTGGACAAGACGATCGCTTGATCCACTGCTTCGTACTTACTCATCGCTATGAAAAACCTCAGAGGGTTCGAAAAACTTGCGCCACGGAGATGCTCGAGTGTTAGGAGGATGAACAGGAGCAGGAGCAGCATTACGGCGTAGAGCTTGGCTAGGGCGGTAGACCGGGCTGAGGGACGGTCTCGTCTCAGTAACCTGCAAACTACACATTCTTACGAATCTCGGTAATAAACCTCTTCAATCAGTCGATCTCCGGGGACGACTTGGCCGAAAGACAAGTATCTTCTTAAACTTCACGTCAGCCCTGGAGAGGAGGAGGCCTCCTCGACATATTTGGGAGATGTGATGCTGGTTAGGCAGAAATATATCGGATTTCGGGCTTGGTTGCAGGGGGCTCTGTCATCGATTGGCTTGGAGGGCAACCGATGCATGGTAGCGATCGTTAGTTCATGTCGTGTCACACGACAAGACGTACTTCGCCACGGCAGCCTGCTCGTCTCGTTTATCATTGTTTCGTCCGAGGCCCTACGCCTCCTCTTGCCTAAAAACCGCTTCTTCAACATCTCCTACCGGCGTACCAATCCTTTTCTGAGCGAGAAACAAGAGGAACAAGAGGAGCAGACAACGACTCCATCGAAAAAAACTTTGCCAAGTACCGGATCCAGCCAGAGCTGCTAGTCAACAAGAATGGATGTCAGCAATGGTGGCAACGAAACAGATGCATCATCCGCCCGATCCACCTGCGAGGACTCTACCAACCGAGCGAAACCGCGTGAGCCATGGGTCAGATACCGTGTCGAATACCGGGATGTTAAGACCGACGTCCTCATTGACTTCCGAGACACAACAGACCCCGAGGAAGAGATAGCCGAGCGTTCGGGAATAGATGAACCTATTTTCGAAATGGTAACGGTATGCCAGGCGAGGAGAGGCGTAGGTGATGGAGATTCAGACCAGGCAGAAGGCCAATTTCTAGCACTGAACCAGAAGAAGCACCTGAACCTATACTCCACGTCTATCATAAACGCTCTACGATCGGTCGTCAAGTACTACCCTTCTCAGGACCTGTCGGGAAATCCTGTAAAGATCCATTATCCGTATGCCGTCTTGGTCCACCACTACGATGAATTATCCGTGTTTCGAGACGCTTGCGCGGCAAAGAGCCCGGGTGAGATGTGTGTGAGGGAATTTGACGCAGAACGTCATCTAAGAAGTCTCCTCAAGTTTCTCGATGATCACATCATGAAAGACGTGAGGGCCGAAATGGAGCGTATAAACAGGGGAGTGTTTACATGGGAGCTCGCCTGGGTCCATTATAAGCCCGGATCCACAGTCATCAGAAAAAAACCTGACGAAGAGAATCGTTGGGTGGCCTCTGTCATTCACTCAGTTCACGGCGGAATATTCCAAAACCCTCCAAAGGACTGGGAGATACGATCTTGGTCACTCGAATGCAAGGGAGAGTTTGTTAGTCGAGGCTTGGACATATTTCGCTGCAGGAAATTTGATGGCGAAGCAACCGATATTCCGACTGTCTTTGAATCAAATCCCGATTTCGTTAAAGGTGCGACAGACAGCCCCTTGCTGAGTACAATTGTGGATAAAATCAATTGCGGCAAGACATATTACCAGCTTCTGAGAAAACAGTGTAAGGGATATAAAGGAAGGGCTTTGAAGCCGCCGCACAATCAAGTAAGACAATAAGGTCTATATTAAAGCTCGTCCACTGATCCGGTGGTGTTGAATAGGTGGATGGCTTGGTTATGGTAGACTTCTTCGATTCCACGGAGAGCGATCAATTTTGGGCCCTTGGACACTTGGATAACGTGGACCTTCGAGTCTTTGTTTCGGATTGCACTTGCTCATCCTGCAAAGAGCGAGCGGACAACCTTGGCAGCAAAGTGGTTGCTCTTTTCGAAAATTATTCTCACATTGAGCTCGACGAGGATAAACTCGACGACCACCAATACCTCTTATTCCCCACTAGCATCCTGGCGTTCGTATTTAAGACTCGGCAATGGGGTAAGAAGGATATTTCATTCGTGAGGCGATTGACCTTGGTAGGGCTAACTCCCCCATGTCTTACTAGAGACTCTCCACGTCCGTGGCTTCACGGAGCCGGATTTCCAAGAGGACATGATCCAGGGTCTCGTCATGGATGAGCGGCGAAAAGAGATGTTAAAGGCGCTGGCCAGATCTTTCGCTCGTAAAAACAGGTTTGGCCAGGAGCTCACTCAGGACCTGTGGTCTGCCGACTTTGTCCGAGGCAAGGGTAGTGGGCTCGTCTTTCTCCTGCATGGGAAGCCGGGAGTTGGCAAGACTTGCACAGCTGGTATCTATTGAGGTAAACATGCACCCTGCGAATGCATGCTAATGTGAGCCTAGAATGCCTATCGGCATTTACTCGCCGCCCCTTGATGGTAATAACAGCCGGAGATATCGGCACGAATCCAGACGAGGTTGAGAGCAATTTAGAGGAGACGTTCGCGAGGGCCGTAAGATGGGACGCCATGCTTCTGATCGACGAGGCGGATGTGTTTATGGAACACCGGACGACATCTGACCTCGTTCGAAATAGTTTGGTAGCCGGTATGTTTTGATTGAAGACCACATTCTCTCGAGTCTCCCCGGCATGAATCTAATTGAACATGCCCACACGTTTTTTACGAGCTCTGGAGAACTACACCGGCATTCTCTTCCTCACCACGAATCGCGTCGGATCCTTTGACGACGCCTTTATATCTCGTGTCCATATCCAGCTCTATTACCCCGAGTTTACGGAGGATCAAAGGCAACAGGTTTGGAAGACGTTCATGGACAAACTAGCCCGGGAGCGGGGAGATTCCATCCGGCTTAACATTGACGCCAAAGAGTACATTCGCGGTTCGGAGATGAGGGCTGTGAAGTGGAATGGCAGAGAAATCAGAAACGGTCAGCAAAAGCACGGAGAGTTGTGACATCGTCGAGACTAACTTGGACACTAGCATTCCAAACTGCTGTTGCGCTGGCCGAATACGACGCAGAGACGGACGAGGAGGGCAAAATTGTTGTGACAGACTCACACCTTAGGGCCGTCGTAGACTTGTCTAGGGATTTCAAGGATTACCTTCAGATTCTTCATCGCGGGGACGAGTCCAAGAGGGCCGAGCGTAAGTCTGAGAGGCTGGATACCTATGGGATTCCGGGCCAAGGATAGAGGTGGAACACATCGTCTCGTTCCTAAGGAGGAGACCGGATGCCGAGTCTAGTGAGCTAGGTAGAAGATAAGACTGCAGAATGAACGTTGCGAACTATAACGAAGATGTCATGTTTCCTCGTCTCGAGAGATAGCTTGTGAGAATAGAGGAACCATGATTGTATTTGCTCATTTGTCGTCTTCACAGTAAAGCGACGAAATTTGAGATAAACCTAGAAAACTCATAGAGTATAAAAATAGCTCTTTCGACAATTAAAGATGTGGCAAAAGTTTATCTGGCATGAGTCCCTGCCCCGAGGGTGTCCATATTTCAAATCCAACTTTCCCCGGGAGGGAATTTGACATAGTAAAGTCCTCTAATAACCCTCTGGCTCTCCAAGAAGAATGCATCCAAGACGCGGTGTCTCAATTGCATCATGTCGAGTTCTGATGATGTTGTGCTGATTACTTAATCGAGGTCTTGATTTCAAATCCTCCCTGAAATATAAATGGCAGAGAGAATGAACGGCGAGGGGGAAACTCACCCTCATCGCTAAGAGCATGTCTCAAGCCTAACGTTAACATCTTCAGTCCAATTTCGCCCATAATTAGACCTCAAGCCACAATCATGTCTAAGAACGCGCTCTATGCCATCATTGCCGGTGTCGGGCCTGGAATCGGTCTGTCCGCTACCATGCTGGCCCTCAGATGAAGGTAGTATCACGCCACTAACTGTTTATATATTTCAGGCCGCGCAACCGCTGTGAAATTCGCAAAGACGTATCCAGTGGTTCTTTTGGCACGTAACCCCGATAACTACACTCCTATAGTCAAGGAGATTCAAGAGTCCGGAGGCCGCGCTGTAGGCATCACCGCAGATGCTACTGACCCCACATCTCTGTCGACTGCTTTCGACATTATCAAGAAAGAGTTGCCGAATGCCACTGCGGCTGCCGCTATTTACAATGTCAACGGCGGCTTCGCGAGGAAGCCGTTCCTGGAGCTGAGCATTGAAGAGCTCGACAGCTCTCTCAATGCAGCACCGTAAGTTTGCTTTTCTCCACCGTGCTCGTAAAAGATCGTGCTAATGGACTTCATATCAGCCGGGGACTCTTCTTCTTTGCGCAAAAGGTCCTCCCATCTCTTCTCTATTCTGTCAAGGTTTCGCCTTATCCGCCTACCTTGCTCATCACGGGCGCCACGGCCTCCCTTAAGGGATCGTCAACTTTCGGCTCCTTCGCCGCAGGAAAGTTTGCCTTGCGAGCGCTGGGCCAGTCCTTGGCAAGGGAATTCGGACCGAAGGGCGTGCATGTCGCTCATATTGTCATTGACGGCGTGATTGATATTCCGAGGACGAAAGAGTGGCAGGTCAACAATGGGGTTGAGGGAGGCAAGCTTGACCCCGACGCGGTAAGATGACCCTCCAACACTGTGGACGAATGTCTCGAGATGGAGCCGCTAACGTTTTGAGTAGATTGGCGAGAGCTATTGGAATTTGCATACACAGCAGAAGTCGGCCTTTACTCAGGAGATCGATTTGAGGCCGTTTGTTGAGAAGTTTTAGGCTTTGAACTGCTGACGCTAGGGTGCTGCCGTCTCAACGAACGGGGAGCGACAAGAAGAATATTGAATCAATAAGTCGGGCTACTAAGATTGATTTGAATGTACGAACCCGAGTTGCATCTACCGATGCTTGATTCCAAGTCTGATAATCTGTACTAAGGCCTGTTCACGGCGGAATGTCAGACCGGAAGGGGACAGTAACAGCAAAGCTGATACATATATTTAGCATACTAAAGACGTTATATTTTTTTTTTCCTTAATGAACGTCCCATGTATGTTGGGGGCCCAATTTCTGTTGTGTCTTGGGGCCCATGTCCCAGTCTCTGGATAGGTGGAGTTGGTGCGGGAATCTCCTGACCACATCCTCGATGTTACTGGTCCATTCAACACATCCCATTGAATCCTAATTATCAAATTTTGTTGACCCTGAGCACTCTCCGACCTTTTATTCAGAATACAAATTCAAACGTTCGCATACGTGACGGAATCAAGAGTTCCGCTCGTCCAGGTCTATAACCTCCTCATATCCCGCCCTCCAACCCACCCTCCTGCCAGTGATTTACGACGTACGCCACAAAAGTCAAAGACGAAAAGCTTTTTGTTCAAATTCATCAAAATCCTCAACAGCAGGATTTCTACGTTGTTTTATATTTCTCGCTCCTCCTAATTCGAACTCCTTATCCTGAAAATGTTTCTCTACCCCTAAGTCTGATTTGTTTTTACAGTTATCAACAATATCGTCGGTAGCATTTGATCCTACTGATGAAGCATCACTCGAGTTATTACCTCCTTCGTAGTCTACTATATCACTTCTAATAAAATGTGTAGTACGATCCACTAAAGATTTTTCAGAATCATTAATTCCACTTCTGATCTCCGGATGTTTATAATGCTATTCCCACAGTAGTTACTACGTTTGTTACAATAATAGCAAAAATTTCTATTTTCATGCTTTTATTATAATTAGTTTATTATACAAATAATAGTTTCTTTAAAATAAATTAAACTTTTAGTTTAGTAATAAGTTTATTTTTATTATTATTAATAGGTACTATTGTTAGGTTAACTCAATTTAGAATAAAAATGTAATCCAGTAATATCAGATTTTCTACCAAAAAATCTAGAAACTATAGATCCTAATAAGGGTAAAAATATTATACTTAAATACATTATTTATTTTTATTATATTTTTATAGTAAAAGAGTAAACTTATTACATAGTACTCCTTTCAGTATATGACAAGTAGTTAGTACCAATCCGAGATTATATTCACCATGACATAGTAATTTACAATTACTACTTTAAAAAATATTAAATTATCTTTAATTAGTATAAATATAGAAAGATAATTTCTTTTTACTAATACTAAAGATATTAGAAATTTATATTTAATATTTATATTATTTTTAGGGTTATTAGGTATAGCTTTTTCTATTTTAATAAGATTAAAATTCTACCCTACTTTAATAAACAACTTTAAATTAAGTAATTTAGGTTATAATATTTTTAGGTTCTTCAATTAATATCTTTTAATAGAATTATTCTATAATAAATATATAGTTAATTTAATATTAAAATTAGGAAGTTAAATAACTATTTTTATATTTAATTAAATTAAATATTAATTCTCTAATTATTTTTTCTAATTTTTTATTATTAATAGCTATTAAAGTATAAGATAAGTTTAATAATCTAATAAAAATTAATTTTAAAATATATA